AAAAATAGAATATCAATATCACTTACTAAATATTAATTTAGCATTAACAGTTGGCTTAATTGACTTTTATTATTTAAATTATTATATAACTTTAATTAATTTAATATGATCTTTCATTAATTAAAAATTAACAAATTTAATATTGTAATTAGCCGAGTTCAAAATCACGAATAAACTATATTATTCATTTTTAAATTTAATTACCATGCCTCTTCCTAAAAATATTTTCAAGGTCCAAATAAGTATAAGAGATTTCTTTATAAATAATAAGTAGACATATATTTTATAATCCTCTATTATATATACTATGATTGTAAAATATTAGGTAAAATGCCACTTTTACAGACGTATTTGACAGTTATATAATAATATATTACAGTTAATATATTAATAAATTTTACTAATAAATGCTTTATATAATAAATATAAGTAACAATTTGCTTATAATTTTTAAACGCCATTAATTTTTAATTATATTATTAAAATTAATCATATTATTCATCCCACAATGGGTGTAATAAATTAGATATCTTTTCTTCTCTTTTTTTACGTGTTTTTAGGAAAGCTATTTTTTTCATCTTTGAAAAACAGTTTTTTTAATACGTGTATATTTTTGATATTATTACAAACTACTATTATTTTAAGATATAATACACTAACTAGAGGTGGTGGGACAATAATATATAAAATCTTAATTGCTTTCATCGTAACACTCTGGTTCTTATTTTATAGTTACAAAATGTTTAATTTCCAATATGGGATCCTTGCCGTGTAAATAACTCAAGCTTCAATATATTTGTATAATTTCTTCTAATGATTTTTTTTGTTTTTGTTTTATCAATTTATCTAACATAATAAATTCTGATTAGTGTTGTTAAACGGCTCGATTTGAGCCGATGTTTAAAAACGGCTAACTCTATCTCACAATAATTTTCTCGATTACTTATCTAGCTTCCATCATGTCATCTAAGAGGACTAACCACCATATAGTTTTATGATATGGATTGGTCGTTTATATTTTCTTCTTCAAGAATTGTTTATTTGGTTCGTATAAATTTTTCCTTATTAGTCCATTCTATAAAACATCATATTCTAAAATGGTAACAGAGAGTTATATTAGTTTCATGACCTTTTGTCAATGTAAAGTTGCTTAGAATTATATTGCCTTATGTGGTTTTTAAACACCATTATCAATTGAGGCATATGTATGAATTAATTAACCTTTTTTATCACTTGTAATTCTTTAGACGCTAAATTTTTTTCTATCGGCAAAAAATATTTTGCTGAGAATATTGTAGGCGCTATCTTTTCTGATAGCTATAGCTAATAGCGCGATACATTTTTCCCAATATTTATTTTTATAGCATGCTCCTTTTTTTAAAAGTAGCTAAGTAGAGCTTTTTAAAAATAAAATGAATGTAACTATAAATATAAAAATTTAAATATAATATCATAATTAATTATTTAATATTTTTTTTTTGATATCAATTATCTTTATTCACATCAATTTATAAATATTAAAAAAAATGATAAAACACTAAAATATTAAAACAAATATATAAAAATATATAAAATTACTAAATAAAAATAAATATATATATTATAAGTATCGGAGGCTCTAAAAAGAGATTAATTTAATAATAAATTGTACCTAAAAAACAAGTATAATTGTGTTTAAAAATTTCTAGTTGAAGTTTAATATATATATATTTTTTTATTTAGTAATTTTATATATTTTTATATAATTGTTTTAGTATTTTTAAATTGAAATTTATATTTTCAATATATAGTTGATTTTACTCTATTATATAGAATTAGTTATAAAATACTAGATAAAATTCCACTTTTACAGACATATTTGACAGTTAGAGAATATATTACAGTTAATAATTTAACAAATTTTACTAATCAATCCTCTTGATATTAAATATAGCAACAATTTGCATTCAATTATTTAACCCCATCTATTTATTATAAGTAAAAATGATATTTAAATTTAATCTTCATATTATTCATCCCACAATGTTTTTAAAAGATATTTTCTGATGTCCTTATCTATATTTTATAGTTTTCTGTAAAATATATAATTCACTATATTGGTAAAAATTACTTGATTGTCATATAATTAGATATACTGTAAATCTACGACATATAATATTCCACTGTTTGTATTGTGCTTTAATATTTTTTTTAATTTATGACTTAATTTTATCAATAGTTTTATAATTATATTTTACTTTTAAATTAAAATTACTCACTTTATGAAAAATTATATTTGATATATTATATTATTTAGTAATTTTATGGATCTATTATTAATAATTATAATACATTTCACTTCTGTCTTAAGACTTATTTTTGGCTTATATTCCATTTATTAAAAAACATTTTTGGTTCATTTTACATATTTAAAAATTTATTTTCCTAAAAATCTATAAATTATGATGATTAGTTTTATAAAAAAATATCAACTTTTACATTCTTTCTTTTAAATTATTATTTAAGATATATGCATACATATTTGAGGGTCAGGGAGTGGGGGGAGGACTAGGGGGGATATTTTTTTATTAGCTAAAAATGATATTTACAAAAAGTGATAAATTTCTGAAGGAGGGGATTTCCCCTTGCCCCCCTTCTCCCTGGCTATGCCTATGGTAATGTATATTCTTAATTTGTATTATAAACCTAAATCATCTTGATTATTTAAAATATCATCGCAAATAGATATCCAAATCGATGTAAGTGAGTCAGACAATTATGCTATTAATGAAATGGAAGGTACCCTGGAAGAAATTGTTCTTGACAACAATATTTAAAATTTTCCATCTCCAAAATTAGAAAATATTTTTAAATTAATGTAAAACAAAAGGTGGCTACAAATTTATTTGTTCAAACTGTAAAACAATTAGTGTTGTTAAATGGCTCGTTTTGAGCAGATTTTTAAAAACGGGTAACTCATTATTTTAGCCAGAAAAATATTGTTAATCGAGATTTCTATAATATATGTCTATTGTTCCTTCTATGAACAAAATCTTCAGGCTTACGTAATATTTTTCTGGATAGCATATTGAGTAAGCCGTTTCTAAAAATCGGCTCAAAACGAGCCATTTAACAACACTAAAAATAATATGTCCTTAAATAAATCTAGTAGCTGTAACCTCAAAACACTTAAAGGTAATTGTCATTTTTAAATACTAATTGTATTTTTATTTTGTAAGAATATTCATGCCAACCTCTCCCAAAATATACCCTTAAGCCTCGGAGGTCTAAAAGGTTCCCTGTGATCTGGGTCTAGAATAGATTCAACGTCTCCTCGACGGGGTGTATAACCACTTAAAGGGGTTGATGTCAGGAAGGGCATTCGATTGTAAAAAACTTGCTATAAAATTTCCCTATGGTCACAACAAAGCAGGGGTGGGGTACAGCCCAAAGTACCCCGAGCTACGATAAAAAGAAGAATGGGAAACCTGGTGGAACTACGATTCATGAAAATGAAACTTATGACGGCCATAAACGACCTGATAATAAGTGGAGAAACTAGTTTACGGAGGATCGAGTAAGGGTCGCGACATGGAATGTTGGTATGAGGGGAAGTGTATTGCATAGAAGGCATATAGGTGTGTGCTGCATACAGGAGACCAGATGAAAAGGAAATGGCGCAAGAATGATTGGCAAGACTAGTGAAAAGTATAAATTCTTTTGGCAAGGAGGTAATGATGGTAAGGCTGGAGTTGGGGTATTAGTTGCGGAGAAATTAGTAGACAAAGTGAGAAGGGTATATAACCAGATAATAGTTATCAAGATGATTTTTGGTAGAAAGCTATATAATATTATCTCGGCATATGTTCCTCAGGTTGGAAGAAGTGAAGAGAAAGATATATTTTGAGACAGTCTATTGGGGTTGCCATCGAGACTGCCTGAAGAGGGTATTATCCTGGCTGGTTATCAAGTTTTTGTTTTAGTAAATTTTAATATGTTAAAAAAATCTCTTACCATCTTACAATTAACAAAAGGTTAGGTCTATTATAAGATGTTATAAGTCAGGCAAATAAAAAATTTCTTCGATATCAAAACAAGAATCTATACTTTAAAAATTATAAAACATAAAAATTAGCCCTTTTATAAGGAAAATGAAACGCGCAATTATAAATTAAAATAAAATTGACGCAAAGTGAAAAAATTGCGAAAAGGAGTTGTGTTAGTTTTATCTTACATAATTGGGAATAAAGCCTACATGCCTATATTTTCCGAAACTCAAATTATGCCTCTGGATGCAGGGCGATCTCTGGGACCTAAATATCTAACTTATATTTGTTGAACACCTTACTAAGAACTCCAAGTAGGAAAAACCCCTGAATTAAAGAAAACACAAAATGCATGTTTTACTTTTAATGTGCTTAACTCAAACAAAAGAGAGACCTAAAAAAACTTTATTTAATTTTTATGTATTTAGGTCAAAACAAAAAAGGTAAAAAAAACTGTTTTTAATTGAAGTGTAATAGATTAAAATAAATTACGGAATAACATATTTCATATTATAATTACCTTTAAAAATTGTTACGAAAAATGACAAAATTACCTTACTGAGTGAAATTTTTATATATTCCCCATAAATGAACAATATAGGGATTTAAAGAAAAAATGTTTCATTTTATTTACACTACAATTAATAAAAATAATCTAGAAAAAATTTAATAAATTAAATATTGACATTCATTTTAATTGGTACATAATTATATGTATTATTTCTCCAAAACCTTGCCATTTTATCGAGACATCTCGCTTTATTTCATAACCTTAAGCTTAACCAGCAACTATCAATACAAATAATTAAATTACTCATAAACAAAAGGTAACATGTTTATACAATTTATTCAACAGATTCATAAACAATATAAATATAAATTACATTTATTTAAAATTTTAAATTCTTTATCAATCTTAAATTTAATTTATAGAATTATTTAATCATTTGTTATTTCAAATTCCATGTTATTTAATAAATAAAATAATTTGACGTGATTAGTTCATATTCATAATAATTATTTCCTATATAATTCGGGTATGATTTGATGAATATTAACATTTTTATTGCAAGTTAAGATATTTTTTAAATCAAGATTTCTGATTTAACGGAGTGTCGATAATATTCCCTGTAATTATTCGTTTAAAATAAATAAATAAAGATTAAATTTGGACTGTTATCAATGTTATATAAAATCAGGAACTTTTAAAAAAAAATTATAACTAAACGAATAAAAGCCAGGGGAAAATATTCATTGTTAGATGTTGTTTAGAACAATTTTCAACCATCAGGCTATATCTTATTTTTGTGGATTATGTTAAATTTAATATTTGAAATAAAATTATAATAGCAAATGAATAAAAAATATAAGTTAAAGAATCGATTTTACACAAATAATGCATCATTTTTCATTATGCTAAATATTTACGAACTCCACAATTATTTTTAAAATATACAATACATACACATTTATATTATGATATATTACATAAAGTAGAGCGTGCTATAAAAACGTTGTTTTATAAAGACTTTTAATTTGTTTCCTTCTTTGGGATTTATCTGTAAACGCATTCACCTAACGATAATCGATGGGCCGCCATCTTGGAAATACCATAATAGTGAACGAAAGCGGCCATTAAAACGAAAACGTGAAATATCTGATGGCTTTGGAACTAAGCATTCACAACCAAAATAAATATTTTTTTAAATTATTGTTATAATTCTATGGATAATGTCATATCTAATTCTCTGTGCCAAAAAAAATTTGAAGAAATTGGATCAAAATTTTGGATCGTATTCAGATCTGTATAAGAAAAATTCTCAGATTTAGATCAGTTTGGAATTTTTTTCTCGGATCGGGTATGACTCAAAAAAATAAGATCGATATAGGGTTCTAAAAAAAATTATCCACTAAAAAACCTCCGACCCTTGTTAAATTTTAGGTTAAAAAAAGTTTGCAAAACTCACAATATTTTATATAATGATCTACTTAAAATTATGCAGATTTTATTAATAATTAACCATTCTCTTTTTTAACATTTCCTCTTCAAAAATTCAAAAAATAATAATGAAAGAGGCTATGGGATAAATATATCCATATCATTTATGACAACTTTATTTCGGTCTAAAACAAACTTTCCCAACCAAAAATAACCTCATCAAAATTGTTCTATATGTTGAGAAAAACTATGATTCTCACAAGTAGTGAGAATAAGAATTTTAGGGAGTTCGGGTTAGTTAACACATCTATTTCCACTATATATAGTCCTCGTAAACCAGTCGATGATCCAGGACTGTCCTAATTAATTCAAATTGAGCTGATCTTACAAATCAAATCAACATGTATTTAGGGCCTATTTAAAAATAAATAAAACTTGGATTCTTATTTTATGTCCAAATTTAAGAAAATTTAAATTTTTGTTGGCTAGCTCAACCAGATCCAAAAATATATGTCTTCAACGTGAATCGTGCTTTAAATCAAATTCTGCACATAAATATAGTATTATAGTCATAAATTATATTATAATTTTAGCTTAGACTAACCCGTGCTATATTTTTTAAAAAATGGCCTGGCTCAGGTTTATAAAAAATTTTTTACAAGCCAAGTTTTAAACAAAATTTTCGACCCACACTTCAAAAAATGAATCCCAGAAAAAAAGCCTATGAAAAAAAAACTGCGGAAAAAAATCTTGGGATAAAAATCTGCGAAATTAAAAACTCAAAAATAAAATTGTGTGGAAATTAGTGATCTACATCGGGCCTAATTATTCAAGCCCGACCCGGCCCAAAATTTTTTTAAAAAGTTTTGCCCGGCCCGAACCCAAATTTTTTTAAAAAAAATTCGGCCTGCCCAGCTTGAACCCGAAATTTTTTTTGAAAAAATTTACCGGCCCTGCACGAATATATTTAAATATGGAAATTAATTTTTATAATTACTCAAAATAAACGATATATGTTATATGGTGTATAGTTTCTATAAATAAAATCAAATATTTTTATTTTACATAAAAAATTCAACATAAAATTGATAAATTTAGATATATTTTAAAAAATTTCTAGGCCCGACCCGGCCCAAATTTTCTTAAAAAATATTAGGCCGGACCCAGCCTGAACCCGATTGTTTAATAAAAAAAATAGGCCCGGCCTGAAGCCCGTTCGGGCTGGGTCTACTTTTGCAGATCTCTAGTGGAAATATTTATTAAAAACTATTAAAATGATAAATGTATTATATATTATATATTAACACAGGTAAAACATTTCATTATACTAGGGCTGTGCCGATCCACATATTTTTCACCGATCCGATATTTTCCGATATTGTTTTAAACCCGATCCGATATCTATATTAATTTTTATCCACCCCCTTCGAACCAAATGTGAAATCAATATTTTTTATGCAAAGAAAATAATTTTAAAAAGTTTACGGATATTGGTAGTATTAAATGAATTTTTCATTATTCCTCCCCGTGAAATTAAAATATGCAGATAACGCATTTTGCAAAATTATCTTTGTCTTTTGTAAAATATTTCCTTAATTCAGATAACATATTTAAAAAAATTCTTTTATTTTAAGTATAAATAATAAAATGGCATTATTTAAAAAGATTTAAAATAAATAATTGGGTGTTCCTTTCTATTATTATAAAAAAACTTTTAAAATACTATAAATCTATATTAATAAATAAATAAAATTTAAGAGGTGATGTGCATTTGCATTGTTTAAAAAAAATTATTTAGAAAATATTATTAATAAAAAATAAATATACATAAAATAACAAAAAAAGAAAAGTAAATGATCAGATCGGGTTTTGGTATCGGTCCGATCCGGTATTTTTGGAAAACTAGAGATATCAGTGCAGATCCATCCGATATTTAATACCGGCACAGCCCTACATTATACTTTAAATAAAGTGGATAAAATATATTTTAGGTAAATAATTTTTGATTAATTTAAATTGTATACTTTTATTTCGTATAAGATAAATGTTCAAATAATAACACTTATTCTAAATATATCTGTAATAACAAATTTTCATCACTATTTATTGTCTAAAAGAAAAAAAAGAAAATTTAATTTTTAATAAAATAATCGAAGTTGATAGTCTATTTTTAAGTCCGCAGTATTTTTTCAGTCAGGCCTTTTTTCTCAATTTTTCAAGTCCAATTTTTTTCCATGGGCGTTTTTTTTTGATTACCACAAAAAATATACCAATTCAGCATTTTATGTTTAGTTTTTCAGCTATGTGATATAATTGGATATGTAATAACTTTTAAAATATCTTATTATTCTAAAATGGAATTTGTGTTCATTATTGAGGAAATGTATTTTATTTTAAGTAGTGGTGTACGATACCACTTTTTGGATGCCGACCCGATATTAAATAGATATTGGCCTATTAGGTATCTGATATTATATCTGATTTTGTAATATGTAAACGTATTTTAATTTTTAACGCATATGTCTACTTATCTAATATGCTTTTAAATATTTAACATCTATATTTTAATTTTAACTATACCATAACATATGTCATTTAAATATATTATAATGATTCATGAATCTAAAAGATATAAAAATTCTTAATTGGTAAATTACTTATTATATAATAACATTAAGCTATCTACAAAATAAGTATAAACAAATATATTCTAAAATTTAAGCTAAATTTTTTTTAAATTAAGACGCCATTTTATCGGATCGGATTGAAAATTTTATAATATCGGCCGATAACCAATATTTTAAAAAAGATGAAATATTGGCCCGATCCGATAAAAAATATCGGTACATCCTTACTAAAAAGAAAAATTATAATAATTAAATCAACAACTACTTTATTTACCTAGTACAATAAAAAGCATATGACAAATTAATTTTTTGATATTTTATAATATCAATAATTAACATATAAAAACTACCAGTAATATTTTGAATTTGGTTATTGTATTTGTAATTGTTTAATTTTAAATAGTAACTATTTCTTTCTCTTTAATAGTTTGCCTAATTTTTGAATAAAAATTATAAAATTAGTCTCCTAAATTAATTATATACCTATATAGTATATAAGGACAAATAAAAATTGTATGATTTAAATAAAAATGATCAAAATTAGTGAATAGTGAAAAGCGATAAAATGATTTTATTAACACAAGCTGAATTGAAATCTTATTAAATAAATATTCATTTTCTACAATTTAGGTTCCACCGAAATTTCAAGAATATAAATTGATTTTTTTTATTAGCTTCATTGCAATCTACATATATTAAAACAAAATCAAATTAAGAACGATTAACGAAAAAAATGCTTAATTATAAAAAAAGCGGTATTTTATCTATCGGTAATGTAAAGGAATATGTATCAAGATTATTTTATTTTTTTTGAAAAGATCGGGATTCGATCTTTTAACAAGCATGATGCATTATATATTATATATTATTTATACTACTCATTTACCCATAGATCGAATTTTCCTGGGAAAAATCTTTCTGGCACTCTAAAAGCGTACATAAGCGTGCCAACGATGTATAATAAGCCCATGAGTCCGACCCATCCCATGACTCCTAGAGTCATGGCCGTGTATATACCATTAGCTATTGTGTAATGTAGAGCTGGAACGACGCCCGAACATCCGAATGTGATAAATAAACCTTTTGGTTTGTGCATAAAATAAAAATAAAATTTTAAAAAGTGTTCGTTCAAACATAAGTTTGTAATTATAATGGATTAAAAAATATATTTTTTAAGGGGAAATAAAAATGTTGTAACATAAATAATTGAGTAAGAAAAAGATGAGATCTTAAAATGAGATATAAGGGAATATATCGGAGAACAAAAATTTACTGACATAAACTATTTATTCGTAATCGAAGAGATGGTCCCAGAACCATCTATATGAGATTATGTCCAATAAAAGTTATTCTTTGTCGTTTTCTGCATTATGCTTTCGATTATTTGATAATTTTATTCTTACAATTAGAACCAAAGGAGGAATATATTCTACCGAAATTGAAGGTAGACTGATTAGAAACGAACCTAGATCGCTAAAAAATCCATACTACCCAAAAAGGCAGAGATAACCGTACAATAACAAAAACTCCAATAGTCACCGTCATTAAAATAAGGCTGTTTAGCAGTATTAGGTTCACCTGATACCGTTAGTTTTCTCTCTCTGTATATGAGCAAACTTTATGGATATATGAGCCAAATTTATAGACATCAAGTGATATCACTGGCAAAATATCACGACATAACGAAAGAGCAACATTACAAAAAAGCAATATGACCCCTTTTATCAAATAAATAACATATATCAACTATCATTATGGTTATACGACATCTACACGAATAATTTAACATGTCAAGGGTGATCTTGAAATATTAGCCATCATAGGAAGTGATGATAGAAATCTGTCAACACACTTATGAAAACTCAGGTGTATTTGAAAAACGGTTGAATTTGTGAGGGGGGGGGGGTTACAGTTAATCAGTTAGTTAGAATATCCTCTGCAATATTATAGTCGAAATTTTCTAAAATTTTTATAACATTGTATTAGATAACTGAATAAATTTTTTTTATTAAAACCAAATCCTAGAAAAACAAGAGATGAGGATATCTATAAATAAATACAGCCTAAAATATTACGATCCATATTAATATATAATTACATTCATGATATTTAGCGACTTAAAAATATGGAATCAATAAATTTACAGACATTTTAATTGTCTGCCAAAAATATCACGGCCCAAAGCACAACGTAATTTCCCATCTCTGTTGAAGTCTTAACACCAAATATAGCAAAATCTGCTCAATTAAGAAGCACGCCAAAAAAATCAAATGGAGGAGCTAGTTGTTTTTTAAGGTTAACTCATTTTTTAGGCAAAAAATTCGGATTTTCAAGGGTTTTTAGAGTAAAAAATGATTTGTCAAAATTTCAAGGATGAGTAAAATTTACTACCACCCCCCTCCTTCCAATCATATCATAGGGGATAAAAAAAATACTATTATCATTTGATTACCCTTTAATTATTTGTATTGTAATATTTATATTCCAACCGAGTTTCTATACTATATTTAAAAGAGATTTACCTGCCCTTAGCCATCGATAATCAGGATCACCAAATCGTTCCCAAAAAGATATGACTAAACAGATTATTCCCAATAATATGATTAATGTTAGATAACCAAATTTGATGTAGGGTTGACAATAAAAGCTATAATATAACCAAGGCACACAAGAACCCATTATTAGGAAAGTGATTCCGCAATAGTCTAATCTAAAAAATAATTTAGCCAAAAAAATAAATGATTAAAATATCATTATTCAATCATAGACGTTAATTTTTATAAACGATTAAATAGCATCTAAGATATTGGATTAACTACGTTTTTCTTAAATATTATAATATATAAAAAAGATCAATTCAACAAATTATTTTGTTTGGAAATAAATAAAAATTACTGTATACATTCCAAAAAAACCTTTTTTTAAATAAATAACATGAATTGGAAAAAACAATAATTTAGTCTTATATATTAAGCAATGCTAAAAGTAAAGCACTATAGCTACAAACTTTCCAAATTGAATTTATATATAAAGCATATTTTATTAAATAATTTAAATTTTTCTAGATTAATTCATTTCATGGTGTATATAGGTGATAAGTTATAACAGTTCAGTTACATTCCAGTTCTTAATTTAAATTTTCTAGTTCCGTTTTGGTCATTTCAAGCATTATTTTGGTTTATTGTTTAGACATCCATATCAGTTCATTACAGTTTTTATGTTTTAAATATTTTTAAATTGTGCATAATATATTTTATTAATTTACCCAAAATACTGATAAAAAAAACATTTTAAAACTTAAGAATAAAACAAAAATTAGAGAGAAAAGTTGAATTTCTTTAATAAAAAATAACAAAATAAATAGATAATTATAAAAACCATTTTGAATTTGTTTGAGTGGTATTAACATTTTGGTTCTCAAAATATTTTTATAATTATTTATAGTTTCGAAATATAATTTATTTTATTGTAGTAGTTCTATTCCCTGATATATGCATTGGGCCTAATTTTTCAAGCCTGGCCAGCCCGAACCCGGAATTTTTTTTAAAAAAAATTTACCAAGCCCACGGGTTCAGGCCAGGCCTACTTTTTGCGGATCTCCATATGTATAAATTAATTCAAATTTTTAAGAATATAAGATATATTGAATAAAAATAACCTGCTAAACAATTTCCCCATTTTTTCAGAATGACATGACATCGTATGAAATAAAAATGAAAATCCTAGGCAGAGTATTGCACTGAAGAAAAAAGACCCAAATATAAGCTTCTCCCTCCATAAAACTTGATTTGATGGGCGTGAAATAAAGTAAGCTGCCACTACTAAAAAAGCAATACACCCTAAAATTAAGTAAAAATGTAATATGTAAATTATATCTACAAATTAAAATACATTTATTTTTATTTGATTTTTGACCTTGGTCTTATTTATAGATAAAATAATTATCAGTTAAAAAATATTTGAATTTCTATGGGCCTTCAGATAGGACAGTCTTATACTTTTATTTCAGTTTTTTTTAAAAACTGACTAAAGTAAGAGATGTTTCAAATTTAGTAATTTTTATTTTAGTAATTAGAGGTATATTGATTATATTTAATAGGCATAATTGTTTTATACAAGAAAATGGATAAAATATACTAGGTACATTTAAAAATAACAATTTATGCCTTGTTTTAAAACAAAAATAGTAATAATTATTTTTATATAATTAAATAAACCTAATAAATGAGTCCATATATTGACTGTTTCAGTGTGTATCCTGAATATGGACCTAAAGCATTGAATAAAAGATTCTAATTGAGGACGATGACCATGTAATAAGAAATCATTATCTTGTAAATATTTTGGAAGATTATAAAAGTGTGTTCCATGCCATTTATTAGTTGACATAAGAATTTTATGAACTAGCTGTTCAGCACCTTCTGCAACTTCTTGCAACTGCCTTGAAGTAAATGTGATAAGATCAATATGAGTAGGGTCAAACTCTGGAAGCTAAAATAAATAATCTGAATTAAGAAATGTTTGCTATTTTACTTTAATATTTCGTAAAAAATCAGTATCATCTTCATAAGATATTTGAGGCATGGAACTATTATTGAACTCCATAAAGCTTTGCTCTTTAGTATCTAGGCCCTGCTTATCTTCCTTCAAGTAAGATTTTCGTTCCCTCAACTCACTTTCCATTTTTGAACGTTTGATAAGAAGTATTAGTGAACCAAAATTGATAAAAACTGCCAAGTCAACATATAGCAATTATCTTCTACCAAACCCAATGACATATTATATATGTCATTGACCAAACCCAACTTATCAGCACCTATAAGTTAAATTTTATATTTAAGGCACCAAGTTTAAAGCGTTGATATGTAATAAAATTAATTATATGTATTATAGAGCGTACGATTTAACTGGAGTTTTTGTATTAAAAAATCATAATAGGAAAACATATTTTCAATTAATATATTTTTTTTAAGATTATATTATATATATATTTATTTGAGTTTTAGTTTTAAATGATATCTATTTTAGTTTTAAACTTTTTATGTCTAACTCTTAGTGTTGTTAAACAGCTCGTTTTGAGCCGATTTTTAAAAACGGCTAACTCAATATTTCATACAGAAAATTATTATGCAAACCTGAAGATTTTGCTCACAGAAGAAACAAAGGTCTAGACATATATTATCGAAATCTCGAGGCTTAGGTAATATTTTTCTGGCTAAAATATTGAGTTAGCCGTTTTTAAAAATCAGCTCAAAATGAGCCCTTTAACAACACTACTTACTCTTATGGCAATGACAAAAATATCATTGAGATTTATATTATATTTAATTTTTGCTTAATTTAAATTCGTTTGAACATTATATTTTATTTTATTTTCACGTAACTTAAAATCAGTCATTTTTAACTTGTCAATTTATAGAAATATAAAAAGAAAAGATGTTTTTAATTAAAATATAATATATAAATTATGATACGTGATTTAATAAAGTTATAGTTATATATTTAAAATCTGACTTGATGACAATTATAGAATGTGTTGAATATATTATTTAATAAAGGAAATCTGTTCTTTAATCTAGTGCTGTTAAAAAGCCCGATTCGGGATTTTTAAACTGCCCGATTAAGATTATAACCAAAATAACATGATGTAAGCTTAAAAATTGTGCTCATAGTTAATGCTTGAACATCTATTTGCCAAATCTTGATATTTACAAAATATTATTTTAGCTAAAATCTTAATAGGCTCGTTTTGAAAAATCGACCCATATCGAGGTTTGTCACCACCAAATTTTCTCATTAACCAGCATGATGGCAATGAAGTTCTTCCATTTTTCTTTGAAGGTGAACATAAATACACTTATCAGACATAAAGGATAACTATAAAGTAAAAGGGTATCTAAAAGAAAAAATAAAAGGTGTTTAGTTTCAATATTTTTGTTTGATAAATATACTAAAATAGATGTTTTTAAAAAAAATTTATTATGTTTACATAAAAAATTAAGTAAATTTTTATATAAATATAGTAAAAAAATCATAAAAAGATTATCAATTAAAAAATTTTTTATAAAATAATAATGGCTACCAAATGTATGGCATATACAGCCAATTGGTATTAATTCATTATTGTACTGCCTCAATTCTGTAACTTTGGTTTTTGCAAAATTAACAGAGGCATTATCAGCGCAAAAAGCTGACATGCAAAGCATTGATACCCCTGAATCAGCTATATTTACCATTATGTGGCTAGCTACATCGTTTTATTTTTCACTATCCGAGGAAAAATTTTTAACAGTTTTATTGAAATGTTCTTAATCTTGTTGAAATAGCGAAGGATCTTTCCCTTATTAGGTGCATCTGTTAGAATTGCATATGGATGCCATCTTTCAAATCGTCTAGAATTGATCTCTAGGATTCAAGTACTAAAACACTTGTGATAGCCTTGCTCATTCTTGTTCTGCCACAAGTAAGGTTTACACTTATATTGGAGTCGTAAACATCGTGAGAAAAATATTCGACCCACATTGTGATGATATAGCTCTATGAATGTTGAACTACATGATAGATGTATACGATTTCCGCAAACGTAGTTGCATCTGTATTATTTATTATTATTTTTGAGAATATTTTTGTATTGCAATCGATGTTGATATACTCCCCTGCTGTACTGACTTATATGAATGAAATGATGTTGATTTATTATTAGATAAAAATAAAACAGGATAGAAAGAAATTTACAAACTAGACATTTTTTTCGTATAAATATTTAAAATTTATTTTAAAAATATAAAAATAATCAATTAATGTCTCTCAAAACTATTATTTATATATTAAAAACGTTAAAATATTTTTAAAAAATGCGGGAGAAATTAAAAAATTGCGGTAGATTTTTGCTGGAGATTTCCAATTGCGGTAGCTTTGCGGGAATGAGATGTCTGCCTGTAAACTAAAAAATTGCGGGAGTCTCCCGCTGATAGGGGGAGACATGGCAAACCTGCTTGTTATAACCTTGCTCATTTTTGTTCTGCCACAAGTAAGGTTTGCACTTATATGGAGTCGTTGAGAAAAAGATTTGACCCACATTGTGATGATATAGCTCTGTGAATGTTGAACTACATGTTAGATGTATACGATTTCCGCAAATGTAGTTGCTATTACGTTGTGCCGTACAAGTCTGGGTAGAAAGCAATATAATAATTTTATTTCAATCCAAATTTATATAATTTTATAATAATTTAATAATAATCTTAAAAAAAAATTAATTGTTAAAAAAAAATTAATTAAAATAAAAATGAATTCAAAAAAGAAATGAAAAAATTAATTGTTAAAAAAAAATTAATTAAAATAAAAATGAATTCAAAAAAGAAATGAATTGATAATTTACAATTTTCGCTTCCCTTTTAAAGGGAAGCAATAATCATCACAAATAAATAATTAAACCCCATCATCATAATGACTTTACAATAATTAACTTTTATAAATCTAAAAATAAAATGTTAACGCGATTAAACTAAAACATTAAATTATAAAAATGACAATGACTCACCAATTTAACTAAAACATAAAATTATAAAAATGACTCATCAAATGCAATACATACTTACTTTACCAAAAATCAAATTTTACAAATCAAAGTCTCCCAATTATGACACCTCCCCCCTTTAACTAATCCTTGAGACCCCAATCCCTTTGATCACCCCTAGGAATTCTTCTGTTATTGTTGTAAGTGGACACCTTTGACCATCGATTATTCGAACATATTTCCATAATTACTATTCCTCCATCGTCTTCTTCTAAGAGTAACTACAACCTAAAATCCTTATAATTTATTTCATTACTAAAAAAAAAATTTCGGACTCCCACTTTTGCATACACGCTGAAAAGACTCCACCGCTCCAGTAACACGCTACAAATACTCATTTACCTCCAACTTTCGATTGTTCTGCTCTAGAGTAACCCCTGTTATTAAATCATGGTATAATAAAACACTCCCTCCAATCCCTGAAAAACTACAGCCATCGTCCGTTGAAACATAGGTGCCGATACGCTCAACCCAAACGGCAACCTTCTAAAAGCAAATAAGCCCCTTTGGCGTTGGTAGCAAATACGCATTCGAAAAATCCACTTTCGAAAAATATCTGCTTCTTTTTAAACTGGCCAATATCTCCTCTATCCTGGGTAACGGATACTTCACCTCCACCACACATGGATTCAACGTTACCCGGAAATCCGCACACAACCTCAAACTCCCATTGGCCTTCTTTACGGGTACCAAAGGCGTCGCCCATTCGCTGTATTCAACCGGACTCACGATACCCTCTAGCACAATACTTCGGCACACATCCATCCTTCATCCGAATCTCCACTTCATAACCCTTTAGACAACCCAACTCTTCCCCAAATATTTCTCCATACCTCTCCATCTCCTTTTGAACATCTTTTATTCCCTCTCCACACTCTCACAAATTTTCCACAACTCCCTGTTCTACAAAATTCTCACTCCTCTCACTAACCAGCGGCCTCAATACTCCATATCTACTGTCTTGGATATTTCCTATTTCTCCATCTACATAAATCGAACCTCTCCCCAATATATCTTCCCTCCCATTTCCTTCGCTTTCCCCCCAAAACACTGATCTTCCCTCGTCTACTTCAATATTATCTCGGCCCTCCATCCATTCCAAATTTCCTCCGGACATTCTCTCCTCCTTAACCTCTCGGACCATATTTATCAAGTCTTCCCGAATATCTTCTTCGATCGCCACAAATACTCCCCATCGCGCAAATACTCCCCAAAATCCATACTCCGGCCCCACACTTGTAATCCAATCCCATCCCATCACCGGCTCAACGTCTCGGTTAATTATCCATAAGTCCAACACTTTTAATCCTTCTCTCCCTACATCCCCAATATGCACTCTTCCCATCATCTCCATCTCCGATCCATCAAACTGCCTCACTTGCATAACGTCTCTAATTATTTTACTACCAGGCCAAAGTCTTCTAAAATCCTCATATCCTATCACCGAAATAGCTGCTCCGATATCAAATAACATAGATACCATCTTCCCGTTGATATCGAACCATACCCTCGGACTTGGCAGATACGTTAACTTCCTTTGAACCTCCTGCTGCAACATTTTAACTCTCAACACTTTCTTGCCTCCTCCTAACGCCAAGGTCATCATTTTACTCTCCTTCCCATCATATAGTCAATCTTTATCATAATCTCTGGCCAAATGTCCCCTTTCTAGGCACTTGAAACACGTCATCTCCTCTTCAATATCCTTTCCTCCTTTTCCAGCTATCTCCGTCATACTCCTCATATTCACAGCCCCTGAAGTCTCTCCTCTCTGTGGAAAACCTGCCCTCGTTTCTACCTTTCCCACTCGGCAATCTTTTAACACATGTCCAAATCTTCCACAACCCACGCAACGTATTCTCTCTGCTCTGCCCGGACAATATGTCGAAATATGTCCCATCTCCCCACACGCAAAACATTTGACATCTCTACAATTCACTGCAATATGACCCATCTCCCCACATTTATAACATCTACCATTCCGACCTCTCTGTCCCCCACTGCTGAACGGCCTCGGCATGTCCTGACGTCCACGGTATACGTCCAAATGTCTGTCATCTATCCTCTCGTTCTTTAACCGGTCAATTTCTTCATTATTGACCCAACCCTTCATTATTTCTTGAACCGGTAACCACGTCACTCTCCCCAATCTATCATCCTCTCCATTATGTCCTTCTACCAACAACGATTGCCCACGAATCCTAATACTCCTTTCTCTTCGCATTCTTCTTCCAAAATATAAACTACACAACCATATCATCAACACTACCACCGCTCCCAGTACATTATACTGCAACTCCACATACTTCGTAATTTTAAAACTCTTCATTAAAATATTTACATATTTAAATTTTTCCTAATTTATTTCCCAAGTAACTCAATCTAGCAACACTATATTTTATAAAATATTCACAAAAAATTAATAATTAATTTCGCCAAAAATATCTTAACTGCTTGTAACGTCAGACATTAAGATAAAATCAATAAATTAAAAAACTCCAATAATACACATATACATTTATCAATTTCAAAAAAAAAAAATGAATACTTTCCGCATCTTTAAACTTTTCCGTGTATTGACGTCTTCTGAAAAAAAATCGGCAGCACTTCCGTGTAACTTGCCTTCTAATAAACTTTTTCAGATTTTCTTCTAATTGATTTATATAAGCAAAAATTTGGGCAGCACTTCCGTGTACTCTACCTTTTTAGTAAATTTTCGGATTTTCGTCTAATAGATTTATATAGGCAAAAATTTTGGCAGCACTTCCGTGTACTCTACGTCATCTTGAAAATTTTTACTTAACGGTCACCTCTTTTGACGGTACTTGTTCTTGACGGTCTCTTGCCTCAAACGGTTCCTTATTACACACGGTACTTTTCCTTGACGGTAATTGTTCTTGACGGTCTTTTGACTCAAACGGTCTATTATTACACACGGTACTTGCCCTTGACGTTGACGGTACTTGCTCTTGAGGTACTTTTCTTGACAAATTGACGGTCTTATCCACCACAGCACTCCACAAAGATATTTTCCTCAATTTATAAAAATAATTGTTTTTACCTTTTTTAGTCACGGCACCAACTATTACGTTGTGCCGTACAAGTCTGGGTAGAAAGCAATATAATAATTTTATTTCAATCCAAATTTATATAATTTTTTAATAATTTAATAATAATCGAAAAAAAAAATTAATTGTTAAAAAAAAATTAATTAAAATAAAAATGAATTCAAAAAAGAAATGAATTGATAATTTACAATTTTCGCTTCCCTTTTAAAGGGAAGCAATAATCATCACAAATAAATAATTAAACCCCATCATCATAATGACTTTACAATAATTAACTTTTATAAATCTAAAAAATAAAATGTTAACGCGATTAAACTAAAACATAAAATTATAAAAACAACAATGACTCACCAATTTAACTAAAACATAAAATTATAAAAATGACTCATCAAATGCAATACATACTGACTTTACCAAAAATCAAATTTTACAAATCAAAGTCTCCCAATTATGACAGTTGCATCTGTATTATTTATTATTTTTGAAAATAATTTTGTATTGGAATCGATGTTGATATACTCCCCTGTACTGACTTATATGAATGAAAGATTTATTATTGGATAAGAATAAAACAGGATAAACTAGACATGTTTTTCGAATAAATATTTAATATTTTAAAAATATAAAAATAATCAATTAATGTCTCTCAAAATTATTATTTATATAATAAAAACAAAATACTATAAAAAAAAAATTGCTAGAGAAATTAAAAAATAGCGGTAGATTTTTACAGGAGATTTCCAATTGCGATAGTTTTGCAGGAGAAAGATGTCTGCGTGTATACTAAAAAATAGCGGGAGTCTTCCGCTGATGAGTGGAGACATGGGAACCCTGTCACTGACATGAATAAATAATCTAGTAGCTAAATTTTCAGAAGGAAAGAAATTTACTAAAATCAATTCTAAAAATAGTCCTGCTTGATAAAAGTTGCAGAAATATTTTGACTATATCCACGCACAAGGGATATTACCGATTTACTAGACTTCCTTTTGGGCTAAAGACCTCATCTGCAATCTTCCAACAGATCATGAACCAGATCTTCGGTGACATTAAAGATGCCATATTTTACATTGATGATTTACTTATAACCGGAAAAAACGACGTAGATCATAATCACGACAAAATTGAAACAATAGCGAATATGCCAGAACCAAAATCAGCTGCTGAATTATTAACATTTTTGGGAATGGCTGGCTACTACAGAAAAATTTTGAACAATTTTGCAGAAATAGCCAATCCTCTATATAAAATCGTAAACAAAGAAAAATGAACGGAACTTAAAACACTCTAAGTTTTAATGATCTAAAGAAATTGATTAGTCTTCCTCCTGCTTTGACTTATTTTAATCCTGAATTACCTATAGGAATTGCTACTGAGACATCTAAATGTGGTTTAGAAGCTGTATTATTTCATACTGAAAAAGACGGCAAAGAAAAACCAATAGCTTTCGCGTCAAGAACTTTATTAAAATCCGAAATGAACCATACCAATATTGAGGGTGAGGCTCTCGCTATTATGTTCACTATAAAGAGGTTCCAGGAATATTACTCCACCAGAAAAAATGTTTATGTTTTCTTTTTTGTATATTTCATTCACAATAAAAGATATTTAAATTTTGTTTTAATAAATTTTATAATTTAGTAGTATATATTTATATATTTTTAAGGGTTGTTTAAAAAGAGTTATTGTATACCCCATCAAATATTTAATTAATATTAAATCCCATATGTCTTCTTCGCATACCTTTCCTTCATGTCAAAAACTGATACATCTTAGAAAGAACGGATGCTTACAAATTCATGGTTCTTCTTCTGCTAGATGTCAATACTCCGGCCTTCCTCCACATTCCATTATCAACAATTCGACTTTTATTTCCGCAAATATCGTTCCACCTCCTCAAAATTCGAATTCAAGCTTTTCAGATTTTTTTCTTGATCACCCAAAACCTAACATTATTTCAAGGATCCCCAAAGGTGCAAGATTGACGGTGGCCAAATCCTTTACAGACTGTCTATCATCCCTATTGCTAAACTTTAATAATGAAAACGAATGCCTTAAATTTCTTTTCTATGGCTATAATACTTTCAAGGTGCCAGACAAAACTTCACATAAATCCCTAACCCAATCAAGGATTCTGCTTCAATAGTTGTCCCCATCTATACGAACACGGGAAGACATCTGTTGTCAAAAATAAAATGAAACCCTCTGCTATCGAGCTGAAGGCCAATTTAATCACTAAAAAAATTGACAATCTTAACATCAAAGGTGCACTTAGATTGGTTTCTACTCAAGACTCCCTCGCCGAACCTTCAATCGACACATACTTGAAGCTCTGCAAAAAACACCCTTCTACAACTATAACCCCTATATCTCTACAGCCTCACTCTACATGCGCATCACAATTTACCACTGATGAAGTGAGGAAAGCTATCCTTTCCTTTCATCGAGATTCAGCACATGGCCTTGATGGAATTTGTCCTATATTTCTCCAGGACATTACTTCTCCCTCACAAACTTCCATTCTATCTAAAATTACAAACTTTTGCAACAAAATCTTAAAAGGTGATGTGTCAACCTTTGTTTCTATTCTTTTCGGTGCCAGGTTAATAGCCCTTCAAAAACCCAATAATGATTTAAGACCGATTGCAATTGGCTCTACCTTTCGTCGTTTAGTAGCTAAAATGATTTCCTCTCGAATAAAACATGAAGCTTCAAATATACTAAGTCCTTTCCATGAAGCTGTTGTTCATCTAACGAGAATACACTTAGAAACCCAGCCAACCAACGAATCTTTAGTCAAAATCGACTTCAACAATGCTTATAACACTCTTTCTCGGAATTCCTTTCTGAGCTCATCGAGTATTCTCTTTCCTGGTTACACTAAATTCTTTTATTCATGCTATCAACAACCTTCCACTCTCCAATTTGATACCTATAAAATTCCTTCGATTGAGGGCATACAACAGGGAGATCCTCTAGGTTCTTTATTTTTCTGTTTAGGGATCAATGAAATTGTTAAATCTATTAACGAGGCATGTTCATTATCATTGCATGCATGGTACATCGATGATGGAATCCTTTGTGGTCCAAACGACGAAATCAATGAAGCTGTAATGATAATCAAGGATGCAGGGCTATCCATTGGTCTATCAATCAACCATGAAAAGTCAGAATTCATTCCAATTAATTCATCTGAAAACAATTTTCATAATTTCAAACAGATTACTCTGGAGGAATTATCTCACTTAGGTGCTCCCGTTGGTAGACACACAGCCATATCATCCTTCCTACAATTTACACTCGAAACCCTTAATGAGTTGGTTGACCTATTTTCCCTTCTCCCCTCTCATAAAGCCTTTTTTCTCCTGAAAATTTTTAAATTTTCCACTTCCTTAGGCATTTATGAAAATGGGATTCAAGTCCTAATTGAAAGTATCCAACATCTAAAATTCAATGAATTAGCGTGGACACAAGCCACCCTTCCTACCAAGATGGGAGGAATAGGCATCAGATCCCCTTCCGATCTTGCCTTAATTGCCTTTATATTGAGCTGTCTTTTAACCAAAAATTTAGTCAATCCTAATTCCTTAAATTCTGACCCTTCCTTTGATAGTGCCATCATTGAATGGAAATCTCGATTCATTGCCGACCACCCAATTCCAGAAACGAACAAGCAGAGGGACTGGGATAAGCCCATTATTGCAAGCTGCGTCGAATCTCTCCTTTCCAGTATGCAATCATTGGACCGTCCCTTATTCTCCTCTCTGCTTAATGGTTCTGGACATGAGTTTCTCGAAGCCATTCCATCCGCGAACTTACAATTACAATTGACCCAAAATGAGCTAACTCATGCAATAGAAATCCGTTTAAATTGCTTAGTATCCCAACCCCACATCTGTGCCGGCTGCAGTTCTGCTGTTTTGAGTAATGGAAGGCATAGTCTACATTATCGTTCATGTAAAGGCCGCATCTTTAGACATAACATTTGCAATTCCATAATTCTTAGAGCTCTGAGATCCGCTCAAATTCCTTCTATTCTCGAACCCTCTGGTCTTTTCAGATCTGATGGGAAATGCCCTGACTGGATCTCTCAAATTCCCTGGAAGCGAGGTCAATTCTTGGTCTGTTTTACTCTTGTATTGATCCATTGGCTCCTTCCAATCAATCCCTTAACATTCTGGAGAACAAGGAGCTTCTAAAAATTGCAAAATATTCAGAGATATCCCAAGATCACTTATTCATTCCCATCATTTCCACTCAGCGTCTACATGACAAGATTTTCACTGGATGCAAACCCCCTTTAGAAACCTTTGCCTACCCCCTAAAAAATTTTCGCCGCCTTCGGCGGCGGTGTCTGTCTATTATTATTTTCACCTTTTTAATTTATTGATACTCTTTTTAGATAATTTATCTAGGATAACTTAAATTAATCCATCTCTACTATCAACTATCAATATTTTGTGAATATACAGAATTTATTTTTTAGATAATGAATTCAATTAAAACCTCCATTATTTACAATGAATTAATTATTATGGCATTATGAGCTTGCTGAAATATCAACCTTTTAAATTACATTTAAAAGGATAGCAGAAAGTTTTATTTGGAAAACAATGTGTATGATTGTTGTCAATATATAGATTTGGTCGATGAATTGTATTATAATAATTCTATAATAAAAGTATTAATTTTTGCAGCAATAAATTTTGTATTTCAAAATTTAATAGATAAGCCCCCAAAAAATTTATCCTACCCCCATTATAGCAGCCTAACCCCTACCCCCCTCAAAAAAATAGGATGCAAACTGTTCCTACCCCTCCCGCTCATGTAGACGCTATTTCCACTACCTTGACTACCTTTGGGAATCGTGCTCTTTCTTACTTCAAGGAACTTGGATCGTTAATCCGCAAACTCGTGAAGGCTTCTTCTTAAGACAAAGACTTGCCATAGCTATTCACAGGGCCAATTACATCAGCTTCATTGGCAGCATCATCTCACATGATGATTAGAATATATTTTATATAATTTTAATCGCGTAATGAATAATTTATTTATTTCATAATTATGTTCTCAAAAAGGAACCATAATTATATCTAAAAATTATAAAATTACAACAAATAAAAGTTATCTTGTATTTAAAATAAAAAAAAAAAAATTATAAAATTTAAAAAAAATTTCTTAAAAAATATTATTGTCCATAAACCTCTAGTCCACATCTTCACCAAGGGTCTTAAGGACAATAGTAATATGTCCTTAAGACTGCAGAAGTGGAATATAACATTAGGAGGTTATGAATTCATATAAAGCCGGTAAATATAATGTTGTTACTGGTTGCCTCTCGAGATTACCACAAGAATGTAACGATGAAGTTGTTGAAAATATCACAATTATAAATGGCTTTGGGTATACCTATCAATTTTAATAAAATGCCTGATGAAACTTTCAAAGTTATTGAATTAAAACAAGTCATCAATGATATTAAGAACAACGTGCCTATAAAAAATAATATATATGAAAACATTGAATTGGAATTGATTATAATTAAGGATTGTCTTTACAAAAGCAACAAAATCATAATTCCGTCTTCTATGAGAAAAAATGAACTACAGTCATTAAATGAAGGTCATTTGGGACCAGGATCAAATCCTTAGCCAAAGATTATATGTGGTGGTCTGGTATAAATAACGACATAGACATGGAAGTGAAAAGTTGTGACGATTGTAATATATATCATGACAATCCTAAAAAGATCCAAAAACCATGAGTTTCGGGCAACCAAACCATTTGAAAGGATACACATAGATTATGCGGGTCCGACAAGGAATTGGTTAATAATAGTCGATGCCTATATCAAATTTTCAATTATTGTTCCTGTTAAAATATACTGATATCCCTTTAAAAGAAAATTTGAAAACTATTTCGCTATATGGAATACATAAAAGTTACTGATAATGACACTAACTTCACAAGTAATAATTTTGAAAAATTTTGCAATGATTATGGTATTAAACATGTACTCACGTCCGCATATCACCAGCAATCCAATCACCAGGTAGAGAAAAGGAATACCAATATTGACTTAGATACTGCACTTGACAATTTTTTTCAATTATAGAAAGGTTAATAATAGTCGATGCCTATAGCAAATTTCCAATTATTGTTCCTGTTAAAAATATTACGACTGATATCACTTTAAAAGAAATTTTGAAAACCATTTCGCTATATGGAATAGCTAAAAGTTACTGATAATGGCACTAACTTCACAAGTAATGATTTTGAAAAATTTTGCAATGATTATGGTATTAAACATGTACTCACGTCCGCATATCAGCAGCAATATGACCAGGTAGAACGTATGGTGAGAACATTCAAAACATATATGAAAAGGAATACCAATATTGACTTAGACACTGCATTTGACAAATTTTTATTCAATTATAGAAACATGTGCAATGACACTACAAAAGTCACACCTTCCAAGAAAATGTTCAATCGCGATATGAGGGTTAAATGGGACTTATTAAAACCGTTGGTAGAAAAGGAAAACAAAATCAATGTTACTTTACCACGCAATAGAACCTTTAATTTAGGAGATTTTGTTTGTTATAAAGTACAAGGTGATGACAAATGGTGGAAAGGTGTGGTCACACACAAAGAAAGTGACACGATATTCCAAATTCTTAAAATATAAAAACATATAAAAATAAATTAAACTTTAAAACGCAAAAAAAAATTAATTAAACACTAAAACGCGAAAAATAAAAACGCTAAAGATATTATATAACAATCTTATTGATTTATCATTCTTCACTTATTCTCACATCCTACTTGATCAATTATATTTGACTGACTGATGATAATCTATATTATAATTTTCCGATGTCCTCACTACGTCATTGTGACGTCATGTCATCGCTACGTCATGTCATCGGTACGTACTTATTTTTATTTTTTTATTGATTTTATTTTATTTTTTTTATAGAAAATATTTTTAGACATGAAGCCCAATAAAATCTACCAAATGCAAAATAAAGTTATTCATCTATATATACTAAAAAGGCTTATACTTTTCATTTTAGAATACTTAGCTTATGATGGATGATATTCCCACTATTTCTAAAGAGGTTAACCTAATATTGACTCCTCTTCAGGTTTAATACATTAATATATTTTTTATTTATTCTTTTGTTTTTATTTAGATAACAAGCCATGTCCCAACCTCAATTAATGATTGTACAGGTGGTATATTGACTCCTCATCAGGTTCAATGCATTTATTTTTTTTATTTATTCTTTTGTTTTTATTTTAGGTAACAAGCCATGTCCTAACCTCAGTTAATGATTGTACAGGTGGTGATTTATCCGTCATTAATAAAAAAAAAATGGCAGATCAATCAAAAAAAGAAACACACTAGGGATAGCGAGGCCCTACAAAATCTACTAACAACTCAAAATAAAGTTAGCCTTATATATATATTTTTTTTATACTCTTTTATATTATAGAATACATCTATTTTAGCTTCTGATAGTGTCCCAACTATTTCTAGGGAGTTGAACCTAATATTGACTCCTCTTCAGGTTCATTGCATTTATATTCTTTATATTATTCTTTGTTTTTATTTTAGATAACAAACCCTTCTTTATTTCCTCCTTATAATTGTTTAAATATTGATATATCCACCATTAATAATCAACAAATACAAAATAAATATTCAGAAAAACACGATAGTCTTGACAAGTCCACAACTAGACAAATTTTATTTTTTGATGATAGCCTCCCAACTACTAGAGATATGCATATATTGACCCCTTTACAGGTTCAGTACAGTATTTTAATGTTCGTTTTATTTCAATAATAATGTTTTATATTTATGCTTGATTTCCTTATTTTTTTTTAGGTTAACCCAAACTTAATCCCTCACATAGCTACAAAACATGATATTTCTATTAAAGATAAGCAAAGAAAAAAATGGCGACTCAACAAACGCCTTACCCGTTCTAGAATTACAGGTATTCAGGATAATAAGGACCTACGCCTGATATTAACTTCCTTACAGGTTTTTAATGTTTTATATATATAGGTTTATTTTATAATCACCCAGATACCGTCAACTGATATTTCTATAACCACTACCACATTCCCTATGGCACCTCTACCATGTATATTTCGACATATATTTGATGACCACCACTCACCTATATTAGATATCGGAAATATGACAGAAATATGCGCCTTCTGCAATGCTAAAATGTGGAATGGAGAAAAATTATCAAAAAGCTCATGTATAAATATTCAGTTTTCTACATGTTGTTTGAATGGGAAGGTATTTTTATCTAAAATTTCCCAATTACCACCAAATTTATTACGTTTATTTACCGGGAATCATTGTTCATCATCCCACTTTTTAACAAACATAAGAGCTTATAATTCCGCACTGTCATTCACTTCACTAGGAGTAAATATAAATAATAATTTATCCAATTCGCGATCAGGTAATTATACCTTTCAAATTAATGGACAGGTTCATCATCGCATTGGTTCACTCCTACCAACATTAGGGAAAACACCTAAATTTGCCCAATTATATATACATAATAGTATAAATGAGATAGAAAACAGACATAACCAGGTTCCGTTTTTAGATCGTTGTCTTTTAATGGAATTGCAGGATATTGTTCACACCTACAACCCCTTTGCTTCTCAATTTTTGAGAGTATCTTCAATGATCGCTACTGGCGTTCCTAACATATCCTTAAACTTAAAATCTACTCCAAGTTTTTATACACCCAGTTGCCTCCAAATGATATTTCTATCACCACTACCACAATCCCTATGCCACCTCTGCCTAATTTTTAACAAATATAAGCATTTAATTCCACTATCATTCACCTCATTAGGAGTTATTATAAATAATACTTTATCCGATTCCCTGAGGAACTTTCATGAATATTTAGAGAGATGTTCAAACGTGAATGTATAGTGCGGCCAATTTCATTAACATTATTAATGGGAAAATATGCGGTAGTTTTGTCATGGCCTTTATAACAATACTTACGACCGTTTTATGGTTGAGTTGACAATGTCGTTCATGATTCTATTTTAGAAGGGGATACCAAAATTGACACTTTGGCAGAAATATCATTTCGCGTTCTTCTTTTACCAGTAGCCCAGGGCCTCAGCTTTATCAGGACGCAATGGGTGTTGTACACTGCTTTGGTAATCCGTCATTATTCATTACTTTCACCTACAACCCTAAATGGGATGATATTATATATTAATTTTTTCTTCTGCAGACGACTGCCCAGATTTATTTTGTCGCTTTTTCCATCAAAAATTAAAATGTCATAAAGGATTTGGTCTTAATTTTACCAGACACACAGAGTAATAATTAATCCTCATCATTTTTAAAAAAAATTAAATAAATTTATATGGCAAGAAAAACAAATTTCTTAAAAAATATATAAATAAATTGCATATAAGTTTCATTAGTATTGAATGGCATTTTTGTAACTATTTTTTTGTATTAACAAAAGATATAGATAGCCCTTATCAAATTTTTTGATAAAAGGAGTTAACCCACTAATTGGTAAATCCGAGATTTCCCCTTCATGTGTTGATAAATTATTTAGAAATTTAACTATCTCCGGGTTTGGGAAATAGTTTGAAACTTAATATGGGATGGACTGGGCTTGAAAAATATTCCTCAAGATTAATATTTGCTTGCACCTGACTTGGGAATATCTTATACAAATTATTATGGGCCAGGCTAGGAAAAAATTTTCATAATTATTATGGGTTGAGCTAGGCTTGAGAAATTTTTTTTATAAATTATAAGGTCTTGAACGCGTGGAAATTTTTTCCAAATATTATGAGCTTGGACCTGGCTTGAAATTTTTTAATGTTAAATGTTAGTCTTAAGTAACCAGTAATATATTTACAAAGAATTTTGGAATTGGGTACAAGCTCATTTAAATATATTTTGACTCAAATAATAGTTTCCACTCTTAGTCCTAATGAATTGGACTCAATGACATTGCTTGGACTTGACCTAAATGGGGAGGGGGTTAAAAATTATATAAATTGGATATGATTTTTAAATAAAAGGTAACATCTTTCTTAAAAAAACGAATAAAATTCTCATTCTCCGTCATTTTTGACGGGCTATCTACTAGTAATAATAATTTTTTAAATTGATAATAATAACGACTGAGTACTACAAGCAAGCATCCTGACAAAATCACGATATACGAAGAAAACTTACGATAACAAATTTACGATTTAAACAAACCAACGTGCAAACTCATTTAAACAAACCGACGATTGGGATAAGCCAACGATCACAATGCCTTATGCAACAACTTAACAACCATAACGATGAATCATTTGAACGACAAACGCTCTATAACAGCTTAGAAGATTTTAGGAAGGCTTTTTAGAAGAAGGATAATGTTATATAATAAATATTCAAATTTGTACTTTTATTTTATTTTTGCCTTTCCACTTACAATTCAACCTTTTATGATTTAAACTTTTACAATTCAACTTTTTACAATTCAATCTTTTATAATTTAATTTTTATAACTTAACCTATTATTACTTTTGCTTTTCGTTTTGATTATATATATTCTAATTTATATTTACAGATAATCTATATATATAATCCTCAAAAAATGTCAATCAAATTTAGCCAATAGTTTTCTTTTAAATATTATTTGTCCAATCAAAATGATTATAGCAGTCACAGTCACAACTGTGATATTATATAGTCAATTATTTTACCTGATAATAGTCAATTATAATTTTGTTAATATATTATGTAATATTCAACTTCTTTATTAATTATTGGACGTTTGTCCTACTTAAATAGGGAGTGATTCTTAATAATATTTAATTAATATTAACAAATTCGAAAGTATTTAAGTTAAGTTAAATTGTAGTTTTAATCTCCATGATATTTAGCGCCATCTATAATATTTTTTAAATAGCATTATATTTCTAAGTTGAAATGTAAATATTTTGTCTTAATTGATGTCAAATATATTGTTCTTTCTATATATCTATAATTTATCTATCTATCTATCATAGCAATTTTAAGCCAATTTAGATCATATTAGCAAAATGGATTTAATCTCCTATAAATCATGGAAAGCATTTCAGAAGTATTTTGAGGCAATAGGCAGGAAGGAACATTAGTATGAAAAAAATGTTTGCAGATAATCCTACAAGAGCTAAGGAATTCAAATCTATAATATATATATTCAATAAAAATCATCATAGCTTAAACATATCAAACACGCATTCATAAACCAAATCGAACCGCCATTTTCAAAAAAAGAATTTCAATACAAAAAACAATTACAAAACATATAATAATATAATAATTACAATAATTGATATTTTTTTTAACAGACACAACATCGAGCAAAACCTTCAATCATCAGTAAATAATTATATTTTTTAACAGACACCACATCGAGCAAAACCATATACTTTCAATTTACACATCTTAATCTTGAAGATACTGAAAATCAAGAACAAGTTGAACATTACTGTGGGCCATTAAAATCTATTTTATTATTTTTTTTTAGATTCCTACACAAGATACCATTCAACAAAACCAAACAATGGAACGTTTCATACTACCAAAATCTAAAGAAGGCATTATTGATAAATCCCCCAAAAATTTTTTTCTGATGATAGCCAAACCTTATCAATTCCTTTAATTTAATTTTTATTATTTTTATAATATAATAATTTATACCTTCTTTTTCCTTCTCCTTTTTAATCTTATTTTTTAATTACCTTACAATTAATTAACCTTAACATTACATTCATAATGTTATTTTTTATCTTTTAGAATATCATAATAGGCTTGATAAGTCCCCACAAAATTTTTTTTGATGATAGCCCTCCAACTAATTTGTTGATTTTATTTTATTTTATTCATACAGATGAATGGAATAGATGGTGTACATGTACCTAACATGGATGAATTGATAAAAACAATATTCCCTCAAATTTGTAAATATGAATGAAACTTTTTATTTCACTTAATCCTTTCTTTATTTTTTAGATTACCTTATCAATTTTCATCTCATATTATCAATTAAATATTAATGATCTTTTTATACTCATATTTTTCTTTCATAACCAATAATTAAGAAGATAACCAAGTATATTAAAATATTTAAATATTCTTATCCTAACCTATTTATACTTAATAACATTACATTCATCATATTATTTTTTAACTTTTAGAATATCATAATAGGCTTGATAAGTCCCCCAAAAATTTTTTTGATGATAGCCAAACCTTATCAATTCCTTTAATTTAATTTTTATTATTTTTATAATATAATAATTATACCTTCTTCCCCCCCCCCTTTTTTAATCTTATTTTTTAATTACCTTACAATTAATTAACCTTTATCTTAATAACATTACATTCATCATGTTATTTTTTAACTTTTAGAATATCATAATATGCATCTAATATTGACCCATCTACCGGTTTTACATTATTTTAATGTTTGTTTAATTTCAACAATAGTTTATTTATATTTTTGCCTGATTTCTTTATTTGTCTAGGCTAACCCTAATCCCTCACACTGCTACAAAACATGATGAATATATTATTAATGATAAGCAAAGAAAATAATGACGATTTAACAAACGCCTTACCCGTTCTAGAGTTACTGGTAGACAAAATAATAAAGAACTACGCTTGAAATTAACTCCTCTGGAGGTTTATTTATTTATTTTATCTTATATTATATATATATAATTAGCATATAAGTTTCATTAGAATTTAATGGCACTTTTATTTAAATAGATAGCATTTTTTTTATATTTAAAATAAAATATAGACAAATAGTTTGAGAAATGCAAGACATACATTAAATTTATCCGAAAAGCTACAATAAACCTATATAATAAACAAAAATTTATTTTTTATATATAATTATAATTGATCATATTACCAAAAAGTATAAGAGTCGGTTATTTTTATTTTATTTGTCATGATTCTCTAATAAGTGGTTTGCCCAGGCCTTCCCAGTTTCCCTTCATACCGAATTCACATGTTTTTTTTTACATCTTAAACTTATTGGTAAATCATATAATTCCCCTTCATGTGATGATAAACAATTAAAAATTTAACTATGTTCTAGGTGGGAAAAAATTTTCATAATTATATTGGATACGACTGGGCTTGGAACCTCAAAATTTATATTAGCTTGCACCTGACATGGGAATATCTTTAATTGAGCTGGGCTGGATAAACTTTTATAATTATATGCTTCCTAATATTGTGAGGGATCTGGCATGACATCTATCGTAAAAAAATGAATAAAAATCTCATTCCCCGTCATTTTTGACGGGCTTTCTACTAGTATATATAGTGTGTAGAATATAATAAAACAGAATATATATAGAAAATATAATTTATATTTTTTTTGTATGACCACACCATCATCTACAAAAAGATATATCGATTATGTATAACTGATAAGTATCTTTTCTATTTTATTATTTAGTCCACAAGAATACATGTGCAAAATCTTGACTTTATAAATCACGAATAAAATTTTTTTATAATTTAATTGGAATTTTTTTAAAATAACAACTCATTAAAAATGTGTCAGGTAATATAGTTGAAATAACTGTAATAAATTGTGTTATATTCGAATATTTATAAAATAAATTTAGAGCATATATTACAATTTACCAATTATTATCATAAAAAGGATATAAAAAATTAATTATATCTTTTACCATAATGTATTATTACTAAAAAGCAATATAAAAACAAATCGGGTAATATGACGACTGGTCAAGGTTTAGCTTAAATCCTAAATTATTATATAAACCCTACACTACTCGGTCCAAAAGCATTTTTATTTTAAACGAAGAAATGATAGATTTACAAGATTCTAAAATAAGGGTTCAAAACGAAGTACTACCATTTAACATAATAGTTATTAATAATTTTTAGACAATTAAAAATTTCGCTGTAACCTGTGATAAAATATTTGAAAAAATTACTGTCAATAAATATGATGTTCAATTAAACCATTGCTTAGATTGTCAATTATTTAAAAATAAAAAATTATTCGACGACATCTGTTACATATTCGATTTTCATTTCATATTCAAGTTTACTTATTGGGATTTTTTTTTATAAAATTCTTTATTAATTAGATCAAAGAATATGCAAAAGAAAGAGTTATTTAATGAAACTTATAATTTTCAAAATATTTTATCACTGATAAATATAATGTCAAGTGTGGAAATTTCAGATTATCATCTGCATCTTTTAAAATGGAGTGACATAGATTTTCACTTTTCAAATATATTCTCAAATTTATTCTCAATCTTCATTATTTCGTATCTTTTGAAAAATAATATTAAATATGATAGATTAATCATAACAAAAATTTTAAATTTAAAAAAGAAGAATTTATTAGAAATTAATTTTGAATATCTCAAGTTCTTAAAACAAAAAAAAATGGCCTCTTCATTTTTATTCTACAACTTGTATCAGCATTACATGAATTATATATTTAAATCTACCAAATATTCAATTACTATGCCACCGGTCTCAAATGTTAATGTTATTAATAATTTTTTATTACAATATTATATTTTATTTATAGAGTTCATCAAAATTTATATTAATAAACAAATTGAATGCTACAATTGAATCACTCATGATATCAAATTTGTGTAATATTCCATTGTTAATATATGGAAGTTCAAGTTCTGGGAAAAGTAGTATCATCAGATTTATATATAATGAACATCTCAACACAATCAAACAAAAAAATTGGAATAAATTATATACATTATATTTAGGACAACATATTGATATAAAAGTATGCCATACATATTTTTTATTTTTTAATCATATTTTATTTTATTATTATTATTATTTTTTATACGGTTTTTGGAATTTTATTTATAAATTGATCACAATACTTTAATAAGCTAAGTATCAGACTAAACTAAATTTACAGGAAAAATCAATAGGTTCATACAAAATTAGTATACAAATAATTTATATATTAGAAGTGCAAATATAAAAAAGAAAAAAAATCACATATTTCTTAATTTGAGAGAGAGAATAGAAGATGATGATAATAATCAATGGAGGGAAGGGGAAAAAGATCTAAATCATTCCAGTTGCTTAGTAAATGAGCTCATGAAGTTTATGAAATCTTCTTTTAGATTTCCTGATTAAATCCTTATCATTTTTTTAAATTAGACTAAGTGCCTGGCTTCCAAATGATATTAAGGTATATCTGGTATGGGTTTGCCCATATTTGTTAATTTTAAAGTCATTTATTTATTTTAAGATGCTTTTATTGATGTGGAGGGTGAGTGGGTGCCAGGAAAAATCCCATGTTAGAAATTGGCCATTTTATTAAGGAATTTGTATAATTTCACTTGGCCGTCTCCCATAGGGGTCATTCCACGTCAAATTCTTTAAAATAAACGAATTGGCATGATAGTTATTTATTTTGTATATTTTTGTAAATTCTAAATTTTAGAGTGCTAGCTCAACCAAATCCAAAGATATACGCCTTCAAAGTAGAGAATCGCATAATGCATGATTTCTTAAATCTTGTTTTTCTTAAAAAATACTTAAGGTAAAATTACAAATAATATATCATTTTATAGCCCTTAAAATTTTACATTGGAAAATATTAAAAAAAAATTAAAAAATTTTTAGTGTTTTTGTATTTCCGGTAAAAATAAAAATTAACATTCCTGGGAAGGGATATTTTTTTGGTGTTGATACTCTCTAAATATGTTTATTACCTTTATATTAAACTATTTAATGAAAAATCTCAATAGCCATTTTTGTTTTTTTAATTTTATTAAAATTTTTATTATTTTTATAAATAAAAAAGATAATATAGATGGCGTTATATTAATTTTAATAATAATATATTTAATTTAATAAAAATATGTTTTATATCGGTATTAAAATCGATTAAATATAACCAGTATGATGTCTTGGGGCAATAAATAAGGAAGCGGCCTATATGGATATGATTATTAGGACGCTATATTTTAAAATAAACATATAAAATTTCATATACAAAAAATTATAAAATAAAATACCTCTTGTTTAATCTTATCCCATTTTGCACTTATTAATAGAATTTCCTGAAGCGATAATTTATAGGTACGTCCTGTCACTGTTATAGGATCTACTATCGTTATTATTTGATTCATGGGCAACCATATCTTTTCCTCAATTGTGGGATAAAAGAAGGATGGTGATGGTCCATGGGGATGTAAAAAGGAAATATATATCTCCTCAGTATTTCCATTTTTTTTCAGTACTGTGGCTAACCACCAAAAATCGTCATAAACACATGTTACGAATCCTTTAATATCAGCAAAACATAAATTATCGGCAAAAGACAAATCGGCATTTGAGATATTATTAATTTGAAAGTCCTTTGCATATGAATATATTTTTGATTTAAGTTTACTTAAACTCAAAGGAAAAACAGCATGTATTTCTCGAGTTCCTGGAATGGGACGAGCTAAATTGAATCTTTCTCGTAGTTTAATCTCTTCTAAATTGTATTGTTCGTTGGTTATATACGTAAAATTTACTGATGGCATATTTTGTTTTGCAAACTGATATAAATCAACTGGAGTTAAAATGTGTCCAGAACTGGTGCGCTGAAGGCTTGAACGTGCTGCTAATCTTTTTAATGTTCCGCCAAGGCCGTCACATGGACCTTTTCCATGAGATGTAGCTGAAAAATGCCATTCAGCTGCTACACCAAAATCTGATTCATGATAACACAGATTTATGAAATTTTTTCTGTTTTTATATTGAGCAGCCGATCCGTCATAGCAGTAATAGATTTTACATGGCTTTTTGTTAAAATGATTGGTCAAAAATTTTATCATTTCAGTCTGGTATAAATGTACTGCAATAACATCATGTTGAAGTGACTCTGATATTACCACATAATTAAGGTTTTCTATATTGTTATTATTATTATAATATGCTATCATAGGATGGATAGTGGCCTGATTATTATTCCAGTGAAATCCTTGAACAGCGTCTTGGATTACAAAGGCATAATTTTCAGAGAAATCACAAATTATCATAAATTCATTTTGTTGTAAAAAATGTTTAAGTTTTGAAATATATGATGACTGATTGGTAGCGATAAAGGAATGACGTAACATAGGTGGAATTTTTTCTAAAAAAAAAATTAAAAATTCTTGAGAAGATTTTGTTATTGTTTCCAGATTACTTCTATCAACAGACACCCACTGTTTAAAGGATATATGATCTATGTCATTTTGGGCAAATACAACATCTAATTGTTTTTTAATTGAGAATGTGCCTGGACAATAGTTACAATCTCCTAAATAACAAATAGGGAGTGCTGGATTGCATATTGTTTGAGCTAAAATATTTTTATTGTTATGTTATGGATATTCTGGCATAGCTAATAGTTTTGCCAAATTAGCATCTACAAACATAAGCTTAAAATTTTGATGAATTACAAAAACAAACACACTGTGTGTTCCACTGGCTCCAGCCAGAATACAATTTTTTGGCCGTAAATCTGCAAATTTAGAAAATTCAACTTTAATTATCGGGTACCTCTCTTTAAATCGTTCATATAATTCTTTTAAATTGTTTAAAATTAATCTTTTTTGAGACTGCTCTCTTTTCCCCTTGATCATTATGGATTTATAGTCTTTTTTCCCAGGCATCGCGCGACTGACTTCATCAGAAGAGTAAAATTTTTCTATAATATTCACGGTTTCCTAATCAATTGTTCGCCCAGGTTTTATATTGGGAGATGACATAAATCCTTTTAATTCTATTAGTTTTTTTGATTTTCTTACCAAGTAATTCGTGGCTTTGAACTCCATCTCAATTTTTTTTAGAGGTCCAAGAAGGGGGCAATATAGTAAGAAGTTGATATTTTTTTTCCTTAGAAATAATTGGATAATGATGTTTTAAATTTTGAAGAAGTTCGTCATTTTTATTATTTTGTATATCAAACTCAGGAAGGCTGCTTCTTAATATGTTTTGACTTAATGCTTTTGTTATTTTTTTAAGTTTTTCTTGCGGATATTTCTTTTCTTTTTTATTGGGGATTGGCCTATTTCTTCTAGCGATACATTTATTATATCCAAAGTTGAACTGGATGGGGCTAGTTCGGGCTCTTCATTTTCAGATATCCTCAATGGATTCCATAGTTATCAAATATAAGCGACATGAGTGACATAATGATTGGCCTATTGTTAATAAACCTTTGGATTTTTTAATCATCTTTGGTGTAACCTAATTTTATATATAATAAAAATACACTATATCCAATAATAAAAAAGATATTATATTAGTAAAAAATCCAGAATCTAAAATTAAAAAGGTTTTAATCTATAATATAAATAAACTTACCTTTTGTAGATTTTTTGAAATAGACTTATGGCCTTCTCGAATGAATGGATTACTACAGAGTGATTTCATTATTACAATTTTTTAAATTTAAAAAAAAATTTTAAGTAAAAAAAGAAATATTTTTTTAATCCTTATGTTCTTTTCAATCATGATTGATAATTAAATTTCCTATTTATCGATATAAAAATTTAATAGAAAGAAAGGAATGAAAAATAAAATAAGATGATAAAATCTTTAATTTCAAATAATAACGATAGTAGATCCAGAAGTGTGAAATATATACAAATTACGGCCTCAAGAATTTCTATTTAAGCGCAAAATGGATTGCGATAAATAGATATATTTTTATAATAGCTTTAATATAATTTTAAAGTATCTTTATAGGGCCGCTTCCTCATTTATTGCCCCAGGACATCATACTGGTTATACTTAATCGATTTATTTTGATTTTAATACCGATATAAAATATATTATTATTAAATATAATATATTATTAATAAATTTAGTATAACGCCATCTATATTATCCTTTTTTATTTACAAAAATAATAAAAATTTTAATAAAATTAAAAAAACAAAAATGGCTATCGAGATTTTTTATTAAATAGTTTAATATTAAGGTAATAAACATTTTTAGAGAGTATCAACACCAAAAAAAAATCCCTTCCCAGGAATGTTAATTTTTTATTTTTACAGGAAATACAAAAACACTTAAATTTTTTTACTTTTTTCCAATATTTTCCAATGTAAAATTTTAAGGGCTATAAAGTGATATATTATTTGTAATTCTATCTTAAGTATTTTTTAAGAAAAACAAGATATAAGAAATCAAGCATTACGCGATTCTCTACTTTGAAGGCGTATATCTTTGGATCTGGTTGAGCTGGGGCTCTAAAATTTGGATTTTATTAACATTTACAACATAAATAACTAACATGCCAAGTTTCTTTCATTTTTGAGATGGTCGGCCGAATCACTGGTTGATTTGTCATGGAATTACCCATAGTCAAAGAGACTTGGGAGTTTTAAATTAGCAAGAAAGCCCATGGACTGTAAAGCCCATTTAATGAAAGCATAGCATCTAATATGTCAAATTGAATGTCCACTGCGAATGATGCATTGGAGGCAATGATGGCCATATTGGCTTACTGGATTCTTGCACTTGGCACACTCATATGAGACTGAGGCTGTCACATTTAAGTTAATGGCAACTACAAAACTGAATTCTTGGCTTGACGGCTCAAGGTCAAGATTAGAGGTATGGGCATCTAGGTATTTATATACAGAACCTTGATTGAGAAAGGCTAAAAGGGCATGTTCTCCAGATATCAGGGCCAAAAAGAGGTAATCAATGTTCCTGCAATCATCGGATTATCTCAATACTTTTGTTTGTGAGAGGCTGGAGGTTGACATTCAACACCACTGAACCTTTTCATATGATTTAGGTTGCTTCAAGCAGCTCATCTGGCAAGGAAGGATTATTTATAATCTTGGACCAACCTGGACAAGATGAAATCATTAATTGACAAGGCTATGAATGATCGTGACTCGATCCCTCCATTATTGCAGGGTAGAGTTGCTTGATGCCATGAATTGGAATTATATGCTTTTAAATGCTAGATGTTTAAAAATAGCTGCTGACCTCACAGCATAGAGGATCATCAGATGATGAAATTTTTAATTAAAAAAAAAGGATTTATGTGTGGGAAGCTGTTTGAGTAACTCCTCCATATATTGAAATTATTAGAATTACCCTGTAAAAAGGCTTCAACTGCTAAGTAACCTTCAACTGGTGAGCCAAGATTTATTAGTTTTTCGGCCATAACCCCCTTGAAGGTGTAACAGCTGTGAAATTGGGAGGTAAGCTGACAGATTTATGTTATATAGACGTTTGGAAGAAGGCTAATGTCTGTTGGCTACCTCTTCTGGACTACCTTTTATAATCTAGTCATCTATGTATCAGAGATGAAGATCTAGCTGGTAGTTGCTTTTAATTTTCTTTACTAGATTGTCTATTCTGAGGCCGGATAAGATCGAACTTAGGGGATCACCCTGTTGGATCCCTTCTATAGGAGAAAGCCTATATTCTTTATATTGTAGGATGTAGGTTATCATAGTAATCTAGAATATAGCTAGAGTAGCAAGGAAAGCTAATGAAGGGTATAAGGAAGTAGACCGTTTTATTGTATTATAGGCTTTACTAAAATCGATTATAATTACATTCTTATTTTGTGAATTACTTTGAAGATATATGCGGGTTATATGAACGGCAGATTCACAGCCTCCTTTGATACCAAACACTAGCTGAGTTGAAGAAATATAGAGACTTTCTCATAGATTCGAATTGAGATTGTTTTGATACTAATCTCTTGAAGTGGGTGCCTATGGCAATTGGGCGTAAGTCTTTGTTGAATTTTGTGATGGCTATTAGTTTTGCTCCAACCAGAATTGGTTATGCGAAGACGTACGTCTGTAATATCCTGTTGCAAGGGATAATTACACTGTCGCTTAGCATAGTTTGAGAGATTAAAAGAGGGATGGTTAGTTTTTGGAGAAATAGGGATGGTTAGATCTTGGAGGTATATTGGTCTCATGCCTTCAAAACCATGTGCAGAATTTATTTGAAAAGTTAGCTGGAAAAGATGTTGGTATTACACCAGATAATTCAGTTGCCAGATGTGGAGGGTGCTTTATATCTAATTGAGTGTAGGTTTGAAGGTTAATGGGGGCCAGCGTGTCTGATGAAAAGGTCAGACGAAATACCATCTAAATTATTGATTTTTTCCCCCACTAAATTTACCTTTATCTTAAAAGGATTTATGGATAACTTTGTATGGAAGCTATGTCCATTGAAATATTGTTTAAATCCTTTAACCTGTTCTTAATTTGTTTAGTGAGGCACAGCTTGCTTTATCAATTGTGACTTGAAAGGCATGGAAACCAAATAAAAGGAACTTTTTCCAGTGCTTTGAGGAGTTATAATTTTTTAGAAGGTTAATAATAATTTCATTGTATGATTTAGCCGCAATAGCCTGGCTCCCCAGGGATTTTTGAGATAATATGTGCTTTAGTTAAATATAAATACACCGTAGAAGGAGTGGGTGGTAACTCATTGGAAGTGTAGGGTGAGACCTCATTAACAGATAAATTATAGATTGTGGTCAGAACTGAAATATTTGAAGAGAATGTTTGTGTTAGAAGGTGGGGATAGGATCTGTTAAAGGTGACTGATGTGACCAATGGCTGCCATTTTTACCATGTTCTTAGGGTCCCGTTTTTGTTGATTAGGGCGTGCAGCTCACAGTTTCGACATTTTTTCTATTTGTGGCGGTGTAGAAGTGGACATTCATACTTATAGGAGGAGGGGAAAACTTAATGAAAGTGGGGAAGAGGGGATGAGTTGGCAGGTAAATATTTTTATTTATTTTTTTAGAAATAACTTAGAGAAATTTTTTGAGCCTATAATTTAAGTGTTATATGGAAATAAGCAGAAAGAACAAACTTTCTATGAAATTGTTTTTTAAGAAGGGGTAAAGATCTACAAATAAATAAAAAAATTAAAAAAAAAGAATTTGAATTAAAACCACTGAAAATGGACGATAAGAGAAAATTAAGGATAAATATATTTTGAATTATTTTGAGATGGGTTTTTTTCCGCGGCTAAGATTCGAGTCAGTTTGATAGTAAAAAATATTAAAATTACTTTTATATAATTAATATTAAAAATTTTCCTAAAATCATTTTTTTTACAATAGGCACTAATAGGAGACAATACTATATCTGAAATTCCTGGACAATTTTATTGGAAACCAGGAGTTTTAACTCAGGTAAATGTGTTTATTATATTTTTATTCAATATTACTCTAATATTTTTCCTAAAAATAAAATTATTGTAGATAAATAAATTTATTTCCCACTTTGTACATTAATTTTATATAAATATAAGAATAATAATTAGAAATGTCCGCCGATAAAACTATAGACAACCATTAAAAATCAAATCCACCGCTTTTTAGTTGCTGTCATCAAAAACGATATTTTTATACAATATTATTATTATATACATTAAATTATTACCTTCTAAATACCAATATTTTATGCTAAAAATATAATAAGTAAAAATTAGGGCTGTGCTGATCCACATATATTTTTCAGCGATCTGATATTTTCCGATATTCGTATCAAAACCCATTTTATATAATCCCATGTTTATATTGATTTTTTTATCATACATCTTTGAACTAGATGTGGATGCGGCCTTATTTTTTACTCATGGCCCGCCCACTCACGGTGAAAAGATAAAAAATTCACGCCATTTTAACTTGTTCCTTAAAATTTTCTAACCACATCTGCCTTCTCACGAAAGAAAATATTGAAATAAGCTTCAAAAATAAGATGAACTAGGACACGACCCTACTAAATTTAAATAGCCTCTTCCTATTTATTCTTATTATGGAAGAATAGGTTTATATTTAGAAATAAGACGAGGAAGAGCACAGCCAATTATATCTTGCTAATTGTTCTGTGTAGAAGAAGCTATATATATACAACTAAACAGAAATCTGATTAGAAAACTATAGGACCAGAGGCTGGTCTGGGCAGAATATTATATTTTTTTCTGGGCCTGGGCCCTATATGGGGTTTTTTTAAATTTTTTAGGGACTTGGGTCTAAAATTTTTCATTTAAATTTAGCTTATTTTAAGAATTAATAATAGGCAAATATAGCAAATCATTATAATTATATTAATATTATTTATCCCCATAACCATATTCTACTATTGGTCGTAAACTCAGCTTATTTCAAACTCGTCACCCTTTTTGTTCTTATCAGTTGTTAATTAAAAAAATATTGCACATTTCTTCTAATTAGAACATATTTCAATATTTCAAACATAATGATTGCCTTGTTTATTTTGATTGAATATAAATTTGATATGCTTTGGACGAGACAAATGTTTTGGGCAGCTAAAACCAAACAAAATATCTAGATAATTAGCACAAAATTCTATCAATAATATAAGATTATATTATTATTTGAATAAAAATTTGTAATATTATTATTATTTTGTTAAATAATTTTGATTTATAAGAAGAGGATTGATCCATGGGGAGAGGGTTTAAAATTATTTTTGGGGGCATTTTAAAAATTTGCCAATATCTTGTACTTTATTAGTGTCTAATTACTATAGTAGCCAGCATAAATGAAAAAATATTAGTAACAAAATTTTGGCCAAATTTATGATTAATATGTGACTGAAAGCATTATTCTGAAAATTTTATCAATGTTTAGTCAATTGTACAATCCATTCGGTGTAGAAAGAAGAATAAAATCGCCCCCCCCCCCAAACCTCCCTTTTATGATCACTCAATATATATATATTATTCTATGTTAAAAATAATTATTTTAATTAAATTTTTGCATATAACAAAATTTTGCAGGAAATTTCATTATGGATTTTATTTATTATTAAAATACTTTAGTATACATAACACCCCTTTATTTAACTATGTATTTATATTAATGATAATATACAATAAAATATATTTCAAAATTTTAAATTTTATACAGATTATATTAAAAATTTATTCTAAATAACTATATTTAAAAAAATAAAATTAGAATAAAATAAAATATGAGTAATTCTTGTACGGTATTTAAAAAAATCTAATTTAACAATTATAATTAATACAAATGAGTATATTAATAAAACATAAATAAAGAGATCTGCAAAAGTAGAAAAATCGGGTTCGGGCTAGGTCGGGCCTAAAAATTTAAAAAAAAATTCGGGTTGGGTTGGGCCTTGGAAATTTTTAAAATCTAAATATATCAATTTTATGTTAAATTTTTTATATAAAATAAAAATATTTGATTTTATTTATAAAAACTAGACGCTATATAACATATATCTTTTATTTTAAGTAATTATAAAAATGAATTTCTATATTTAAATAAATTCGGGTTATGCCGACAAAACTTTTTTAAAAAAAATTTCGGGTTCGGGCCGGCAAAACTTTTTAAAAATAATTTCGGGCTGGGCCGGGCTTGAAAAATTAGGCCCTATGCAGATCACTAATTCTTAGTGCAAATGCAATATATTTTTATTATAAATAGTATAATATATAAATCAGAGACCTGCATAGGTACCATTTGTACAGCACGGCCCAGATTAAAAAATTTTCGGCCCGGCTCGGCCCGGATTTTTTTTTCAAAATTTTTTTACGGCCCGGCCCGGGTTTAAAAATCTTAGGCCCGGCCCGGCTCGGATATTTTAAAATAAAATTTTGGGGCCCGGCTTGGATTTAAAAAAAAAAATTTTTTAGGCCCGGTTCGGAATTTTTTAAAATTATATTCGACCTGGTATATATAAAAAATTGATTATTTCGTATTTTATCATATTTTTCGGCGAGTATTATCATTTAATAAGAAAGTATATTTGTTTTTTTATTCTAAACAGATATTTAGTATATTTCAAATTGATACTATAAAAAATTTATGTAAATAATATTTTGAGAATATACTATGTATTTATAAAAAAAATAAAAATGATATTTTAATTAATAAAAAATATAACATATATTATATATTATATAATAATGTATTTAATCCTTTGCGTATTTATTCCATGGCAGGAAAACTATAATTTTATTATGTAATAGATACTATGATGAGTGTTAGCTAGTGTTAACTTTCACCAAACATTATATTAATCATAACTATATATAATCATTATAACCATATCTAATTGACGAATATAATGATTCATGTTGTATAAATTTTTTTTAAAAATACGGCCCGGCCCGGGTATTTTAAAAAAAAAATTTCAGGCCCGGCCCGGGTTTTTTTAAAAAATTTTTCAGGCCCGGCCCGGGTATATTTTTAAAATTTAAAATACGGCCCGGGCCTGGTCGGACTTAGGGCCGGGCCTGCAGGTCTCTGATATAATGACTAAAAATTCATTTTAATTACGTTTTGAATATAAATATTTTATGACTAAGAACATATTATAATAATATAGCAATTTTATGATTTGAATTTATAAAGAGAGGTCTAATTTCTCTGAGATTTGACTAATTCATATAGAATCAAATTTTTATATAGAATAATCTCCTTATAAATATTTAATATTGCGAATCCATTTAAACGGCTTTCACCGGTGCCATTTCTTAAATAGGGTTTTAACCTTTTCACTGCTAATCGGTAAGATGGCTATAATAAAAAGCAATATTTTGATATTAGGCAGGGAATCTAAAGTGCAATTACACATGGAAAGGGCCTGAAGAACATATTTTGGTCTCAAAGTATATCTATTCTTTCAAAATTTTTATATCAAAATTTGACATCACAAAGTAACTTATCATACGATCCTGAGAATTCAACAGAATAAAACTCTGAAATTTTCTTAATATCCTCTCGCGTTTCAAGTGTATTCAGACTCAACCGGCAAAAGAAAACAAAAGCTGTTTAAAATAAAATTGTGACTAATATATCTTTCCTTTAATTGAAATAAAAATGTATCAATAAGGGTAGTAAAAATATTTATTTTATAAAAATCCTCAATCGTAGATGCATCAATTAAGCGATTGGACTATCTAGAAACTACTCTAGGTTTATAATTTTTAATCCCAAACATATTAGCGATCACCTTTACTTTCTCATTATATTTACCAAATTAAATGATTTTTTTTTATTTAAAAATGAAAAAAAATTAATTAAAATTTTTAAAACTATCTAATTAGTTTAACATTATAAATTTTATTAAATTTATAAATATCTAATTTAATTATGCGAGAAAAAATTTACAATATATTTTTATTGTTATTTAATATTTTACATATAATTTTTAATATATATTTTTAAACCATGTTATCATTTAAAATTAAAAATTCTTATTTGATTTTTTAAATATACTTCATTTTCATATCGTATATAATTTTAATTATAAATTGAAACCATTTTTTTAAATAAAATTATTCGAAATAAGAAAAAAATTAAAAAAAAAAATTTTTTTTTCGGAGGTTATGGGGGGAAGCTCTTGTCTACGCCACTGTACCTTAACTTGTACAGCTTGTGGAGTGTTAATTTTTTTTTATTTCTTGTTTTATATAAAATCGCGAATTTGATATCTTACTTACGCCTCATTTATAGTAAACTCATTTTGTTCAAGCGGTTAAATATTTAATGCTGCGTTATTTACGAAATCAAGCCAATAGTATAATTTATAAATATGGAGCGAAACAATGAAAATGTTATGATAAAATTTCAAAAACATGTTGCTACGTATATTTCAAAAGTCAATATCGCTGTGAAGAATCATCGAGATTTTTATAGCGTTAAATACCGCACCTCTTGAACAAATCGTTTTTACTATAAATAAGGTCTTATAATGACAATAACTATAAAATTTAAAGTGTATAAGTAATAAAAATTATTTATATTTTGAGGGATCTTTAACATCTCTTTTATATATCTATGTGTGGTTGCTTATATAGATTAAATGGTAAAATCATCATGGTTATTTTAAGATAAAATGCATTAATCTCTATAACTTTTGTCAGATTAATTTTTCAGATATGCTAATTTTAATTTTAATAAAGTTTTTTTTATCACAGTTACATTAGAAACTTTTCTTTCTATATATTATATATCAAAATGGCATAAAACATGTGTATTTTAAATAATTTTTAGATATAATGAATAAAAATGAAAAAAATACTCAGAAATTACATTCTGTAATATGAATTACTTAAAGAAATTCATTAAAGAGCAAAGTTAGGGATAATTTTAGTATAATAATTGACAATCATAATTAAAATTTTAATTTATTCATAAAAAAGGTTAGAACATGCTACATATTCACAGAAAGGAGGTTCAAATTTATCAAAACATAAATTCAAATCTAATCCCATAATAATATTATCTTCTTTTTATTCAAATAAAAATCATAAGGCATTACATACAAATGAAAAAAAAGGAGGTTATCAATAGATATGTGACATTTGATTATTAATAGATGTGTGAAATTCATTTCAATGTGTAGCTGGTAAAGGCTATAACAATGTGGCACAATTTTTTTATTGAAGTTGGTTCAAAGATGGGTTTGATTGATGTTGAAAAACATTTTGTCAAGTCCTATGACAATATAAAGGCTTTTAAAAAATGTTTTTCAAAATTTTGAATAAAAATAAGATTTTATTATAGGATTTGATTTGCGTTTATATCTAGATAAATGGACCCTACATTTTGTGAATATGTAAGTATGTCCTGGCATTTATGATTGACATTTATTATAATTGTCCCAAACTTTCCTCTAATGAATTATTTTCAATTAATTTATATTTCTGAGAATGTAATTTCCTAAATATTTATTGATTTTATTAATTCTACAAATTGTTTTATGTCATAGTTTCGCGCCTGCCATAATTTAACCATTAATTTTAGGTCCAGCATCTATGAGCATTTGAATTCTTTTATTTTTAAAATTAAATTCTTTTTTATCAATTTCTTTAAGAAAAGTATCACCTTAAGGTAGTGAGTTGCTAGCCATAATGATGAGTATTTTTTAGAATAAAAATATAATCACCTTTTAATATAATATTTATTAATATTTATAACATAATAAATTTAAATAATGGTTGAAAAAGTATGAGAAAAATGTTTTTTTGCATGGGCCATAGGCAGCCCACTCACATGATTTAAATAATCAAATCCTCTAAATAATTAATTGAATTTATCTTTTATAAGTTATAAATATATTTTTTTAATTATTAATTATTTACAAAATTGGTTAATTAGTCGATCTTGAATGGTTATTGGCTTGTTTTGGATGGATTGGAATATTGCTCCCCAGAATTCTTGGTTTTACTTACTTCCATATTAGAAACTAATCAAATTTACATACCACCACTTAAAAAACACGTTTCATTTAACCCCAACTTTAGATTGTTGATCACAGTGTAAGTTTTACTATATCAATTTTATGAATTTTTATTATTGGTTTTATATAATATTACTTTTGTATAAATTAGAACCTCTCTGCACTGAGAATTTGTTTTGGCCTGAAATTTTATAATTTAAAAAAAAATATCTGACCGAATTTATTAAGATCTGTGTTTGATCCCAGTTATTATATTTAAAAAATAATGTCTCATTGAGTGCAAGAAAAATTTTGAATCTCTGACCTCACTCGAAGGAAAAATTTAAAATAAAAGTTTACCCTTTAAGAACCTGGGTAGAATATGACTCAGACGGTCCCAGGCCCAACAAAAATTTCAGGAAAAATTCAAAATTAAAGAAATAATATGTTAAGCTATAAAAATTATTATTTTTTGACAGTCCAATCAAATTTTTTAGCAAATAACCCACTTTTGACTTGTTTGCATTGTTTTTTATGGTCCGGCTGAGGAATCTATAAAAAAATATTTCAAGGATAGAGTCAAAAATAATTTAACGGACTGGGGTAAAATATCACAGGCCAAGCTGGAAATTTCGTTTAAGAATCTTAATAAGTCAGGGGCACACAGATCTAGTATTAATGTTTTGAATATTTATTATATTTATAAATTTCATATATTTTATTTGGGTTTATTTTAAAATTGACGTAATGTGGGAGATGTATGGATGCAATTTAACCATGAAAAATAAAATTAATAAATTAACGATAAATTATATTTATTCCTAGAAATGTTTCTCCTTTTGCCAACACTTCCTTGAATATGTTAAACCACCCTGTCAACATAAAGAGATTTTTCAATGCCATTGAATTACCTGCATATTCTAAAACGGACATCATAGAAGTATTTTGAATGATATTTTTATAGGGTACCCTCTTTAATGATATATATTTTTCAAACATATGAAACTCCTACTATACTATACTAAGTATTTAATTAGATGAAGTTAATAAAATATAAAATTTATTTTTCTTCATATTTTAAACAATTAGAACTTGTGAATTAATTCTGTTTTATTACTCATATATATTTAATTTACATTATATTTAAAATGATAATTTTAATTTATTTATTTTAACCGAAAACTAAACAGATATGCAAGGGTAAATATTCCAATTTAGATGACATCATGATAGAATGCCTAGTCGATATTTACCAGATAGTGGTGAGCCATAATAACAGATATAACGTGGAAGATTTTGATTCATTAACCATTAAATCAAACAATTTTAATTCACACTTTGATCTAAGGTAAATATATTTGTGCTGTTTTAACATATTTCATCAATTAATTATCTATATCTACTCTTACTTATAAATATGTCGATCAAAAACATAATTTCCTTGGGGCCCCTTAGGATGGTAGCTGAAGTCTTGAAGATGAGCTGCACCCGCTGACAAAGTCACATGTTTCTATTTATGTTACATGTAACTAAAACTATGTTCAAATTTTAGCATTATAGCTTAATATTTTTGAGATATCAAGGGCCAAATTATGAAAATGTTCTATTTTTAAACTTATCAATTGTTATTCAATTTAGGATTTACTAAAAACTTTCTAATATTAAATAATGATTTAAATATAAATTTTTTATTATGTTAATGTAGCATGCCATTTAACCCACATTTTAAAACTTCTAATCTTGTAAGAAAATAGTGTCTCTGATTTTTATAAAATTTTAAATAAGTGCCGCTAGAGCCAATCTATAACTAATACATTTTAAATAATATTAGAACATTTAATTACATATATGCTATCTATTGAATTAAAAATTAATCTTTGTTTTTGGGTGTTTTAATCTATTTTCAAATATAAATTATTTAAAAAAAATCAAATGTATGTACTTTATTTTGATATTAGAATATTTATTTATAATTCTGTAGTGTTTAGCAAATCTTTAATTGAATGACAATCGATGAGCATAAAGGTAGACCACCATTTTTCATACGTTTACCCTTAATATCTCAAATTATCTGAGAACTATGATTCTAACACTGCTTTAGTTTGCAAGCAAATTTCCTCAAATTTCTCATGAGGTCTGAAAAATCATGATTGATTTGACATCGAATGATCCCATAATGATATAATATTGAACAATTTAACATTTTAAGGTGATAATTTCTACTAGGGTAGGCTTAATTAGTTCAAATTGATTTATATCGATAATTTTTACACAAATATTATAATTTTAATCAATTCTCTTTGAATTTTAATAAATTATTGGTTTTTTTTTAAATAAAACATTTTACTATATTTTGAATATAGTTTTCAGAGTTGTTAAAAGATACTTTTTAAATGGATCTAGATACAGATACATAGTCTCAAAAGTTATCTAGATACAGATACAGATACAGCGTCTAAAAAGTTATCAAGATACAGATACAATTTTTAAATGTATCTGTATACAGATACATTTTTTATTATGCTCTTATAGGTTTGCATAAACCTAAATTAATATTATATTGGGAAAATTCATGAAATGAGCTAAAAAATTTATTGACGCGATATTACATTTATCAGAATATAACTAAAATAATGATTTTAATATAATATATGATAATATATGATTAAATAATTATAAATAATTATTAGATTTCAGTAATAAAACATTTTCAAAATTTTGATCATTTAGGCATCCTCGTTTATCTGTAAAGACATTTTTAGCAACACTAAATAGTCTTTCCACAGGGGCGCTTGAAGGAATTGTAGTGTTATATTTAATAAATAACAATTTTATATCAGGGTATTCTTTAAAAATGCTAAAATCTCTACATTCATTTTTGAAAAAATTATTTAAAATTTGTTGATTATCAAAATTTAAATCATTATTAGAAATTATATCTGCTGTAGGGTACTGAAAAAAATCTGAAATTAAATTATCTGTTTTTTTGGCAGGTTATTTGCTTGCAGTCAGTTGATGACTTTGATAATTCACCAGCTAATCTTTGTATTAATTGTTTTCTTTTATTAAGATTTTCTTCCATTTGCAACCATGTCCAATCAAGTTTAAAAAAAGGGTGGAGCATGGTTGCTATAATATTATCATCTTCAAATAAGGTCACAATAAACCTAGAATTATTAAATATTTTTAATTTATTATATTAATTTACCTATCCTCAATCCCTTTAAAAAGCATCTAAGAGTGGTAAACAGAATCTCAGGTTCATTTCTTTAAAATTCTTTAATTTGATAATAAGTTGTGAAATAGTTGCACAGTAATAAGCTGTGTACATATACTTATCTCCCTGCAAAATATCAAGGGAATTAGCTATTGGCTTCATTAGCTAATTTAAAATAATGCTATATATATAAATATTATTTATAACTTACTAAACAATATTCATGAATAAAATCACAATCATTAGGTAAAAACCTAGGTAGTTTTATTCCATCACATATCTTGTCTACTTTGTCAGATTTATCTTTTATAATTTCTGACATTAATTGTAAGGCATTATAGGTGGAGTTCCATCTAGTTATATTAGGACATATAAAATAACGACCAATATATTCCTTAATAATCTCAGATGAAATAAGAGACTTATTTTGCCTATTCCATATATTTTGGCATTTAAGTAGTGTTGTGCTATATATCTAATGAAGAAAATATTACTTATTTAATTAAAATTAGTTTTACCCTCTGATATTGTTTACACTGCATGGCTCTATTGGCATCCACAGTGGCTATAAGATTCAATGTGTGACTGGCACAACATTGGTGATGAGGTAAACTAAATGATTCTGATAATTCAGAATACTGTGCAGTATTATAAAGATTTGATATAGATATTGGCACAACTGCTTCATCTTCCAGATCATCAATTGATTTGTATTATTTTCAATTGGCTTGAAAACTCTTTAATAAATTAAGTAATCAATCATATATTATGTTTATATTTATTTATAATAAAATAAACCTAAAACATTTTTTAAAATTTTTGGCATTATCTGTAATGGTCTTTGAAATTTTATTTTGAATGCAATAATCCTTAGCCATATCTTGTAAATTTTTTGCTATTTTATCATATGTATGACTACCAGTCATTCTTTTACAAGCCAACGCTACATTTTTTCTTTCCAAACTTATTGGATTTATATAATGAGTGGTTACTCTTATATATGAACTAGAAATTAAAATTTATTAAAATTGCTGAATTAATTATTCTTAATTAATTATTATACAAATTGAAATGTTAACTATACCGGCGATAGGCACTCCAACAATCTGCTGTTGTGCATATTAATGATGGTTCTATAAGACTTTTAATTATTTCTTTCTTTTCATTTTCCCATCTTTGGGAAATTCTACCAACAACTGTCTGTCGGCAAATTATATTTTTGTGTGGAGCCAAAGTGTTGATCATTTTTTTAAAAGAAGGATTTTCAACAATTGAAAATGGCTGCATGCCATCTATAATAAAAGCAATAATTAAATCATCTAAAGTGCCTTGAGTTAAAGTCAAAGGTCTTTTAGCAAAAATATTGATGGAGGATGAGCCTTGTCCAGTATTTTCTTTGGTAGTTTTATTTTCCTTCCCCTTTTTTATTTTTGTTAACAAGGTTGGATGTTTTCTCTTAAAATTTAAATTAGAATTTTAAATATATAATATCTATACCCTTATGTGCTTCAAGATATTGCACGTTGAAGTCATACTGACGGATATTTTTGTATTTTTAGGTAGACACGGCAAACATTTTGCCATCAGAGAATTGTTTTCTTTGTTTTGAGATATTATTTTAAAATATTCTCTATAAATTGGCCATGGTAAAGCAATAGAACTTGTTGTTGCTTCCTCTTCTTTATCGATATAGATCTAAATAAATATATAAACTTAAAAATTTAGTTATAAAATAAAATTTACCATTTCCATATTGTAATATTAAAATTTGTATGGTTTATTGATAAACTCGGACATAATATTTAAATTAATGAATATTTATAATATTTTTTATATATAAGTTTTAATATTTTATGTATATATAATTCTTTATTATAATATTAATAAATATTAATATATAATATATATATATATATATATTTATTTATTTCATAAGCTCATATGAAATAAAATAAATTTTACAGTCAAATATTTTTATTTATAATAAAAAAAGGGGTATATAAAATGTATCTGAAAAAGTATCTAAAAACAGATACAGATACCTCGAAAATAATATCTAGATACAGATACAGATATCTTTCTAAAAAATCTATCTAGATACAAATACAGATACTACAACAACTCTGCTAATTTTTATTATTATAAATGATTTTTTTAACATTAATCATGAAATTATTTTTTTGATAAAAGAGACTCTTATTAAAATCACCTTAATATTGTTAAATGAGAGTTATAAAAAATCCATATGAACATTTCTGTATATATTTATTCTGTATTTTATTTGATACTAAAGATTTAGAAATTTTATTATAATAATCAAACATTGGCAAATATTCGATTAATGATAACATTATGATAAAACAATTTTTTTTACTCAATTCAGTATTGTACAAATTTAATAATGGTTTATTCATAAATTTCACAGGGAAACTGATATAATCTTGTAAAGTAAATGCATGTTTAACTTTACCTCAGGAGTTTTACTCCAGAGCATATTTTCTAAAATTATTTTTATTTTTTAAAAATATTATAGAATTATGAATTTTGCCAATCCTCTCTACATAAACATTTTAAAGTGACTATTTTTAATGAGCTCTTTTAAGACGATCACTCATAGTTACTTTATAAATATTTTTCTTTTTATATTAAAGGTTTTACTTTTACTTAGCTATTCGATTTATAAAAAATTTAAAAAAAAATTCTATCAGAAATTTTTTCAAATTCTGTCGTCGTATTAGCCACATTATCTTCAAAATCGAAACATCTTCACAAGACAAAAGCAGCCTCTATATCTTTTTTCACGCCTATGATTGTTTTGTGGCACATATGCAGGATTTAGATAAAAAAACCGAATATTCGAATCTTATAGGAGCTAGATTGAATATTGATGCCAAAAAGGTTTTAAAACAATTGAATTTCTTTAAAAAAATAATTTGCAGAAATGTTGGGAATGATGATATTTTCTTATTTTTAGCTAGAAATAAAAACGTAATATACATGTATATAATATTAAATTTTATACGTAAAACAGATCGAGCATTATCTGACCGTTTACAAACCTCTACTTATTATCGAGCCAGATACCATCAGGTGCGACATTGGAGCATCGGTAATACCGAGAAATAATTTTGGATATTCTAAAACTGTATATTATAATCATAATACTTCCAAAAGGCAAAAAGTTGCTTCATTCCCCCAAAAAAATTTTGAAAAAAATGCTGACGCAGAAATTGGGTTTATTAATAATATAGCCAAGCCCAAAGACCTTATTGAACCAAGTCAGAGCTTACAAAAAAATTTAAAGTACAATTTTTATCTCACCAAACAAGCTTGCAATACCTTGAGATGTGCTATTGAAGCAATCGCGCTTAACGAACCTCTCTTACTTGTGGGAGAAACTGGGGGTGGTAAAACAAGCCTGATTCAATATTTAGCAGATACGATCTACCCACAAGAATATTCAGAAAAAGAATCGAATGGCACCAAAGGATTGGACATTTATGATTATTCAAATAAGGCTAAGTTGGTTGTCATAAATTTAAGCAATCAAACCGAGATTGAGGACTTATATGGGTGCTACAGGCCCAGAACTTTAGGAGGTCATGGAATTCAAAACTCCAAGGTCATCAAAAGTAACGAAGATAACACACCAGATACCAAGGACCTAGAGATGTCCAGTAGGTTATATTACGAAGATCTGTTACTCAATCGAGAATCCATAAGACGTTTCGAAGTATTGTTTGTTTCAACCTTTTCTATCACCAAGAATAAGGCGTTTTTCGGTAATTTTAAAAGACTTTTGGTTAGCAGTAATCATAATGAACCTAAATGGCGAGAGGCTTACCATATGATGACATTCAGCTGCGATAAAGCGGAACAGAAGCTGAAAAGGGATTGTGAACGATTGGAAAAAGGTTTGTGATATTTTGTTAGTGATATTTTGTTAGTGATATTTTGTTAGTGATATTTTGTTAGTGATATTTTGTTAGTGATATTTTGTTAGTGATATTTTGTTAGTGAAATTTTATTAAAATATCATAGATATTTGGTTGTAGATAAAAAAAAATGCAAAGTTCATTATAAAAAAACTGCATGCAGTAGAGTTAATTTAATTATCATTTTAAAATTATATTATCAGAATTTATGTATATTGAAAATATTTTTTTGTAAAATATTAATCATTTATCAGAAAAATAAAATAAAATATGCATTAGTATAAAAAAATTTTAAAAGATTTTTTTTAAAATTTAAATTTTAAAAGAATTGAAAGATGAAGCCAAAATGAAAAGCGATAATGATGATAATGTTGAATCAAGTGTAGAAAATGATCTTACCGATAATAAATTAAAATGTTTAAGAAGGTTAGCTATCGAATGGAGACGGTTCCTTTCGAGATTGCACAGACTCAAGAATTATATTGATAATATGAAAAAGAATAAGGGATCGAATCCCACCATCTTCTCATTTATTGAAGTATATATATTAATTAATGAATTTACTCGATAAGTAGGGGTGGTTGAAATTTTTTATTAAAAAATTTACAGTGCTCAAGTTAAACTAGAGGTTATGGGACTATATTAAAAAAAGTTCGGGTCTAGTAAAAACAAATGGTTTATTTTAGATAAAATTAAAAAAGTTAAAGTTTGCATTTTTTAATTGTAAATTCTAAATTTGTTAATTTTAAGATTAAAAAAATGACCTCAGATTTTCATAAATTTTTTTTGTATTAATATCAGACACCCGCGAAGGTCTTATTTTGTTGGTTTGCCATTTTCAAGCTCGTCACTAATTAAAAAATTTTTTGCTCAGATTTTTAAAACTTTTTCATTTTAAATAATAAATTTTATCTTGTAAATTTTTTCAAGGAAATTAAAAATAAAGTTCCTGTTCCTATATCGTTAACGCCTCATTTTTAGTAAACGCGATTTGCTCAATTATATTATTCGATTCGTAATTTACAAAAGCCAGCCAATAATAGGTGTAATTTATAATTGCGGAGCGAAATGATGAAATTATGACAGCCATTTACATATCAAAAAGTATTATAGTTGTGGCGAATGATTTGTTAGCGATTAATTTCGCGTCCCTAGCTAATCGCGCTTACTATATAAATGTAGCGTAAAAGTATTAATCGCTAAAAAATAAAATTTTAATAAAAAAATTAATTAAAACCACTACATGCCAAATTATATTTATATTAATAATATTGTAAAAATATATTTTATAAAAGGGATTAAATATAAAAATAATTAAGGAAATTTTAGAATAGAATAAATGATATTAGTATTTATCGCATAAAAAATATCCAAAGTTGGGTATTGATAAATAAGTTTGGTTAATTGTTTTATAAGCAAGGTTTATAAAATTTGACTCACCTAAAAATACAATATTTCATCTGATTGTTTATAATTATATTTATTTACCTTGACTTGGAAGGTCCAGATTTACCTTTGGAACCACCTATTTCAAAATTTGAGCTTAGTTGTTTAAGATGATATTTGGTGTTAAAAATATCTAAAAGTATAATAATTTATGATTATAATTAAATTTAATTATAACTTAGTTTACAAGTCGCTGAATGCTTTATGGTGATAATTAAACCACAATTAAAATCATTAATTTGGCTCTGTCACCACTTTTTTAGCACTTATAATATATTTCAATTTTACCTAATTTATTTAAAATATATTTATAGCCTTCATAGATGTTTTCTAAAAATAAAATATTATATGTAGATTAAATATTATATACTTTAATTTATAAACTTCCAAGCTTGAAAATACTTGAAATTTTGTGCAACAATTGTAATCTTCATAATTAACTAAACAGACATAATTTACAACAGATATTTGCATATCCCGTGTCTATTTTATAGTTGGTGTTTATTAAGATGATTACAGTTGCCGCCTAAAAATTTAGCATTTTGCGAACTTAGTAGAAATTGTAATATGTAGAATTTTATTTATATATAGTATTTATTTTCAGAAAATCCACCAAAAGACTAAATATGCTATAGAGGCTACTTTATATTTTACATTAACCAGATGAAAGTGTAATATATTATCTCCAATGGCTCCTTAAGTTTAATGACCTTTTTTTACCATCATATTTGTAACTATATTCTCAGCTCTTTCCATTGCCAAAGCCATATTTAAAACTTGTTGAAAGCTCACCCTTTCTCCCATGTCATTTATTCCATCTTGAAATCTGGTGCATCTTTCTCCAATGTAGTTATATTAATTTCAGCCACCATAGAATCTCACAATCTCCCATCAAGGTCAGATTCTAACTTACACTTATGGCATTATTCAAGCCGACCTGCAAACTCAACAACTGCTTCGCCTTCCCCTCCTTCTATTCGAAGAAACTTAATCCTAGAACTAAACAACGTTGAAGTGGGTTTAAATACTGCCTTACTAATTTCAACTATCTCATATAATTAAGTTCCTTCAAGATTCTTGGATATATAAATGACCTCATCTCTGCCAAATTACTAATCCCCATTTTTCTTGGTTTCTTTATTTATTAATATCCCTCTTACTCTAACACATCATCTATATATACAATATAATCTTGAAAATTGTTTTGTTTATCAAAATTATCAAATTTTACTTGAGTTATCGTTTATTCAAAATTGTTTTTTTACCTGATTTATTCATTTCACTCTTATTAATTAAAATGCTTGATTTATCACTTTTACCAATTACAGGTTTTTCTTCTTTATTCGTAATAGAGAATTACTCTTCTCCAATATACTAAATATCGTATCGTAATATACACTGGGGAGACATCCCACAATTAAATGGGCACTCCACCGCCCTATAGAGAGTGTTATTGAAATTTATTAACAACTATTTTTATAATGAAAAATTAATGTGCATTGAAAATATTTGGGAGCCTGGGAATGGTTATAAATTTCCAGTGTCATTAAATATGAGAAATTTAACATTCCAATTATCATGGCTAAAAAATATAATGGTTATCATACTCAGCCATAAAGCAAGGGGCTGTAAGATGGGCGTAATTATCTCGCCAAGATATGCTGGGAAAGGGTTGCAAAAGCCTAAAACATTGGTAAGTACCGGGTTTACAAGCTGGATGCCTTAGAAAATGTTAATTTTCATCAACAAAACAAATATGTAAATTCATGTGAAATATTCGACAATTTAAAAGCAATATCAAATAGTAAAAATATCAATATCCAAAGTTTTAGACGAACAAAAATTGAAACAAGTTAAATAATGATAATTACTGACGCTATTATTTGGCTAGGAAGGCAGGATCTAGCACTAAGGGCATATAATCTTCTGGCCCCTTAACAGCAACTGTTCCAACAACAATGAAAGAAATTTTAAAGAGTTGTTAAAACTCTTATGTGATAATGTATAAACATATAGATATCTTTTTAGTAACTCTCCCAAAAATCCGACTTATCTAAGTCCTTCAATACAAAATGAGATAATTTCAATATGCATTAAATTCATTTTAGGTGAAATTTCAAGAAAGGTGAACAGCACCTTTTTTTTAGTGTTGTATCTGATGAGACTTCTGAGGCCAATATAGAACAACTATATTTAGCCATTAGATTTATTGATCTGGAGTCAGGAGATTTTAAAATGAAGGCACTGTTTGTTCAATTTATTTTATTGCATGATACTAAATCGGAGACGATAACGAAAGAAATTATATCATCAAATTTAAACTCTATGAGAGGCCAAGGATATGATGAAGCTCCCTCGATGAGTGGTCATGTTAAAGGTGTGCAGTCAAAGATAAAGCTTTACAGCACAGCCATCTATGTTCTCTATATAAAATATCTACATTTTGAAATTTATTTTAATAATAAATAAAGGAATGTTATTTATGCTTAAGTATTTTTATATAATAAGTGAAATCTATAATGAAATATTCTCTAAAATTTTGTTATATGCAAATATATGAAATAATTTTAACATAGCCTAAGATATGTATTGAGTGTTCATAAAAAATGGAGCCCCCCCCCCCCTACAAAAAAAAATGAATTTTTTTTAAAATTATCCCCTCCCCCCTCTTTTTATGAAAAAATCCTGGCTACGCCACTGGATCCATTAGATGATTTTCCAGCTTAGTTAATTGATATAGTTTAAATTTATGTGCTAGCCAGAGTTTTGTTAAAAAAAAATTTTTTTTAAACCCAAACGGTGATTGTAATTTATTTTTTATGTTCGGTCTAGTTCGGATCTTAAAAATCATACATTTTTACCCTTGACATTTTATGTTATTTCCATGGTATTCATTTAATATTTTTTTTGAGGATTAATGTATTGATTTAGATAAAATGTCGACGATCATGATTTACCGTGACGATATGTTATGAAAAAATATAATGTTGTTAAATAGCTCAATTTTTAAAAAACGAACCCCAATATTTTGGCCAAAAGATATTTCGCAAGTGCGGAGATTTTGTTCATAGATGGCAGAAATATTTGGATAACACTAGAGGCATGCGTAATATTATTTTGGTTTAATTTTTAATTTTAAATTGGTTAAATCGAGCCTAGCAACACAAAAAAAATAATATTTATTTTTATATTAAAATCAATTATTTTTTAAAAAAAGGGAATTCTTTTGCGAGCTTTCAAACGAGGTCATTGGGTTTTGCTAGACGAAATTAATTTGGCATCTGATGAAACCCTCCATTCTTTATTTAGTATTTTGGAAGAGAACAAAATTTTTACCATAGATAATAATAATACAAATTGTTCCGAACAATTGAACCTAAATCAATCACAGGCAGATTATGATGCAAACGTTGACCAGTTTTCCGTGAACGCTCACCCAAATTTTAGGCTGTTCGCTTGTATGAACCCTCCTAGCAAGATTGAGAGTCAGAAGCGGTCTTTAGATCCTAGACTCAGGAATAGGTTCACAGAAGTATGTTCACTATATTTCTCATTAGAGCATTTATTGATCCTCTAATATTATATCTTACTCTTGATTATTTATTTTTTTAAAAAAACTATAAATTTTTCAAGGTTTACATAGCGGATTTAGAAGATAGAGCTGACCTCAGACTTATCATTGACTCCTATTTGTCTAGAGGAGCAACTGGAAACGCAAAGAAGCAAAATAATCGTAATATTTTAACCAACAATTTAATATATATAAAAATCCATATAAATTATTTTCTTATATTTCGGTCTTACGTGTTGAAATTTTTTTTATAAATCGGCCGAGCTTTTTTATAATATAAAAGTAAAGCTGTTAATTTTTTTTTCTAATTCCGAAGATATTTAATTCGGATTTTATTGAATAATAATAAATTGCAATAATTGTATACAATATCTATCCCTTTTCTGATTTTCACTCCACCCGTACTTTATTCTATGCAAAGTCTTGACCAAACGCATGATCGAAAACATGATCGATTTTTACCTGGCCATTCGAAAATCGGTAACCGATAAATCACTTTTCAAAATTAATCACAAATTAATCAATATTGCCTCACAATCCTTGCCTCCGGCGTATACCCTGAGATCATTGTGCCGGACCATCCAATTGGTATCCCAGTGTTGGCAAAATAAAAATCTCTACATGACTCCTTACAACAAATCTTTAAATGATATAGTCTACGAGGTATATTAATTTTTTTTATTTAAACTTATTTTTATTCGACTAACAGGGTTAATAATATTTTCGTCATTCCTTGTCATATAGATATAAAAAACATGATTTTTACTGGTACTTTGGAATTTGGGTTAAAGTTTTGTATACAAATTAAGGTACAAGAAGTGTTAAAATTTAGCATCACATAGCCTCTCATATTTTTGTAGTTATCAGAGTCAAAGTATAAAAAACAACTATTTTTACGCTTATTGTCATTCAAGTAAAGATTTACTAAAACCACAGAATTACATAGTTATAAATATTTTTAAAATCATCTAAGCTCAGAATTTTTAATTTTTTTTTGTAAAAATATAAAATTTTGCATAAATACATGTTGTAAATTCGTTACTATTATAAAAATATCATAAATACATTTTAAATAATATTAGAACAAACAATTAGTTACGTATGCTGGTTGAATAAAAAACTTATCTTTTAACTGTTTTCATCGATTTTCCCCATGAAGAACTTGGCATTCCAATGTTTTTAATACAAAACAAATATAGATTGTCTTGTAATATTTGCTTAAAATTTTATAAAATAGAAAAATTCATAATTTTTTACAAGATTTTAAACCTTAGAATGAGGTCAAATGGACTGCCACATAAAAATACCTTTAAACAAATTGAATTATTATACACTTTATTTTGATATTAGAATCATTATTTATAATTCTCTAGTTTTTAGTAAATTTTTAATTGAAAGACAATCGATAAGCGTAAAATTAGACCTTTTTCATACTTTGGCCCTTGATATTTCCAAAAAGAAGAATTATGACGCGAAAATTTAAACACTGCTTAAGTTACGCTAGTTTATATACAAAATGACACCCATCGATTTTACACGGAATGGCCTATAATCCTTGTTTTCTTGTAAAATTATTTTATAGGCATTTATGACGGTATTCTCCTCCGAATTAGATAAAGAATACCTTCCTAACCTAAAATCGCTATTCAAAACTACCCTATTTAATGGCTACGATTTCGAGAAACTTTACAAGAGAATGGAAAAAAATTCCTTCTCTTTGTCAAATACACCTTTTATCGACCATACAAAAAATCAACCAAGCACAGCTAAAATCGATGGATATCTATCGATAGCCAATTATTATTTGCTGAAAGGGGACGCGGAAAATGTTTTCGACAAAAAATTTATTTTTACGCCCTCGGTACAATGTTATTTGAGTTCGATAGTCAGAGCTCTGCATTATAGGTTTCATTTTTAGAATATTATTAAAATGTAGAGGATTTTCTGATAACCAACAATTCCTAAAAAACAAAATTTATTTTTTAATTTTTATATTCGTAAAATTTGATACAATATATCAAGATTATTATTACCTTATTAAAATTTGACTTTTAAATTTAATAACATTTACAATTTACATATATTATTCGTTATTCTCATATCATATCATACACTGGGGAGACATCCAACAATTAAGTGGGCACTCCACCACCCTATAGAGGGCGTCTCCAGTGCAGGGAATTTGCATTCACTGTTTGGCAGTTAATTTACCCTACTGTCAGGGCCCCTTTAATTTAAGAGGGCTTACGGTACCTCTCGCGGATAAGCAAGGGTCTACTAAATGGATAGTAATTTGCCCTACTGTCAGGGCCCGTTTAATTTAAAAGAGCTTACGGTATCTCTTGTGGATAAAGCTGGTATCCACTAAATTGATAAAGATATATCTTAATTGTAGGGTAAGAATTAGAAATTTATATTTAGTAATAAAAAAAAGGTGTTATTAAAGATATGTATATAAGAAAGTAATAAGTAATAATGATATAGGTAATAGAAGTGTAGACTAAAAGGAAAAAATTGGTAATTTGAAATTTTTTTTTAGATTAAATTAAGAAAAATTAAGATTTAGTAATTGTTAGGTAAAAGAAAAAGAAAGCAGACGATTTGATAATTGTTAGGAAAAAGGAACAAGCAGACAATTTAGTCTATGGTTAATAAATAACATGATGACTGTAATGTTATTAAGATTAAGGCTAATTAGTTGTAAGATAGTGAAAAAATAAGACTAAAAAAATGGGAAATAAGAAGGTATAAATTATTATATTATAAAAATAATAAAAATTAAATTAAAGGAATTGATAAGGTTTTGAAAATAGTGGTTAATAGGTAATAGAGATAGGAAGAAAAGAATGAGATAATAAAATTTAGTGATATATGAATTTATTAAGAGGAAAAAAAAGAAAGAGTTATTTATAGGGATTGGAGATTAGAAATAGGTTAAGATAAGGATATTTAAATACTTGAATAGACTTGGTTTTCTTCTTAATTTGGTTTATGAAAAGATAATATATATATAAAAATTTGTGATATAAGTTCTGACAAAAATTGTGAGTATGATTCAAAATTAATATATAAGTTGAGTATCTTGTAGAGAAAAAAATTTCATTAATGTGCAAGTGGTAATACGAGATGAAGATTGATAAGAGAATCTATAAATAAAAAAAAATTAAATGAAATAAAAAATTAGCCTGAATCTTGAGAAATGAAGAGATATTGAATCTTAGATTATGTTTTTTATTCACTTCATTTATTTCACTCATATTCTGGATGTTGAGGAATATTATTTAAATCGATTCAACATCAGCCATTTTCCTAGGCAGACGAAAAAATCGAATTTCATAATTTTCACTTCAGAGATTTTTTTCATTCGTTATTCTCATTCTCGCATATTAAAAATTTCATATCTCTTACACTAATTTTTTTTGACAGACGTTTCCCCATCTTATTACAAGGACCTACATCTGTTGGGAAGACCAGTTTGATTACATGGTTGGCTAAATATTTGGGTATAATCTGCGTTAGGATAAACAATCACGACAGCACAGAGATCGCCGATTACGTTGGCAGATACAGATATGATCCCCAGATGGATTCATTTTACTTTCAAGAAGGTTTATTATTTTGACAAAATAAAATGAATTAGATATTCAGGATATTTGATTTTGTTTTTGTAGTGAAATGGGTGGGTGTGCCTTGAGTTCGATGAAATAGAATAGAATTAAATAGGTTGGTAGTGATTTTATTATAGTAAATCTCAGTTTTGCGGTAATCATAACATCTCGTAACGATAATATTTTTATAACGAATTAAATAATTATTATTAGCGAATAAAAAATACCAAATTGGTGAATAATGTAACATTAACTTGTATATATTAAAAAAAATCAATCATCCAATTAACCAAATAAACAATACAAAATAACCATTTAAATATTATTTGAAAATAATATAACAACAGTTTTCATTTTACACGATTTGGATTCATAGGGTTTAGCTTCATTTTTAAACGTTTAAAATAAACAATTTTAAAATTTTTTGTTTTATCCCCAAATTTTTTTAAAAAAGGTCCCCTCACTACAGCCATGAAAAAGGGCCATTGGGTCATTTTAGATGAACTAAACTTAGCTCCGAGCGAAGTTTTAGAAGCCCTCAATCGGGTTTTGGATGATAACAGGGAACTTATAAACCCCGCGTTCTCCGAAAATCAAAATTGTAACGAAGAAACCATAAAAGCCCATGAAAGATTCACGATTTTTGCCACTCAAAATCCCGCTTCGGCGATCTACAGCGGAAGAAAACAACTTTCCAGAGCTTTTAGAAATCGCTTCTTGCAGGTCAACTTTTCCCTACTGCCTTATGAAGAAATCAAAGTTTGTAGCACACGCATCAGATTATACTATTTAGTATTTATACACATTTTTTGAATCAGCATTTACTTTTCCATTTATCTTCCTTTTCAAGCAAGAAGGATACATGCATTTTTAATGTTAAAAAAATATTAAGGTCATTTTGCGTGAATCATGGCATCTGTCGACCAAAACATGTGATAAAATGGTCGCCATCATGATGGATCTCCAATGCAAACGCTCAAAAAATTCTGTGTTTTTCGGTAAAGAAGGGTTTATAACTATAAGGGATCTATTTAAATGGGCTAATCGATACGATACTTTGGTGGGCGGCGATGATGAGATAACTAATTTGTTAAGACGTGAATGGAACCTCAATTTATTAGCTTTGACCGGTATTTTTTTTAAAGTTTTTATGTTTGAAGGCTAAAATATCTTAATATTTTAATCAATTATACTCTTTAATATTTAAAATTACAAGTTGTCTCATATTCTAGTGAAAGTGAGAAAAAAAATTCATAAAGTATATTTTATGATTTCTAATGTTTAAATGAGTTTAAATTATTTAAAAAAAAAATTTGGTATAGATTTTATTTATTAATGGTCCTTTTGCTGCATCAACTAAAACATTGTCTGGAAAAAGTTTTATTTTCCATTATTTTTTTCTTTCTTATAAATATGACATTTAATCGTAAATATATTTATAGGCTATACCCTTCTAGCCTCGCGTTGCAGGACTCAAGAAGATTTATGCATCATAAATGACATTTTTAATCGCATTTTCAATGAACATAAATCGTCTGTTTACAACATTTCTGATATGGAAAATTACCTATTTAATTCAGAAACGGAACTGTTTACTACTTTGAAAACTAGGATAATCGAAAATTTTCGAGAGTTCGACCACATTCATTGGACCTTTAACACCAGACGCATATTGATATTGACCTATCTTTCGGCTTATTTTAAGGAACCCGTTTTATTGGTTGGACAGACTGGGTTTTTATTTTAATTTTTCATGTACTATGTATAATGTAGTATGATGCACTTATTTATTTTATGGGATATTCCTTTTTTTTTACCATTCTTTTATAGTTAAATAAATTTAGATTAAATATGTGAAAAGGTTGAAAGCAATTTAGTGTAATAAATGATTTTGCTACAGCTTCGACAAGTTAAACTTTTAGGAAATTTATGACCTAAGCTATTAAAACTATAACCTCTATTTATTCTGAACTCTACAACATATATATTTGAATTGTTTCATAAAATGGTCATTTAAGGCCACTTACCCCTCCTCCAGTTCATAATATAACATGTAAATATTTTTTAAGTTGCGGTAAAACAACAATTTGTCAAATAATTGCCGACCTTTTCAAGCAAACCTGCTACACCATAAATTGTCATCAGCAATCTGACGCTTCAGATTTTGTTGGCAGTTTAAGACCTTGCCACGACAGCGATGAGCAACAAGCGATGAGTACTGATTATGTGAACAACGACTTAAAGGCTCCAAGTAATTTTGATTATAACAAACTAATCAAAAAATGGATATTATTCTAGAAGGTACTGTACATATGAAAAATCTCGGTGAGCCCAAGGGAGAGGAGCATATGGAGATAGATTTGGACGCTAAATTTGTAAATACACTTGAATATCACGTTGAATCGGATCCCCCGAAAGATTCAAAAAGTAAAAAGATGTTTGAATGGAGGGATGGGCTTCTTGTCAAAGCTATGAAAGAGGGTAATTCACTCCTTTTGGATGAAATATCGCTCGCTGACAATTCCGTGCTAGAGAGACTCAATAGTGTACTGGAGGCTGACAAAAAGTTCCATATTATTGTTCACATATATCTTCTATAATTTTTGCTTAGCATAATCTTCGGGTATTTTTATTCTAAGAGCTCCTATATCGCACCTGTTGCCAGATCCCTAAAAATTTTTTATAGGGAATGGTTAGGCTAGACTCCTTTCGGTAATTATCATTAGTCAAAATAAAAAACTCCTCTCCCCCCTTCACGATATATTTTGCGATGAATTAATTTGCAAAAAATAAATAAATTAGGTTAGTTCTAATTGAAAAAGGAAATGAAACATACGATAGTTGCATGGAAATAAAGGCTCATCATGATTTTCATCTTTTTGCGACAATGAATCCCGGTGGTGATTACGGGAAGAAGGAGGTTTTTTAAAAACATTTGGATTATATGTTTTCACAGCCTTTTTTTTATTTATAAAAGTATGCATTTTTTTGTCATTTTTTAAGATTTAAGGCTGCGTACCATTTTTAAGCAGTACTCTCTTTTGTTTTCTATATAGCTTCCTCTACACTACCAGGAAACAGGCTATTTAGATTTAGGTAAAAGGTACGATAATTTGTTTTATTTGTACCGAAGAAATATATAAATAACTTAATGGTTATTTATTAAAAGACAAACTTAAACTAAATAGGGTGTACCTGCGTCACGCTGAAAAATTTGAAGAGTCCCTTGAAAATTTTGAAATTTTTTTATAACTCAAAAAAATGTCATTTGGAAAATTTAAAAAAATGAATTAAAATTTTTTTAATAAGCCCCCTTGAGATTGTAAAGTTAAAGTTTCAAAAATAAGGCGAATAGTGCTCAAATGGCGCAAGTTTTTTAATAATAAAAAAATATAAGGTTTATACGTGATTATTTAAAATCCTGAGCTTGTAAATCCTTTGATCATTATTTTTTATACTAGCTAGTAAAATTCTCTTATCGTATATAAAAATAATATATTTTTTATTTTTTATACAAGCTTATTTAAAGTCCATAGCTCGTACAAATCCTTTGATCTTTGTTTTTATGCTAGGTGGTGCACTATGATTTAAATCAATTCAATTACAAATTCAAATTTTTTTCTCATCAAAAATTCGATTAGTTATCTCCCGCCCTTAGAAACAGATTTACAGAAATATGGTGCGATTCTAACGACGATATCAAAGACGTGGTAGGAATAATCACCCATAATTTGAAATCGGCCCGGGTCGAAAATACAAATTCCCTCATCATAAAGGCGTTCGTCGAATATTACGATTGGATCAAAAATTTTAATAACTCGTCTCCTAAAAATAAAGCTAGTTGGTTTAGTGGCGAATTTTCTTCTCTCACTACATTGCCTTCGTAAATATATTTTGATCTTAATATATAGATTTTATAAAATTTGCCTTTTCCATAGTTTATCTTTATAGGCCAGTAAATCACCCTTCGTCACTTCTCACCAGTTTAAACGCCGCAATTTATATTTTAAACATTTATCCAAATCTTATTACTTTTCTTCGCTTTATTTTTCTTAGTTTAACTATTGATTCTACACAATTTTCCAAAGTCAATTCAAGTGGGTTGTTGTACGAGTAGTGTTGTTAAAAAGTCGAGTTCTTACGACTTGCGACTCGAGTCGTAGTCGTAAAAAACGGCTCCGACTCAAGCCGATCAAGGAGCCGCATGAGCCGACTCACTTAGTCGGCGCATGAAGTAGGCTCGTATAAGGCGACTCGCTGGGTCTGCCTAATTTTTTTGTTTTTTTTATAAAATCTGGTAAATTGCTAAATTTTGGATTACTGATTAATGTGAACAAAATTATATTAAGAATATTCATATCGTAACTAAAAATGGCTCAGGACCCGAATTCGGCTTCAGGGATTATATACCTAATTTTTATAACACAAAAATGTAAAAATATAATTTATATTGTAAAGATGTTAAATTAAAATTTCAGTGAAGATGTATCCTAGATAAGTGACAATTGTCATAATCGTTGTTTTTAAAGTTTTTTAAATTTTTTTGACGTAAATGGCCCAAAATAAGTATTGCTAACATGTTTAAATAAAACTTCAGTGATGTACTCTAAACAGAGTTTCCCATTCAAAAAAGGAAAAGTCCCAATGAAAAAAGGAAAATTGTAATTTTTTTAAAATTTTTTGTCAATTTTTCTTAAACTTTTATTTATTTTTGTTATTCCTTTTTAATTTATTTCTAAATTTTTGCGATTTCTTTACGTTCTTTTTCTTACTGTATCTTTTCTCAATTTATTTCTAACTTTTTGCTATTTTCTTTACTTTTATTTTTCTTACTATATCTTCTCTCAATTTATTTTTCTTCTCATTTTGATAATTCTTTTGTATTTTTAAAATAATTTATAAATTTAGGTCCATTTTTTTAACAATTCTTTACGTTTTTTTTCATCATACATACAATATTCTTTTTATGTTTTTTGTAATCCTTTACATACATTTCTAACCTTTTTAATCTTGTCATTTTTAATCTTTATTTTTTTGAGCATTTCTCAATTTTTTTCTTCTCATTTTTGATAATAATTTTTAATAATTATATTTAATGCTTTTGGCAGACAATATAATTACAATTGCTAAATTATAAATTATTCGTTTGGTTTACCTTAACTGTAATACCAAACGATATTTAAATTAATAAAATATAATTATTTTTAAATTCTTATTTTTAAAACGCATTAGAAAATTATTATCATTATAAGTGTATGTTATTTTATAAATAAAGATTATATATAGTAAAAAAAATGCGTCCTTATTTATTTTTTTTTAAAATTTATAAATTAGTTTTATCAAAGTCAGATATAAAGTAAATGTTTTAACTAAATGGTCTCTAATAAACAATTATATATACTAGGATTCTGTAATGAACTAAACTAGCAAAAATAATTATCAAAATGAAGAAAAAAATTGAGAAATGCTCAAAAAAATAAAGATTAAAAATGACGAGATTGAAAAGGTTAGAAATGTATGTAAAAGATTACAATGAAAAAATTATAAAAAGAATATTGTATGTATGATGAAAAAAAATCTAAAGAATTGTTAAAAAAATGGACCTAAATTTATAAATTATTTTAAAAATACAAAAGAATTATCAAAATGAGAAGAAAAATAAATTGAGAGAAGATATAGTAAGAAAAATAAAAGTAAAGAAAATAGCAAAAAGTTAGAAATAAATTGAGAAAAGATACAGTAAGAAAAAGAACGTAAAGAAATCGCAAAAATTTAGAAATAAATTAAAAAGGAATAACAAAAATAAATAAAAGTTTAAGAAAAATTGACAAAAAATTTTAAAAAAATTACAATTTTCCTTTTTTTCATTGGGACTTTTCCTTTTTTGAATGGGAAACTCTGTATCTTGAGTACATCTTCACTGAAGTTTTATTTAAACATGTTAGCAATACTTATTTTAGCCCATTTACTTCAAAAAAATTTAAAAAACTTCAAAAACAACGATTATGACAATTGTCACTAAAATTTTATTTTAACATGTTAGCAATACTTATTTTAGCCCATTTACGTCAAAAAAACTTTAAAAACAACGATTATGACAATTGTCACTTATCTAGGGTGCATCTTCACTGAAATTTCATTTAAACATGTTAGCAATACTTATTTTAGCCCATTTACGTCAAAAAAATTTAGAAAACTTTAAAAACAACGATTATGACAATTGTCACTTATCTATGGTACATCTTCACTAAAATTTTATTTAAAAAACTTTAAAAACAACGATTATGACCATTGTCACTTATCTAGGGTACATCTTCACTAAAATTTTAATTTAACATCTTTACAATATAAATTATATTTTTACATTTTTGTGTTATAAAATTAGGTATATAATCCCTGAAGCCGAATTCGGGTCCTGAGTCATTTTTAGTTACGACATGAATATTTTTATTATTTGTTCACATTAATCAGTAACCCAAAATTTAGCAATTTACCAGATTTTATAAAAAAAACAAAAAAATTGAGCAGACCTAGCGAGTCGACTAACACGAGCCTACTTCATGAGTCGACTCGAGTCAAAGTCGTTTTATCGGCTAGAAACTAGGCTCGAGTCGCAGCTAAGTCGACTCGGCTTAGCCGTTTAACAACACTATGTACGAGAACATGAAATTAAAAAAAAGCTAGTCTTATATTTTAGAAAATCTATAAAGTAATATTAATAGATATTACATAAAGTAATAGTTAAATATCTCAATTGAGTTTTTTTTTAAAAATCTTTAAATATGGAGATTTTTTAGATATTTACTAAAACATTCCCAATAAAAATTTCACATTCAGAATATTTGAAAAGTTCATCATTTTTTATGATTTTTTCTCCTATATCATCTCAATATTATCTTCGAGTTTTTCTATAAAATATGAAAAATAGTCTTAATTTTTCCACTTTTTAGGATTTTGCGTTTTTGATCACATACCACTCAAATGATTACGCCTGATAAAAGAAAATTGCATGATTATTTTAAAAATTCCCATAAATATCCTTTCTGATTTTTATAAAAAAATATGTTTATTAAATTTTTAAAAAGAATCGCTAATAATTGTCTTATTAAAACGGTTATAAATTTTTTTTCAAATAATTTTTGGGAAAAATAAAACAGAATAAATTTGAACACTAGAGATGTCCTACGTTTTACTCAATTTATGAATTCTGCAACGTTCGAAGCAAATATTAATAACTTTTGCCCTTCTAACTCAATTATGGACATTAATTTAGAAAATTTAGCTGTAAATTCGTTTACAAATTGTAATCTTATTGTCGAACAAATCAAGCGTTTTTATCATTCCGTCGCTTTGACCCTTTGGGAAAAAATTGATATTGCGGGTATTATTCTTTGTTATTATTATTAAACAAAGAATATTTTAAAAAAGCCGAGATAGAAAAAACAATTTTTTATTTATTAGTCAGATTTGTCATTATAATATTTGTTAATATTTATTAAAGCTTTCTTGAATAATTTACCCTCTCATCAAATAACCTCGATTCAAGAAATGTGTCATTCTCGACTATTGAATAGTATATTCCATATTTACGAAGAAATATCATTACTGAATCACATAGAAAGAGGTGTGTTTGATAACGCGAATGAACTCATTTTTCAATCTTCGCATATGGAAATAGTCAAAAATAGCAAAGTATTTGGAATTACTCCATTCGTTTATCATATAACAAGTAATAAAAAATATTTTATCTCAATTTAACAACACTATTTTTTTACATATCGCTTGATTATTATAGAGCTTAGTAGTGCTGTTAAACGGCTCGATTTAAGCCGATTTTTAAAAACGGCTAACTCAATATTTTATCCAGAAAAAAAATAATCAAGCCTGAAGATTTTGTTCATAGGTTTGGACACATATTAGCCAAGTCTCTAGGTCAGGCAATATATTTCTTACTAAAATGTTGAGTTAGCCGTTTCTAAAAATCGGCTCAAAATGAGTCGTTTAACAACACTAGAGCTGAGATTGGCTCTGTATCCTATTCTTGGTTGTCACCCAACCTTTAAAAAATGTTTTTTTTGCTAACAAGATCTTTAAGAAACTTCATATAATATATGGTATAGTTTTTTTTCCAATTCTTATATATATATATATTATTCTTTAATTATTCAATTTAACTTCTATAAGCATTCAATTTAACTGACCTTTTATATAATATTAAATATAAATCCGTTATATTATTCTATGACAAATATATTATTCAAATAACGTTGAATATTAAAATATATAAAATATAACAAAGGTGAAGTAGATTTTTAACCAACACGTTTAGATATTTAAAAAAATATTATATTTTATAAGCTTTGATTTATATTTATTATTATAATTATAAAATAGTCCTTTAAATTTGAAATTTAACGATAGATAAAATCAATGTACAATTAATTCATATTATACAGATCCTGATCATATTATGGACAGCTCATCTAATTTTGTTCTACACGCACCAACCGCTAGGGAAAATATGTTTAAAATTTTGAGAGCATTGACTCTGTCTAAACCGATGCTATTGGAAGGTTTATATATATTTTATATCCATACGTTAATTTTTTTACAACTCACAAGAGCAATATGTTTGTATACTTTTTACCCCTAAATGCGGGAGATTAAGGTCCGGCAAGACGTGGTAAGGCGGACCGTAATATTACCTATAAAATATTAACCTAGTCACAGGTGCCAATTAATTATATATTTCCATAGATATTAAATTAGTGTCATCATTTGGTAAAGAAAATATACTAAGATTGGTAGGAAAATCATGATTTTTTTCCTTCAAACTTAAGCACATTGGAAATAAATATTTTTTATTTGAGAAATAATTTTATAAATTTGAGACATGCCCATGACTAAAGGGCCATACTCTACAGGCCAATTCATCTTTTCTTTAGGCGAGTGCAAATTTATTATGACGAATAAATATACTTAAAGCATTAGCTATATAAAGATGAACCTCGAAGTGAAAATATACCATCAAAATAGAAAGATAATTATAATGTAGCTGTTTTTCTATGGATTTAGCAAACAGTAAAGGTGTCGTCGTGCATTGTAATTTATTATTAAAGTAAATTGTACTTAATAATTATACTATCTATAACCACATCCAAAAAGCTATCAATGGGAAAGAGGTCTAAATGCCTACTCAAATATTGCGGAATCAAATAATTAAGATTTTGCAAATTAAAATACTAATTAGAAATTTATTACTGGTGGAAGTCACATTAAAGGTATCGGCTAGAACCTGATCGGAAAAACTTGGTTGGACCATGGTTGAAATGATCCGATTTAGTTATAGCCTACGTCCGAAAGCCGTACCGTTGACATATAGTAATTATAATATATATAATATAAACACAAGGATCACCTGGTGTGGGCAAAACTACCTTAATCCAAGCTCTCGCGAATTTTACTAACAATAAGTTGGTAAGGATAAATTTGTCGGAACATACAGTATATATTTTTTTTTGTAAATATTGATTATTCTCACTTTTTAATAAGGATGTATGCGATTTATTTGGCGCTAATTTACCCACAAATGATGGATCTTTTGCGTGGAAGGATGGACCAGTATTGAAAGTACTCAAGAATGGATATTGGTTGCTTATAGACGAGGTTTCATTTTTATAATGAAACTCAAATACTATTACTTATTGTCAAATACGTTTATTGAAAAAAAATTATTTATAATTTAAAGATAACACTTAATTTGAATATAAAATTTGTAAGAATAATTGAAATTTAAATTATAAAGGTAATTGAAAGGTTTAAATTGTAAACAAATTAAATGACAATTATGGTATGTAAATTTTAGTAGTATAAATAGTGAGATCTAAAATGTAATAATTCATCAAAAGAAAAGAGAAAGTTTTATAATTTTTACTTTATATTTTGATTTTATATTTACGTTTTAGCGTTATTTATGTTATTTTAGAATAATTTTGATTAACTTGATTAACTCTATATTTTAATAAATTAATTTGTCATCTTCAATTCTTGATTTTAATGTATTTGAATTAAACACTTATTTTATTTTTATAATAAAAAAATTATTAACTATTATTTTTTTTATACGCACAATTAAATTCCTCCTTATAACCTATGCTTTATTTTATTTTTATTATAAAAAAATTATTAACTATTATTTTTTTTATACGCACAATTAAATTCCTCCTTATAACCTATGCTTTATTTTATTTTTATTATAAAAAAATTATTAACTATTATTTTTTTTATACGCACAATTAAATTCCTCCTTATAACCTATGCTTTATTTTATATTCAATCTATAAAATAGCATCATTTTTGCCACCTTTATTTATTAACACTAGATAAATTTAGCCTCTCAATCCGTCTTAGAAGCCCTAAATTCTTGCTTAGATCATAGAGGAATAGTTACAATTCCAGAATTGGGCAGGAGTTTTAGCATAAAAGAAGGGAAAACAGTTATATTTGCTTGTCAAAATCCACATTTTCAAGGCGGAGGTCGCAAAGTTTTGCCCAAATCTTTTGTTAATCGATTCATACATGTAAATTAAAAAATATATAACACTATACATAATTTATCATTATTTTATTTTTTATTATTTCAGGAAAATTTGGGTAATTAAAATATTAATATTTTTTTAACCTATTTAAGGTGTTATGCTATTAGAGTTCATATAATTTAAACGAAATCAACCACAAATTAAACTAGAAATAGTTTTAATTTTCGGACATAAATTTGTATCTAATTGTTTTTAAAACCCTAATCGAAATCGATATAATTTTATTTTAATTTAAAATTAACCCGAAAACAATATATAAACATTTTCTGATATAACCAAGGTATACATCAGAGACATGAATCCGCAGGATTATATCATTATATTAAAACACTCGTACCCAAATATACCAGAAGATGTAATAGCCGATATGGTCGCTATAAACTTTGAAGTAATTTTTAATAAGTTAATGACTGTTATAATATCGTATAAGCCTTGCATTGGACCTGTTATTGAATATCCAGCTCAGCTCTCATTTTTTATCCACCGAGTCCAAGAATCTGGCCGAACTTGGACCTGCCCATGCAGGGTTTAAATAGAAATATTTTATTACTCAAAATTTTTCAACTTTATATTTCTTAATTTTAAAAAGTATAATAATATTAAATAGAAAAAATTAACATTCCATATAACAACATTTATATAAAAGGTTAAAAGATTAAGCAAAGAACTAACCAGATACTCTAATATGTGGGAATTTAATATACGGGATTTGACTCGATGGTGCCAATTATCTTTGAAAGTATGCTAGTGCTAATTTAATATTACCTTCAAAATTTTCTTCATATCGTTTGAAAATTTAATAAAACATTAATATTATATTATCAAACCAGTATATTTTTAACGATCCATTTTCAATTTTATTGCCATGTAGAAATATTGTTTATAAATTTGGCATTTTTTATACAAAAAACTTAAATTTAATTTTTTTAAGATTATAGTTAATTTTTACCTAGATATCATTCCGGTCATAAATATTCTTTTTGTAAATCTATTTCTTACAATAATATTTAATTATTTAAATAACTAATGAAAGAACTCGAAATACCAAGAAGACCTACTTTACGATTCCTTTGATTTGATTTACATAGCCAGGTTTAGGAACCCTCAACATAAGATCGCGATATCTACCATATTTTTTCGAATTTCAAATCACGAAAACCCCCTCCGCAAAATTGATGAAAAAAATAGCGGCTTACCATCTTCTCACTATAAAATGATACAAACTCCTTTTCATTTTTCGAGAACAACTTCCGCCTCAAGTAATTTGCAGATAGGTAGATCCCTATTAAAAATAGCTAATAAATTATCGGTGGATTTCTTGTGCGGTAATAATTACAATAAACCTTTATGCCTGCTAAAATCTCAAATGAAGAACTTGGAACTCTTAGCCAGAGTGCTTCAGATGAATTGGATGCCTATTTTGGTTTGAATTTTAATATGAGATGCGGAATATATTTAATTTTTAAACTATCATATCATTTACATACCACTTGAGAGTTCTAACACTCTGGTAAATTTACACGAGTCCGATTTACAAAAAAATAAGGCACCATTTTTTTAGTTTAACTTTATAAGAACGTTGATAACAAAAAAAACAAATTTATTATTAATTTTAAAAGATATTTTTTTTATATCTATAAATGAAAGCGACGTGGCTATAAACCGTCTTTTATATCCTATTTATTTTCGGAAACATACTATAATTATTAATAACTTGATATTATCATAATTTTATCTTAGTCTTAAGAATATAGAATATTAGATTTATTTTTTATTTATAAAATCAAAATTAATTTCAATTTAAAATATTGAAATTTTTATTTAAAATATTAATCTATAGATAGGAAACACCGGATCTGGCAAAACGAGTTTAGTCAGAATATTAGCCTCCTTATCTGGAAATAAATTGAGTCATTTTTATATGCACCCAAACACTGATACTACGGATCTTATAGGAAATTACGAACAAGTAATTTTTATCATTTATTGTTTCAAATTAACTGATTGCTTTTTTTATTTTTATTCTTTGGTAACCAGGGACGTAACTACTGAATGAATTTTTGTGGCCCAGCCCTTCCAAATACACCCCCCCCCCCCCATCTAACAAAAATTTAATTGGACAAAAGAATCGAAATATTTTATTATTTTGAATATGCTTAATCAAGGACATTCTAGGTTCCACTTTCCCGAAATGCTCCTGAAGCAAAAAGTGTTATATTTTAAAGGAAAGGCGGGAAAAAATTATTATCTTATTATCGGAATACATTTTGGAGGTGCTCTAGAATATGTTCCAGAATTTTTGCGGATTCTTATAAAACAGCGTTTCCTAACCTTTTGAATATGAAAGCTAAAAATGAAAAATTTTAATCTTAAAAGAATCTGAACGGAGCAGAACAAAAAAATGTCCTGTTATTATGTTTTAGCGTCAACGTGTTTTATATAGAAATGGGTTAATTTTTTTATATAACTTTAGAGCATTTGTTTGTTGTTTTTTTCAAATTTGAAAAATCTGATTCTGATTTTACCGAAATGTATTCCGTATCAAATACAGAAAACTTTGTCATGTCCTGAAATATAGGGTGGATATGAGTTTTTTTCAGATTTAAAAAATCGCGCTCAATAAATAAATTACAGCTGGAAAATACATTTACGTTAACATATACACAATATTGCTACCTCATTCTTTAATTGATAAGGCATAAAGATATATATAAACGATTTTATGTCCCCCCCCTACCGCTTTTCCTCTTAGTGAAAACTCCTGGTTGGCTTAATAATTCATAATAAATATATCAAATTCATATAAATATATCAAATTCATATAAATGATTTAAATTTATAACGTAAATTTTTAATCGATTTAATATTAGATCAGAATGTTTTAAATCCATTCAAGTTCAAAAATTAAAACCATAAATATTTTATATATTTGTTTAGAATGATAGTCTTAGTGTTATTGGTAAACTTATCAATCTATACGAGTTACTACTAAGGAAAATGGCGAATCATTACATACTCACTGAAGAAGATTGTCAAAGAAAAATAGTACTTGATCTTTTGCAAAATTTATCCCAGTATTCCTTAAATCGTAAGATATATATTTTGGAATTTAAATCATATAAAACTTTAATATTCTTAAACATTCAGGCATCCACTGTTGATAAATTATATTAAAGAAAATATTTTTTTGAAAAGTTTATTTATTATGGTAATAGGTGTAGCCATTATGGGTGCCCCTTCCCCATAAAATTTTCAAGTATTCTTAAATATTGTTTTAACCTAATAAAGATATTCTTACACACCCTCATCCCCTTTCCCCAGCTGTCTAAGCAAATTATTGATATCTCATAAAAGATGCATGATAAATAATGCGCCATAGATTTTTTTTTAATAGCAAGATCTCCTGTTTAAAACTAGGTTTATTCATTTAGCTAATAAATCTTCGAATTCCTATAGGCTGACAAAAATATTAGTCCGCCCTTGTCTGTTAATAAAAAATATTAATTTTATGTTGTTTACGAAAAAAACATAGTTTCAATATTTATTCCAAACATTTTATCTTAGCTCTTATCCTGATGTAATTAATTTATTTACATATATTTTCCCTTCTTTTACATAATTACATAAATGTTGATGTTAATTTATATTATAGTTTAATATTTATTATATAATGATTAGCAATTCGTGTTTTTAAATTTAAATTAAAGTAAGGATAAGAATATTTTCCAATTTATATTCGAAAAGCTACTTTTACTTATATTATAATTTTATATCCTTTTTGTTGTACTGATAAAGATAATATAATAACAACTGATTTATTATATTAAGTTTCATTTAATAACTATTTGCAATAATAACATGTTGAAGTTTATGATTACCTCAACATACACCATCGTAAAAATGAATCCCGGAAAAAATCGAAAAATAAACCCCTGGATTTTATTTCCCATAGAATTTACTTAAGACCTAATAAATAATAGGTATATTTTCATTTGGATTATAATGGATATACTCATATTTATAATGTATAGATAAATTAGTATTTTAGAAAAAAATATTATAAAAATATAATATATTAATAAGCTAAATTTCTTTAGGCCCTAATTCATTATTTAAAGATTACTCATATACCCTTCCATAATGCTTAAACAAGATAAAATGCTGAAGTTCAAATTGGTACTGGGAAAAAATACCCCAGTAAAATAAGCCATGTATTTCTTATTTTCATAAAGATTATTTGCTATAGTAATAAATATAATATCCATCCTTAATTACGAAATTAAGTAGACTAAATTTGTCAAAATTTTGTAATAATATATATTTATTTTATTGATGAATCATGATTATGTATATACAGATTTAATAATTTAGAATATTAATTATATTGATTAACATTAAATATTGAAGGAAATCGCTTTTATAAAATATGGAAGGCTTCGCATTCCATCACGGTATTCCTTGCAAAGTTTCTTTAACCGAATCTGGGTATTATAACTGCGATTTTTTTTCGGTGTCCAACTATCTACACGCCATCTTTCAAGTTTAGTTTCATCAATAGCCACCTCACATTCCATTTTTTTAAATCAATACCCAGATTGATGGGTGTTTATTCCCAATCAGATTAGAAAAACGATGATTACAACCTTCGCCTTGATTATTTGTGCGTTCTTTGTCGAATAGAGTGCTCTGATTCACATTCCAAGTTTCTGGAGGAAATCGAGGCTCAATTTAACGTGTTTGGAATTGAGAATTGCTTCTTGTGACAAATTCTATAAATATAAAAAAAAAATCCGGGGGTTTTTTTTCTGGAGGTTTATTTTCCGGGGGTATTTTTCCGGGGATTTTATTTCCTATTACCCGTAAAAATATATTTTTTTTTTCATTTAAACCCTAGTCAGCTGAGCTCAAAATTACATTAAAATCTGTATGTGCCGCTGATTAATATTAAATTACGTGATGGATAAATATTATTGTATGAATATATTTTTTATTTAACGATTTTTCGAAGATTTTGGCTTAATATTTTTTTCAATGAGGGATTAGGGCTAAAACGAATTATTCGAATAAGTATAATGTAAAAAATATTCATCGAATAATAAGTTTTATATTATTCGAAATTAATTGTATTATTTATAAATATTTGAAATTTTTCTAAGATATTTCATTTTTTCGTTTATATACATACGTAAAAAAGTAAATAATCTAATTTCCTTTCTTAATGGATGAATATTTTATTTTACTTTACTTTTTTTCCTCTGCATGTTTTTTTTAATATTTTTGAATAATTAAAAAGAATGGGACAAAGTTAAATGTAAATATGCGTAATTTAATTAATTTTTTTTATAATATATTATATTAAACCTTCACTACATATATGGAAAAAACTTGCATTACATAATTTTTGATAGTTATATCAGAAATTATTTGATTATATAGTTTATTAATTAAATATTATTTAAATGTCTAAAATGAGATTATATTGTGCATTTTTAGAAAATTTTAATAAAATTTGAACATTTCTTGCAATTTAATTTGATTATATTAAAAGAATTTAGGTTTTTTATAATTAGAAGAAATAACACGTAGAAAAGTCTTAGATTAACATTTTTATAAGAAATTCTAAAAATTGGGTTTGATCTATTCATATTTGTTTTTACAAAATATATAATATATTTTTTTTATAAACTTTAGAAAAATTTAATTCGAATATTCGAGCAATTAAATCGAATGATTTTATTTAAATCTAATACGAATAATAGAGTAATTTGATTCGTTTTTTGTCTAGAGGCAATACCTAGACAATTCTTTAATATTACATTAAAATTGGCATATTTAGCGGATTAATATTAAATCCTATGATGAATAAATAACATTGGATGAATATTGGTATAAAGAATTTCACTGCAACACAATACTATTGGATAAATATAATTAACGAATGTAAATTGTTTTTTTATAAAATTTTTTCCTGCCGGAGATGCATGTTTCCTCTGGACGAGAGGGTGCTGAAATATATTTTTGCTATTTCTTAAATAGCTTATTTACCAATTACGGATGTGACATTTATAATTTATTAGACTTACTTACAATGGACCCTGAAAATTTGCCTATATTTTTATTTACTCATAATTCACTAAATATAGAGACTTGCCAGCCTGTACTTTATAAACATTTGGCGCATGAAAATGGGTCCCCGACTATATTTATATTCAATTTAACTCTTTCTTTGTTTTATAGGATGGCGTAAATTATAAACGATTTGTTTATAAATAACAAAGCTATTAGTGCCCTTTTTTGAATTGGTATTCAATACCTAGTTACAAAATAGGAAATGTAATTGAGTATTTAATTAGTAGTTACATTTGTATAAGTTTATGGATAAAGAATTAAAAATGTTTTAAATTTTTTAAAAATTTGCCCAACTCGACCTGTGGGCTTTACTTTAACGGGTCGGGCTTTGCTGATATTTCATACCACCAAATTTTGTACATCTGCATATCTTTTTACAATTTTCACTCCAGAAAATTAGCTTTGGATCTTTTCATCTATAAATTATTTTGTTTTAATTATCTTAGCCTATAGACGTTTAAAAAACAGTTTTCGGACTGTTGTGCATGCGGCTTACCCGCAATGGTGGATTTAATTTTTCACCCAACGTAATTTATTCCAGTGAGATAGGAATGAGGAATACAGCTCTGTTGAACTTTCAACTATATAGGGTAAAAGCTATATAAATCAGTATCACATATTTTTTAATCCATCTATATTTTACAATAAAAATTGTCGGGAATTATTTTGTATATAAGTATTATTTGAAATATATGAGATGGTCAACATCTGAATTTATTAAATTGAGATAAATTAACATTTTCTATATTGAATGATTGATACTTTATTTTATACGCATTAATCGAAATTGTTTTAAAAAATATATATATAAACTATTATGAAAGGTATAACTATTTTTACAAATTTATTTTGTTATGGTTTTTCTTGTTTGTTAATTAATAAAATTTGATAAAGGATTTTTTAACAAAGTAATTAAAATAAAACGCGTAAGTTCTTAATAATATACATATAGGATGTAGATGAAAGAAGATAATCTTAATATCTATTTCAGCATGTAAAAAATTACATGAAAAGAAGTTTTTTTTACATGTTTATTACTAATGCTGTTAAATTTATTTTTCAAAAGTAACTGGATACATTAAATCTCTACGAAAATTTCGGATAGCATAGGTTGCATTGAGAAAATTGATGAAATTAAAATGTGGAAATTTATTTCCTTCAAATACATTTTTTTAAAATATACAATATAATAAAATATATTAAAAATGATGAGTTAAAGATTCTTTGATTTTCAAGAATTTTAGATAAATTCAGACAAATTTTATATAATATGTTTTTTTCCGGCAACGTGTTATTTTTTCAACTTTAAGCCCGTTTTTTTAATTTTGAAAATCTGATTTTGCCGGAAATGTATTCCAACATTGAAAAAACTGCCCCATGAATTTCACATAATTTTGTCATGAACTTTTGAACTTAATATTATTTATATTAGTTTTTCCAAAGATTTTTCAAATAAATTATAAATGACTCAAAAGTTAACGGTAAAATTATATACAATTCATAAGATAGAAATTCTAAACATGCTGGCTGGAATACATTTCCGGTAAAATCAGATTTTTAAATTTAAAAAATAAGCGCTCAAAAAATTATTTAAAGTTGAAATAAAAACACGTTACCAGGAAAAACAGATTGCCGCTAACATAAATATTTTATCTTATGTTATTTAATAACCAAAAACCTTTCAAATACTAAAATAATGAAATGTAAAAAGAAATTTTATTTTTCGTATTATGATTAATAGAGTTGTTAAAGTATCTAGATATAAAAATTGGGTATCTGTATCTAGATAGATTTTTGATTAAAGTATTTGTATCTGTTTTAGATACATTTTGACATACTTTTATTTAACGCTTTTTTATATTATAAATAAAATACTTGAATGCAAAATTTATTTTATTTCCTATGAGCATATAACTTAATATTAATATATATATTAAAAAATATTAAGACTACTATATTAAAAAAATATATATATATATATAAAATATTAAAACTTATATATAAAAATATATATATAAATATTTATTAAATTTATGTCCGAGTTATCAATAACAAGCAAATTCTGATATTTATTACAATCCATCTCAAGGAATTTGCCATTTTTATTTGCAATGGAATTGGTATTTTATTATATTAATTTTTGTTCTAGATTAATATTGATGAAGAATATGATATAATCAATGACGACATTCTTCCATGGCCAATTTATGGACCATATTTTAAAAATAATATCTCAAAATAAAAAAACAAACCTCTGATAGTAAAATATTTGCCGTGTCTACCAAAAAATACGCAAATTTCAGTTAGCATTACCTCAACTTGCAACATTGTAAAACATTTAAGGGTATAGATACTAAATAAATGTTTACAATTGTAATTTTAAATTTTAAGAGAAAACATCAAACACTCTTAATCAAAATAAAAAAGGGGAAGGGGAAGAAATCTAAGAAAATATTGGACTAGGCTCATCGTCCATTGATATTTTTTCTAAGAGACCTCAGACTTTAACCCAAACCACTTTAGATGATTTAATAACTGATTTTATTATAGATAGCCTCCACCATTTTCAATTGTTGAAAATCCTTCATTTATAAAAATGATTAAAACTTTAGCTCCATAAAAAAAATATTTGCCGACAGACAGTGGTTGCTAGAATTTCCCAAAGATGGAAAAATGAAAAGAAAGAAATCATAAAAAGTCTAATAGACTAATAGAACCATCGTTAATATGCACAACAGCAGATTGTTGGAGTGCCTATCGCCGGTATAGCTAACATTTAAATTTGTATAATAATTTAATTACGAACAAATTATTTGAGCAGTTTTAAGAAATGTTAATTTTTAGTTCATGCATAGGAGTCACTGCACACTATATAGATCCAACAAGTTTGGAAAGAAAAAATGTCTTTACAGATAAACGAGGATACCTTAATGACCAAAATTTTGAAAATATTTTATTACTGAAATCTAATAATTATTAATAATCATTTAATCATACATTATATTATTTTATTAATGAAATCTAATAATTATTTATATTAATCATATATTATATTAATATCTAAAAATCATTATTTTAGTTATATTTTGATAAATGTGATATCGAGTCAATAAATTTTATAGCTCATTTCATGAATTTTCACAATAGAATTCTAATTTAGGTTTATTCAAACCTTACATAAGAGTATAATAAAAATTGTATCTGTATCTAGATACATTTACAATTGTATCTGTATCAAGATAACTTTTTAGAAGCTATATCTGTATCTAGATAAATTTTTAGACGATAGCGGCCATTATTCATTACAGATTTTGTAATCATATTTTTAATGCTGTGTACAATATTTTATTACATAAAATTTACGTATCACGTAATCCAAAAAACAAGAAAAAAAACCTTAAAATTCTTTCGATATTTTTGTCAGAATCTTTTAGTAGCTTAATTTAGAATATAAATGTGCAAAATTAATCACGATTTTGTTCGATGGTTCACGAGTTATGACGGTTTTTTGGAGCTTGGTTGGAATCGCATGGAGCACGCCTAGTCATGCGTGTAACATTTTCCCATATGTTTTAGCAATATACATTATTATATTATTTAAAAATTATATTAATATTTGAACCTTAGATAATAAACATTCTTCATCATCAATTTTATTTATATATATTATTTATATTATATTGAAGTTTTTTGACTCATAAATTATAAAATAAAAATAAAATTTTAAAATAACAGTTGAAGCCACTAAATTAGAGTTATTTAATAAATTTTTGAAATATGAAAGCTACAAATTAATATGTAGGAAACTATAAAACCCCACCTAGTCCTTCCTGTGAGAATTTTCACATGTGTATGAAAGTTAGTTTAGAAAAATTCTAAAATTATAAAAGTTATTGATATTTAATTTATTCATCTAACACATTGCCCTGGACATTGGACCCATTTAAAAAAATATATTAAGGAAGTTTATAAAAATTTGTAACAAAAATTGTATAAGAACAATATTTTTTAAATTTATTAATGACTAACCCCCTAGTTATCTTAATTTTCTACCTATTTATATTATTTTTTCTCTTCTCATTAGTGAAATATGTATGATTTAAATCTAATTTTAATTCCTCATAGTTTCATTTTATTATAGAGAAATTCTCTTAAAGTTTTAACGGTCTCCTCAGACTCATTCCCCTTAAACATAATTTTTTTAGGATAATGCTATATTTATATATAATAAATACTATATGGTACCAAAAATAATTTACATTTAATTGAAACAGTATTTTCCCCTGCAAACTCCGCCAACGCCTCTCTGCCTTCCATATTTATTGAAATTATGGATTATTTCCAGGATTTACCTTTAAATAGCCCTATTGTGACGCAACTTAAATACAAGGATTATATAAAGGAAGCCGAAAGATTGTTGCGATCTTTGAACAATATTTTAACTTTAAACCCGACAAACAACGAATCAGGACAAACTTTCAATTGGATTGATAGTCTATTAGTTCAGGCGCTAAAAGATGGCTCTTGGATATTGATCGAGAACGCCAATTTGTGCAGGTTAAATTTTAAAAAATTTTAATTGGAAAACTAACTATTATTGGATACATTTTATGTTGGTCTATTTTTCTAATATAATATATTAAATTTATCGTTAACCAACAGTCCTGCCATATTGGATAGACTAATGCCTTTGCTAGAGCCCAACGGTTATTTAGAAATTCCAGAAAGAGGATTCGTAGATGGCAGCCATGTTTATATAGTCAAACCACACTCAGATTGCAGGTTTTTAAAATCATTTCAAATATAGGGTTCTCAGATTAGAACTAATTATGAATTCTATGATTAATAAACCAATAAAAATAATAGTAACATAAATTGTAAAACAAAACATTATTCGATCTATTAAATAATATTGAAAATTTTAGCGGAAACTTGAGTATGAAGTTTAATTTCATCGGAACACCCCTATTTGAGTTCAACGTATAATTTTCCCCTTATGCTATAATAAAATAAAATTATTCGGTGGGTAAGTTTGACAAATTTATTTTATATAATTAATTTGATATATATATGTATTATAATACGATTTAAAAAAATATATTATCTAATCACTCACGCAAGAATTATTATGACTATGAATCTATCCAATGGAGAAATATCTAGAGCTATGAATAATCGGGGAGTCGAAATATATTTAGATGACATTGTAAGTTTATTAAAATGTTTTTTTTATAGATATTCAAATTTTAATTGTGTAAATTTTGAAATAAACAAATTTATTGATCCCATTTTTTAAAAATAAAATAAGTTTATGGAAGTGAAAATATATGAGAAATGATATACATTTTATGTTTAATAATCTAAAAACAAGTATACAATATTGAATTTTTAGATTCTAAGATTATTGAAGTCTTCCATCTAGGGTTATCAGTTGAATGGTTATCTTAACCCGTTAAATTGAGTTTTTACAAATTCATCATATATTTTAAAATTTGATGCGAATCGTTGCTAACTCTTATCAGATAGGCCCTATTTAGAATGGAGGCTATGTGACGTTTTTCTAAGTTTATAAAATATTTATTAAAATATTGTAAACTCGATCAGCTGATCGCGAGGCAAGTAGAATTCATAAAAAAGGATTGCTTATTCAAGTCGTTCTCAAATTAAGTTAAGTTGAACACTCCCCCTCCCACCTTGAGCCACACAAATACATAAAATCGAAAAAATTTAAGTCCAGTAATATTAAAAAATTTTTATTTTAGACATCAGATGGTGCTGAATCGGATATTATAAGCATTTTAAGTTCTCACGACTTTCCGCCCATTATTAGCGAGACGCTCTACCGATTTCATAAACATTTTTGCGAAACCTTTTTAAGTAAAATAAATTATATTAGTAGAGGCCAGAATTGGCCCTATTTAGTCAATGCAGTTTGAGGCCTTTGGGTCGGGTATTGGTCGGTCTTACATATTATATCAACAATAGATTGAAGGTTTTGTTTGGTTATTATCAAAGACCTTCATAGATAGAAATTTTTGACCCGCCCGGATTTGGAATTTTTTTCAAAACCTAAACAAGCCTAGGTCTAATAGATTTTTAAAATTTTGTTATTTTTAACAATTTTTATTTTTCGAATTGTTTCAAAGGGATATTTAAAAATTGAGCTAAATTGAATATTAAACGCTTCATTATAAAATTTTTCAACTATTTCTCTGATTAATTAGTATAATTTTTTCAAGCTTGGATTTTTTAAAATTTTAGGCATTGGCCAGGTTTTTAACCTTTATAAAGTTTTAAGCTCGATCCAGATATTTATAATTATACGATTTTTTGGGGTGGGTTCCTGACCTGACCCACAAGTCTCTGGTTTTTAGTATTACTTTATTTTAAAATACATTATCTAAAAAGTTATCCTTTACAATTAATTTTGTAGAATTCCTTTTAGAATTCGATTATTTTAATATGAAATTACCATCTAAAAATTTATATTTATATTTGAAGGTAAAATTGTGGGTTTTGTAAAAAAATTTAAATTTGTTATTTTGTCTGTTATAAATAAATATTATTGAAATTTAATAATAAAAATAATAGAACTAGCTACTAATCAACCTTCAATATTTGATCTCATTAATTTGGTTATCAATATCGAAAACCGAATTGGCTCATGTAAAATTGACATCGGTTCTGTCATTATTAATACCTTTTTAGACTTTTATCAACCTTACATGAATAGAAACGATACAAATTTATCATCAAAAGTAATTCGAATTTTTTATATGAATTTTATTATTAAATGCCACTGTTAACATGATGACTAAATATTTTTTTACGCCGTCAGGGAAAGTTGTGTGTAAATTAAGTTATATTTTTTTCTTGAAACAAGGTGCTCACGTTCATGAGATTGAAATTCGATAAAGATTTTAAATTTATAATCTTATTTCCATAGTTCTATTAGACCATAATAATATTTATTTTTATAAAATTACACTTAAAAACAAGCTCGAACAATTTAGGATGAATTTATGGGATATAATGGAAAATGCATGGAACTCACAAAGCCATTCGCAACCAATCGATAATTTGATCTCTTTAAACTTCGCTGACAACCCACAGCATGACAATAAATATAATGTTGTTAACATCGAAACTAATGCTAGAACCGGGAATGAATATACAAATTATGACTCCTTTGCAAAATTATTTGATAACCAAACAATTCACTTATCATTTGACATTAGGAATGACGTTTATTATAATACAATACCTTTTTTAACTACCCAAGAAAGATGTAGCTTCATTTCTGGTATGGACCTAAGATCTATTCTGTTCAACGCTCAACCCCTTGTATCTAATTATGTTGAAAATATACTAGATAATGGTAAAAAGTGCTAGTATAATATAAAGTTTTTAACGTATTATAATTAATTGAAGTATTTAAATTGAGAGGACAAAAAAATGATCACTTAAAAAGAGTAAAAAATGATACCATTTTCCTAATATTTTATTTCACATAATGTTACGTAATATAATGTCTAATTCTCCCCCATCATTCTAAAAATATACAAGCTCCGAGGATATTAAAAACTTCATCCGTATACCTATTCCCCGTAACGCCATGGTCTAACTCTGCTAGGAATAATGTCAAAACCATAAATACCTTGAGATTATTGGTAGATTTCACTTCTCGACCTAGCCTTAACCCTTCTTTATATTATATAAATCGTATCCTTACTCATCACAAATCTCTGCACAATAATAATAAACACACAGAATGCTTCTTCGATATAGAATCAAATTATCGATTTATTATCGAATACCTAACTTTATTCAATTCTAGACCGAATCAATTATTATTTGGAAATATTAAAAATGAGGAAATAGATCCTAGATGGAATTCCGTTTTGTACGCTGAGCCCAAGAACGACAAAAATCTCAACAACCATCTTAATACGTTTTAGCATTAATTTAATTCTAATTATTGATTCACATGTTTTGATATATTTAATAGTTTTTTGAATTTATTCCCTGTGGTAATTTTTGTGCAGGGAAGTTCGTCATCTTCTTATATCATAATAGGCTTGCTAAAGAATTAATGTTTTTTTGCTAAAGACGTTCTCCAAAAGAAATACTTTACCAAATTATATGATATTTTAGGCAGGCTGAGCACTTTATAATATTATAAGTGTTATATATTATGGCTCAGCAGGATTATTATGTTCTCAATTAGATATTCATAATATATATGTATATACACCACGAGGAAGTTCGGGCATCTCTGGCTAGCCATATAGTTACTTGAGTGGACTCAGCTGTACTTAAGACAAATAGTAATGAACTATCTTAAGCTTATATTTAGCCACATGGACATTGTCTATGACTAAGAGTAAAGGAAGCTTATACTTCTTAAGTGCCTACCTAACAAGGAGGAAAACTAAATACAAACTCGAAATAAATATTAAAAACATTTTTTTAAAGTTAAATAAAGGGTATTAGAAAAATTACCAGGAATTCATAAATAAGTTGTAAAGCAATATCAAAAACATTTTCCAATGTTTAAAACATAAACTTACAATAGCTCATTATACTACTTGTCTTGTGCATAACTCATAAATTACCAGCCAAAGTTATTTATTTGATATTTATTTTTAAACTATATAAATTTTGATATATTTTTTTCTCAATCTCATATTCATTTAAAGGTTTAATATCATGAAGGAAATATTGTTATTAAAGACGTACGTTGAATCATCCCACCTCTACACTACTTATAAAAGTCATATAAAAGATATCGAGCTTTACATAATCGACTTATCTGGTATCGAGGATTTCCATCGTTTAATAAACCTTGTCAATTATGACTATACAAAATTGTTTTGCGTTATCTCATATTTTTGCCTCTCTTGGATTGAAAATATATTTGGTGCCATGTCGACCGAGTCCTTTACGATCCTTGAGATGAACGATGAATCTTATATCCAGGTAATAAGAGAATTTTTTATAATTTAATTTTTTTAAAATTTCTATTATAATATTCAGTTTATCAACTTATTTTGGACTTTATGGTATATGGTTCAAGTAATCGACAATTTCTGCGATACACATCTCTTCACAAATACCATTCTTTTAGAACAAGATTTTTATATAATACTAACGTATTTCATGGGGATGATTTGGGAAAGAGTGCAAGGCCAAATAGACTATTTTTCAAAAACAAACTGGTCATCAAATCCGATCAATGAGGATTTAATAATTTCCCCACGAACAACTCAGTCGTTTTTATTATTGGATAAAATCTTGAGGCTTGGATTGGATAAACAGAGAAATTCATATTTTTATTGTTTTTATTGGCAAATTTATTCTCGCGATACAAAAGCGCTGTGTTTACTGCAAAATCCTAATTACGAAAACCAATTGACTACTGAAAAGGACTTAACTAATAAAGACTCCAATATTATTGATAATCTATCATGTGACGGTTTTGATTTTGTTGAAGTTCTTAAACGATACTTTGAGTTGAATTTAGGATTCGAAAAAAAATTAACACCAGTTCCTCATTTATCACAAAATAACTACTTTGAAAATGTAAATAAAATGTTTTAATTATTATTTGTAAAAAAATTATTATGATTATACTATTTAAATGACTAGGATTTTAATAGTTTATATATTTATTTATAAATATAAACTTTTTTGGCAAGAGATACCTTAAACTTTATAAGTTTCTTGGGCTTAATTTTATATAATCTTTTGTTTATTAAAAGATAGAAGGAAGGAAAGAAAGAAAGAAAAAAATAGAAATAAAAATTAGATAAATGTCAAACATGTATCCAAAATATCTAAGTGGGATGGTTGTTTCTGCATAGAATATATAATTTGGAAAAATTTATACGCTTTATTTTAGAAAAGTTATCAGCCTTCGTTCTATGACAATTCTCAATGTTGGAATTTAGCCTTAAAAAATAATATTATAGAAGCTTATGTTAATCGATGCTTATTCAGTAAAACGAAACATATTCTAGATGATGTAAGTAAATATATGTGTTGTTAATTTAAAAGGGTGGTTAATCGATTTTGGTAAAAAAGAGATAAACCTTTCTGCCGTGAAATCTTAGGGCGTAGATAATATTTATTTGGTCAAATCTTAACCCCCCACCCCCTTTTAAAAAATCAGGAAAAAAAGGTTTTTTAACAAGACTAAAATAATGAACTTCTTTAGAGTTTTATATAGTATATAGGAAAAAATATGATATTTCGATACAGCTTTTTATAGACCGGGCCTACGTACCCAATGAATCGATTTATCTGATTTTTAATAATGCATTATTGCATAGTCGTTAAGGAAATTAAATGAATCAAAAATATATAAATCAAATAAGATAAGAAAGCAAATGGACTAGCTATTTGTATTTTTTTATATTTAATAATTAGTTTTTTTTATTTATACGATTCAATATTAACATATGAATTAATATATTTTTTACTAGGGCTATGCTGATATTAAATATCTGATCTGATCGGCGCAGATACCTGTAAAAAACCAGTCCAATCCGATCTTTTTATATTTATTTTACATTAATAATATTTTCTAAATAATTTTTTTTAAACAATGCAAATGAACACCCCTTAAATTTTACTTATTTTTTAAAATAGATTTATAGTATTTTAAAAGTTTTCACTCAAAGTTTTATATATTTTAAATCTTTTTGAATAATAACGCCAATTTTATTATTTATACTTTAAATAAAAGAATTTTTTTAAATATGGTATCTGAATTATGGAAATATTTTACAAAAGATAACTGATAATTTTGCAAGCAGCGTTATCTACGGAATTCTAATTTCACGGGGAAGAATAATGAAAAATTCATTTAATACTACCAATATCCGTAAACTTTTTTAAATTATTGTAGAAATAAAATAATTAAATGATTTTTTGCATAAAAAATATTGATTTCTTAATTACATTTGGTTCAAAAGGGGGTGGTGAAAAATCAATATAAATATTGGATCTGTTTTGCAATATCGGAAGATATCGGATCGGGGTGGAAAATACACAACCCTATGTTTTTACCCACTATTTTGAAAATATTGGAATGTCAAATTTAAAAATATCGGTTATATACTTAAAATAAAAATGAATTATTGGTTGGATCTAATAATAAAAAGTCAGTTACACTTTATAATAAGTTGGAAAAAAATTATTAGGCCAATTTATTTCTTTAAATTATTTTTATATTTAATTGGTTATTTAGATTGTTTTATTTTTTACTCTAATGCAAGGGTGTATCGCGAGGAGGGCTACAGGTTGCTAACCCCCCACCTCACTAAATTTTTTAAAATATTTTTGGCCCCCTTTCCCAAGTAATGATGGTAAGGCTGGCTTTGGCGTATTTGTTGCTGAAAAATAGGCGGACAAAGTTATCGAAGTAAGAAGACTAGATAACCATATAATGATTGTCAAGATGATTTTTGGTAGAAAGATATGCAATATTATTTCTGCATATATTCCTCTTCGGAAGAAGGGAAAGATACATTTTGGGATAGTCTATTGGAGGTGACATTAATGATTGAAGCGAAGATTATCTTGGCTGGTTATCTGAATGGACATGTGGCAACGAGTGATAATGGTTGTTAGGGACTACATGGAGGATTTAGTTACGGCATAAGAAATCCGGAAGGGGGGAGAATTTTACATTTTGGTAATGCTATGGATATGATTATTTGTAATACAATGTTTAAGAATGAAATAGAGAAGTTGGTGACTTACAATCGGGTAGACTAAAAGTGCGGTGGATTATTCTGATAACTTAGGAATTTAATGATTAATGACAATCTAATTGTCACAGAAGGAACTATTCCCGGGGATTGGGAATTATAATTATTTCGGTATATAAAGGGAAGGGTGTTCCTTTCGATTGCGGGTCATATAGAGCTATTAAACTCTTGAAACATGCAATGAAAGTATTTGAGAGGGTGTTAGAGAAGCGGATAAGGGAAAACGAAAAAAATTGATGAAATGCAATTAGGTTTTACATGGGGAACGGCACGCTAGATGTAATTTTTGTGGTGAGACAAATACAGGAGAAGTATCTTGCAAAGGAAAAGAAACTGTATTATACGCTTGTTGATTTGGAGAAGGCATTTGACAGGGTGGTATGCGAGCTTACTAGATGGGCCTTGAGAAAATAGGTGTGGAAGAATGGTTGGTTATGGCAGTGATGGCCTTGTATGTGGGAGCACAAACTGCGGTACGGACGAATGATGGAAATGGTGAAAGCTTTGAAGTGAAGGTGACTACATCAGGGATTCGTGACGAGTCTTTGATGTGGTGGCTAGAGATGCGTGAGAGACTTCCCTGGGAGCTATCATATGCAGACGACCTTGTATTAAATGGCAAGTTGTGAGGAAGAATTGAGGGGCAAAATGGAAGATGGCTATGGAAGCAAAAGGTCTGAAAATGAATGTAGTAAAGACAAAGGTAATGATTGGTGAAGATAATCTCAAGACGTAAGAATCCGGCAACTGGCCTTGTCTTGTTTGTGGGAAAGGTGTTAAAAATTCAATCTAATGCACCAGATGCCAGAAATGGGTTCATAAAAGATGTAACGGAAAATGAGGAAGTCAAATATTAGCAAGAATGACCTTTATTTGTGGAGCGTGCATAAAATGGGCACATAATACTCATAACGTAGAAAATGGTGGTTTCGATATTAGCAATGGGTTAACCCTGGGAAAAGTGGAAAGTTGCTATTTGGGTGATCATAAATATGGTAGAAGTTCAGAGAGATGTCGTCTATTCTAACAAATAAAATAAAAGGACATATTTATATATCTTTTAATTTGTATAGATATCGATGGTATTCGATTTTATATATATATATATATCATATTTTTTGATAATATATAAAAAGTCATACCCCCCCCCCCCTCCTCTGACAAGTTTTTAAGCAATACCATTGCTCTAACGGATAAGCTACGTTATTTAATTTTTATAAACACGGTATTTTAAAATATTTTTTTATGCCGTCATTAAGAATCAACTTGAGTGCTCCCAAGGAATGGACTACCACACAGCATCTTCTCTTTTGATGATTCACAACAACCACAGACAATATCTATATCGTCATAACAAAAATTTATCATTGGACGTACCTGGCAACGATAATACCTCGGATTTTATTGAAACGGATTTGGGAAAATTATTAGAGAGCAAATTTGATTTCGTCGATTCCTGTCTTAATACTTTGCAGTAAAAAAATAAATACTTTTTAAATGACATTAATTAATTATTTATATAATATTTATTTTTATCATGTAAAAAAATTGGTATTATACAATTAGACTTCCTGAAGTATGAAAATATTATAAATAGCTTTCATATTGTTTAAAACTCATTTTAGTTTGTAGTTAATTTTATGGAAGATTTAAGATTTAACATGAAAATATTAAATTATAAAAGGAAAAAAGAAAGAATTCCATTACCTTTCTAATTGGAATTATTTTTGAGTTGAATGATAATAACTCTTCGAAAGGGAAACCTTACTTTTGGATGGGAATTAAATCTTTTTTGGTAATATTCTTAACCATTTTGATACAACACCAGCAAAGATATAACCACGAACGCTCTAACTTATTTGTCTCAAACCTTGACCATCTGCAAGAGTCTTAACATCGATGTTCGTTCCTCTAATGACTTGCTCGATATGATAAATTCATACCTCACTCCAAACTTCGAACATTCTTACATTTATTCTCTTCTATCTCATATAAATAATATTCTTATCGATAATTTCTCTAACACGAATAGTCCAAAATGTTTTGACGATATGCACCTTAACAATAATAAAGTTGAACAAACTTTACAAATCATGGGAATTATATCGCAATCCGCTTTGGTTCTTATATCGACATATTATTTGAGGCAAAAATTTGTGATTCCCGATATCGTATTGGATCCGTTACTTGAATTAGCCATGCGTCGCAAAATTATTGCCGATGAAGTATACATGCTTTAATTTATTATAAAAAAAATCCGCTTTTGATTACTATAGGCTAGGATTATACTTCCACTTTAATCACACCATGCCACTTTGCTAATATTAATAACCTATTGTATAATACCGAAACATTTAAAACTAAGTTTTGGAGAGTTTTTTTAAAATATAGGTTAGCACATTTTAAGAATACCATTTGACTATCTCAATTTTATCTAAAAGGGGAATTAAAACTCTATGATAATCAAGATTGAAAAATAATTATTCTTAAAATTTTTTTAAATTTAATAACATTTAAAAGTTGACGAGTATAAACGACGAAATCAGAATGAGGCGAAAACATCACGAAAGCTTAAATTTATGCCTTGTATCAGGTGCCTTTAAGGCTGAAATTGATCTCAATGATGAAGGTATATAAATGGAAACATTTAATAACAGATAATTGGGATGATTTAAATTTGGGAATTTTTTAGAGAGTAAGAAATGATTTAAAATAAGAGGTAAAAGAAAAATATAATTGTTCTATGTAGGATACTTTATAAATTAAATAATAATTATATAAAAGCATTATGTATTTGATAAAAATATTCTCATACATTGATATAAGGTTTAGACGAACATTTCTTGAATTTAGACCACGTCCATCCTAGATATAGTTACTTAAAGCAACAAAGAGAAACTTTGAAACGTTTATTGTCTGAACTGGATGAAGAAACCGACATAAACATAGAAAATATTCGATCAGATCGTGAAAATGTTTTTTTTTAATTTTTTCAATGATGTTTATTTAAAATTTGAATATATAGTATTTTTTTCCTGAATTCAATTTAGGAATTAACTCTATTGGTAATGGTGCTTTCATTACTTTATAAAATTGAATACTAAAATTAATCATAAATGAAATTAAAATTCTATAAAAATATGTTTTATTATTATTGTATATTAAAAAAGTTTTTAGCATTCCAACGCGAAATACAAAGATTTATTTCATCGATTATTACTCATCAAAAACTCCTAGATATCTCTCGTTACGCTCAAAATTTATCTAAAATAATCTTTCACTTTAACCCCTCACTTTCTGAGCAAGAAAATCATATTCAGAATATGGTTTTGAAATTCGATTCCCATATCAATCCTTCTTTAACCTCTATGAAAACGAATATCATGGATTTTATTGTCAAATTTGGCAGGAGCTATACATCATACTCCGATTTATGGACGCCGTTCGTTAACTCCTTAGTCATGGTAAATTTATAGTAGATAGACTCATTCATAAAAAAAATAAAATTTATTTTGCCATATTCAAAAAGGTACATAGGGGCCTCAGAGGCGTGCAATATACAACATCATATTTCGTTAAATACCTTAAGGCGCGTTACAAAGTATCAATCGTCATCTTTATATTCAAAATATTATATAATAAACAATATTTACTCTCTTAAAAAAGCACGCTTAGTTGTATGATATTATATTTTCGAATCAAGATTATTTAAGAAATATAAATGCAATGAAGTTTTAATTTAACATTTGTCCGCATATATATTTTATTTAAATAAAATAAAACGTATAAAACTTCTCGATTCAATAAATTTATTATAATCTAAATAACTTAATCGAATAACACTCATTCGGAACTTTGCCGAAAGTAAGAAAATATAAGGAAGAAAATTAATGGAAAAAGTATATAAAATACTTTATTTATTCTTTGTTCTAAAACACGATCTTCTAAAATAACTTTTCAAGATGACATTTTGGGAGCTTGTATTCTCTAACATGTCATTTTTTCCTCACACTGAAAATAATGACATTTTGCACATCGAGTCCGTCTATTTCCCATCTTCCCTCTACCTGAACTTAATATGCGGTCTGGAGTTGCGGAAAGTTCTATGCGGCAATGGGAAAATATCCGAAATAACTGGCGTTTTTATACATTTGAAGTAATGATTTTCTTTAAAATAATAAATTTGTTTAAAAAAATATATATTTCATGCAATTTTTTTAATGTAATATTAATTGCAAGAGTTGCCACTAAATGCAATTATACTTAACTTATAAAAATATATAATCCAACTTATATATTAATTTTTTTTTTACAAGATACCTATTTTGGACCATACTATCAATGCATCATCACCAGCAACCTATAATACAATCAACAAAACGTAATAATATCAAGTCATTATCTAAGCTTATACCCCTCCCTTCAACATCGGTATGGGATAAAATTTTGGACATTTTTGCCGATTTGCGCCAAAAATTAAAACCTTACGTAGTTGATTACGATTTGGAATGGTTTATAGCCAAGGATGGTGAAACAGACATTTATACTGGTTATGATTTTTTAAAAAAAATTATTTTAAATTTGTTTTTCTTTCCAGGGATTATTTTTTTAAATTTTACCTTATAAAATAAAAAAAAATTTAAGACAAAGAGAATGATCGTATACTTAAATTATTGGAATCCGGAGAAGTTGAAAGTCAAATCTTTTTAATCGATGAAACATCAAAGGAAATAAGAGTATTTATATTTATATAATTTAAATGCAAGATAAATGAGTGGGCGTCACCTAAATAATTTATCATAATAACAGAGATACAATCGGCTGACATTTTCAATTTCAGCCATATTTTTTTTAGTCTACATTTAATCTATAAATTTAAAAAAAACATATTTAAAATGATTAGAAAAAAAGTGCTGACCCCCCCCCCCCAACCACCATTTTTTGAAATTTAATTTACCGATATAAATTAATTATAAAAGATTATATTAAGAAATTATATCTTTGCTTCTTTTCAACAAATAGATACTACATTATTTTTTTTGGTATCCAATGTATCGGTCGATATCGTATTTGTATCGACTAAAAACAGTACATCTATACTAAACTAATTTATTTGTAATAAGACTATTTTGTAAATTTGACATCGTTTACAAACATTTTCATAAAACTATATGAATTTTTATGCCTTTCTTATCTTATCTTTAAGTAAGTGTTAAAATTAATATCCATTTCATCCTTCATTTTTTTTTATACCCAATAAAAATCAGAATTTAAACAATTAAACATTATTTTATAGGGGAAAAACGACGCAGTTGCTGCGCCTAATGAAAAAATTATGAAATCATTGCTTAAAAACAATCTCCTGCCATATATTCATTCCTTCCTTACCGTTTTTACCAATATTTACGGTACGAACAAAACTTCCGAACGTGACCCTGATATATACTACATGAGCTCATCGTATTACCATCATTTAACGTACAACTTGATAAATTCGGCATTTTATTATTCGCTGAAAAAGGGTGGAGGCCGCCTAAACGATTTTATTTCCCCTTTACAGGATAGGTTTAAATTAATTTACTTTTGTATAAAAAAACATAAATATTTAAATTTTTGATATATTATTAATTTTTAAACCACTTCAGTTATAGCATGTTTATAAATTTCACATTTTTATTAGCCTTTAACTTTTTTAATTCTGGCATTATAACGGATTTGCTGTATTTTATTTAGTATTGATCCTTATTTTTTAAATACAGAATAAATTTGCGTCTACTTTAACATTTTAACCTACGTCCTAAGCAAGATATTAAAATTGCTTGATTTTATTCCCACTAATTTCTTTCGAACATAAATGGGGTTTTGCTAAATAAAAATCATTTGGAAAATAAATCGTTCAATTATTTTGCTTCCACTCGAGTTTACTATATTCTTCAAGGGGATTTTTTTGACATGCTTACAAATGATAAATATTACAATTATAAGATGAGTAGTTTGATCAATTCCATTTTACAAAATCGATGAATTGCAACATTTCGCTAACATCGTTATTTAAAAATATTAACAGATATTTGCTATCCAACCACCTGGTACATTACAAATCTTCTACCTTTAATTCATATCACCCTAACAGTAATTCTGACGCAATAAATCCGTTTGTTAGCGAATATCCTTCTGCCACAAGTAATTAATTAAATTTATATTTTGAGAGACATGATTTTTTTTTTGTTATTTCAGTAAATTCTTAAGTGATTTATTATATTGCAAACTTATAAAAATTAAAGATGCACGATAATCCAAGTCGGATTTTTCAGAATTTTAAGAATCTGCTGATTTTTATTAAAATAGCTGATCCTATATATATTATTCGATTCGATTCGAAAATTTTATTTACCATGAATTAAAAAAGATCTATTATAAAATTTATTTTGTAAAATTTAACTAGATAAAGACAAATAAATTTTATTAGTGAGACAAAATAGAAGCATACATATATAATATATTTATATAAAATGTAGAAAAATCAATATAATATTCATATCTATAATGTAGAAGATAAATCTGACAACAGCCAATTTTTCAAACATAAAGTTTTTCGGATTGTTTCCTCCTTTAACGACATTCTGTATTTTGTAACCATATGAGCTCCAACAGAAAAGAGTCGCTCACATGGGGTTGAAGATCCCTGTATCGACAATATGTCCCTCGCCATTTTAGATAACACGGCATTAGCAATATTTTACAAATAAAGTGGTAAAAACTTTAGGCAAAAAGTCAAATTTATGATTTCTCCATCATCAAATGAAAGAGAAATATCAGGTTTGCCCGTCATTCTTGATGTGATGGGATTAACAGTTTATTATAATTGTATATGTTATGTGTTATATAAATTACCTTCTTCGTCCATCTCTATCATAAAAGAAATTTCTAAAGTAATGGTCTATTATGAGATAAATTAAAATGGAGTTTCAAAATTTGGCGCAATTTTCATTATTCCACTAGGAGATTTTATTAAATTGAAATAATTTCTAATAATTCCTAATAATAATATATGATTTATATATGATTATTTTCCAATATATATTAATACTATAAATTATTTTAGTCGAATAATCTCGAATAATTCGATCGAATAATAGATAAAAAATTATTCGACGAATAATATATTTTCCTTATTGAATAATTGTGTTATTCGTATTATTAAAATACGAATCGAATTAAATCGAATCGAATATCGAATAACAAATAATTCGTTTTAGGTATAATTATAATCATCATTTTCCTATTATATATTTTTTTTTATTATATTTTATTAACTAAATTTTTTTTTAGATATATATAACATTTTATTAGAGCGAATAAGCGTTTTAATATGATTTTATAAATATTTCATTGAGATTAATTTAAAATTCTCATACACTCATAGCATTTATATGTAGGATTTAGATGGTTTCGGCATGATAAAATTATTCATATATACCTAAAATTATAATTTTAATTTAAAAATATAGACATTATCACATCAAATTTAAATGCCATCAGTACATACCTATCGAACGTTCTTAATAGTGCGGATCACTACACTCAAAATCATCCTCACGTTACGGAATTATTTGCACTTATGGCAAAACTCACTGGTTGTAAGGCAGAAGTCGAATCTAAAACAAGCTTTTCAAATTACTTATTAATCACTGAAAACTTGATAAAATGTTTTGAGGTGACAGAATATAATAATTATTTATTTTTTTAAAATAATTAATGATTTTATTTCTTAACTTATATACATATGATTGTTTATGTAAACAAACATTTTGCCAAGATACTTCTAAGACATTCGAGGCTTCTTTAATAATATTAATTTGTCAAAATATTTTGCTTCTAATTTTTTTTAAAAAATAATATTGCAAATTGGAGTTGGAAACAGTAATTAGTTATAAATAAGATATATTTTTATTTTCTATGATATTCTATCAAATTTCGAAGATATTCTAATATATTACAAATAATTATAGTTTTTATCTATAATATCTAAAAAAATAATATTTTCATGATTAAATTATAATAAATAATCACGAAATTTTTTAGACCTACGAAAATAGTATAGCATCTTCTACTCCCCAATTATCATTGATTAAACATCGAAATATACTTTGCATTCATTTCTCGAAAGCTCAAAACGCGTTTATAGACTCGCTGAACCAATGGATACGAATAATAGAAAACGAGATATCCAAACTTTCTGACCTATACTTTTTCGATTTTTACCAAGAAATTAAGGCTATCTTTGTAGCGGACGACACAGGCGAAGTAATTCTATTGGTTAAAATATAGAGCGCCATGCCGGAACTGTTTTTTGCATTGCATTTTTTAAATATTTTTTTTCGAATTAGGGGCTTTAGAATCAATTATAAAGAAAAGTCGGTTTCGGAATATTTTTTTAAAAATACTTTGTTTAACTATCATAACTCTATATATATAAAATAAGAGAAAACAAATAATATCATATCCAAATTTTTTGCTTAAGGCTATAAATTCTCCCAATTTAGCATTTTATGTTTTAAAGTTGAATCATTTTAAAAAAACAAACTTATCCCATCTTTTTGCACAAGTATTGTCATCTAATATTTTCATTGTCTTAACTATTACGAAAAAAGGGAAGGGAAATATCGGAACCACGATACTGTGACTTTTAAAAATTTGTTAGATACATTTTTTGGCTCACGTACAATGCCAGAAATAGCCCAGTTTTAAAAATAATATAAATTTCCAGTTAGAGTTAAATCTAAATTCAGATCTTTTTAAGGAAGGAAGGAACAACTTGCATTATTATTTATTAAATAAACTTTTTTTACAAAAATATTCCTTTATTATCTCGATTTGTAAATTGTAGTTCTAATGATTAAACAGATTTATATTTCAATTTTTTGTTTATTCACCAGGAGCTTAGATCTAATGTCGAGGAAGATAGGAAAAAATTATTAGCCCTCATATATGATTACCTCATAAAATCGCCCGTTGGTCAGTTTGAAAAAAGAATCACACTTATCGAATCCTTGTTCCATTATTTTAATCTCGAATATAGTAATCAAGCAGCTGGTAATTGAATATTATTTTTTTCAACATAGATTATAATGAAAATTTTTTTTTATTTTTTATATTATTTTCCTGATTATCTAGATTATAAAAAAATTTATGTAAAAAGACTACAATTTATGTAATTAAATAACATAATTAATAAGCTTAGTATAAAGTCAAAAATGATTATAAAATTACAAAATAAGTTATCATTTTCACAATTATTGGGGAAAAAAATATATTAGTAAATCACAATTATATAAAGTCATTTGTCTGTGTCTAATTTAGGCACAGTCCAAGAAAATTTTCTTGCCCTCATCTTAAATGAAGGCCAAAAATCCGTCCTAAATCAAACCATCTTTGTTCTAGTTCTTATCTCTTAACATATTATGAATATCCTAAACATAGAGTCAAATCTCTTGATTCAGCCAATGATAATGATAATATAGATAATATTTTAGCCGTGCTTAATTTAAATGTAATTTTGATGTGCTCACGTTTTCTCCTCCCTAACGACATGGGTGATAAGTCTATTTGTAAACCAGTAAGGAAATCAGTTTTTAGAGAGAGAAGAAGGTTTTTTTTTATCACATTTTAAATTTTAAAAATTAAGAAAAAAATTGAAAAAAGTAAATTGAAATAATTTTTTGCTTGTTTCAAGTATTCCACCCTTCTTTTAAATATCTCGAGGCGGTTGTCATCCATTTCAAGACCTTTGTGCCGATTATCAAAAATCATTTACAATCGAATACTCCAGCATACGAAAAAGAATTAAAAGTTATTTTTTTTTACATTACCATTTATTTAAGTTATTAGAGTGCTCGGAAGCGCGATTATAGTTATATAACTACTAATGTCTAAATTAAATAATAACATTCTAAAAGCTTTCATTTACTAGTATTAAATATTGATTAATTTACTTCAATTGGTCATTATTACCAAGCAGGGTTTCGAACCGTTTAGTATAACGGTTCGGTTCGTTCCGGTTTTTAGTTTAAAATTTTATAAAGGTTTTGTTCCATTTCGGTTTTTTAAAAAAATAATCATATCGGTTCGGTTCGGTTTATAATTTATAACGGTTCTTTTCGGTTTGTTCCGGTTTTTATAAATTTAATTTTAAAAAAAATTAATCATTAACCATGTATATATTAATTTTAGAGAAAAATTTTTTTATAATTTCTTATTTAATTTAACCATGAATGATAATCTAATAGATATTTTTATTAAACTTAGTAAATATAAATTAGACAAATCAATTCTTTTTATTTGATAAATAAGATAAACACAAACATGCGCAAATACAATGAGGAATAAAATAACACATAAATATAATGAAATTTATATTATTTATTTTTAAAAAGAGAATTGGAACGGATAACTAAAATATTTTCTAATATTTCAGGATTTTAATTTAGTTCTTTGCGCAGAGAGTATAAACTTAAGGCTAGAAAATGCTCTTTCTACGGATACCTGCGTAGCTGGAACTGCTAGCACAACCATAGCTAACTTATAAAGTTCTGGCATACTATTCTTTACATTTTCCCAATAATTCAAAAGATTTGCATCTTTTTCTAATCTCTCTATATTATCAAATGACCGAATTATATACTCTATTTCTACACATTTATTATAATTTTATATGCCCTGAGAACTATTCTTATTAAGGCTTTCATGCGACATTAATAAATCTTCAAAATCATCATCTAAGTTATCTTTCGAATGTGAACACGTAGGAATAGTATCTAGATTTTCAATATTCTGATTATTTAAATTTTGGATTAAGTTCCAAGTTTTATAAAGATGTTTTTTGGCGATATCTTTTTCTTCAAATGATCAAAATACATTATATCTTGCGTCGAGATATATAGCTGAGCAAAAAACTTCATTTTTCAAATTAATCTCTCGTGCTTTTGATTGTACAAACTAAAAGTTTGGCAAATGAAGTGTCTATTTTGCTAGTTTGCATGATACATTTGATCCATGCTGCATAAAAATCGCCCATGGTTATTTGTTCACTTTGTATATATTTTGTCAAAATATAAGATGGATATAAAGCTTTTAATATATCACTAATTATTTTCCATTCATTCTCTGACAAACATTTTTCACGATCATTACTTTGGGCCGATATTTCTTGGCAAAAGTTTTTTAACTCTAATAATCTTTCCAACATTAAATAGATTGAATTCCATCTTGTGCAACAATCTATTAGTGGCTTTTTTAAATTTAATTTGGACAAAATAGACATTGTAGTGTGATTTCTTATTTTTTTGCAAATGTTTCTTGCTTTATTAATAATAACAATTTCATTTGAATTTTTTATGCAATCATTAATTGCTAATTGAAATGTGTGGGAGGCACATCTAATGCCCATTAACATGGATCTCGTATGAGGTACAAGATTAATACTTTCAATATTTTAAAAAAAGGTTCTTCATTTTCATTAACAATTATATCATCATTGTTATTTAAATTATCATTATCTAAATAATCATTAAGGATATCATCTTCTTCATCATGATGTATTAACAGCTTGATTAATTTAATCATGTTAGCTGCATTGTCTGTGGTTATCGTATAAATTTGATCAATTCTTATTTCATGTTCGTTTAGAACATCTAGAATAATTTTTTTTAGATATTCTGATGTATGTCTTTCTTTTATCTCTTTCATGCATAACGTTCTTAATTTTATTTCTCCATTATCTATAAATTGAATATTGATCCCCAGTATGGACCTATCATATCGAGTTGCAATATCTAATTTTAACGATATAAGTTTTTGGTATATTTCTTTTTTTAAATTTTGCGAAAAATCAAATGCCATTTTTTTAATATTATTGCGTATATTTTCAGAATTGATGGTTAAATTACCACCCAATCCTACAATTATCGGATCTATAATATTTCTAAATGCTTTGTCATCAAATTGATTTTATTGGTCTCCCATGAACTGTGATTAACTCAGTGCAGGAGCGGATTAAAGTGTCTTTATTAATATTAATTTGTATTGTATTAGTTTTGGTAAAAGCATTTTGAATTGTATTATGATTATTTGCATTTTTTGTTATTGTTTTTTTAATAGTCAAATTATCTTTTTTTTTTAATAATTTGAATTCCTTATCGTGGAATCTTTCTATATGTCGTTCAAGATTTGCTGCATGGTCCCCGGTTAAAACTTTACCACAGTTTTCTAGTTTACAAGTAGATTGATTTTTTACAATATCTAATTTAAAATATGATCCCACAGGATTTGACTTTTCCCGAACCATTTAATAGATACTAATATGCTATATGATGATGAATAGATCAGAATCTTTTATTATAAAAATAGAATAAATAAATTTCTTAATAGAATCAGTATAATTTTTTATTTATCTTATCTGACAAGATCTCCCCCAAAAACGTGAATTATATGCAGGCCTACCCTTCATAATAATTATGCCGATTTTTTCCTCAAAGATACTAACAACAAACCTTGTACACAGATGAAACTAAATAAGTGAATGGAGCTTACTAATACCATTTTAATAAATAATTTGATTTAATAGAGAAAAGAAAGAAGCAAAAAGATAAGATATAAAATAAGAAGAAAAGAAATAGAAAAGCTGTTTAAAATTCCAAAAACAACTGTCTTTTATTAAAAAATTAAAGTTAATTAAATTAAAACTTTAATGGATACTTTATCATTTTATAATTATCCAATTGAATTTCATGTGTTTAAATTTTATTTGGTACTATAAGATTTAGAAGGTTAATCAGTAAGTAGTTATTATTTCAAGAAATTATCCACTAAAGTGTAAATGGAAATAAATAAATAAATTAACCATAAAATACAGGAATATTAATTAACAATCATATGTTTTTTTTAATTTCAGAATTCTAATATTCATTTAAGTCATTATAAATTATTCATTATGAAAATATTAATTAATAAGAAAAAATTAATATAAAACAGTATTTTATTAAAAGTAATCAGTACCTGATTTTCTTTAGATGTTAGTTAGAATTATGATTTTTCCCAAATTATTAGCAAGTATTAATAAGCTAATTAATAACTAATATACATATATATATATATATATAAGAATAAACTTGCTAATTTAAAGAATAGTCTTGTTTGATTTTAAGATTCTTATCTAATTAACTGGTAATTCGCCTAATCTCTATTAAATTGAGTATTTATTAAAGTGAAAAGAAAAAACAATAAACATGGTGGTATTAATTGACATGTAAAAAAATTCAATTTGAAAAGAAATAAAGAGTTTAAAAATTTCCCCAAGGAAAATTCAAATTTTAAATTTAGGTTAATAATGTTTAAATTTAATTATTTTTTAAAACCGTTTTGAACCGGTTTAAACCGGTTTAAAATATTTATAACGGTTCGGTTCGCTCTTTTTATAGTTTCTTTATAACGGTTCGGTTACGGTTACGGTTCAGAAAATTATAAACGGTTCATTCCGGTTTGGCGGTTCGGTTCGGTTCGAAACCCTGTTACCAAGTTATTTAAATAATTAAGGATAATTTTATTATTTTTTAAGCAAGAAAAATATTAAAGGCTCATATTTGGGTGGAATTTTAACTAAAGGATGAGAGATAAAATTGGAAATTTAAATGAAATTATATTGTAAATTAATTTAATTCATCAAGATAGTTGTTTTTTTTAAACAATATTATCTCACAAAATCATTATATATTTGCTCTAATTGCCAGTTATTTACTCTAAATTCTCTCGTTTTTTCTTTTTGCTCACTTATATTTTTCGGTCTAACATTAGAATAATAATACTTTCTTTGGATTTATTCTTTATAAACTATTATCAAATACATTTTAAAAAAACGAAAATTTGACTTTGATTTTCATAGAAATAATTGCTATATTATTAAATATTTTATTTTTAGCATGCCTTAAATGTACATCGGAAAAAATTGAACGATGGATTAGAATTCAAATTACTGATTAAATCTTTATACCCTAAATTGAAGAAGATTAGGGAAAGTTATCAGGTTTTTTAAAGCAATTTCTTATAATCCATTTTTTAGCAGTCAGAATTGTAATAACAGATTATAAATACTTCTATAATAATTACCTTAAAAAATGAGGTCTTACATATGATGTTAAATAATAAAACTAATTATATGATATCATTTTATCAGAAGAAGAATTTATTTAATATTAAAAAATTATATTTAATATTGTTTTGTTAATTTTAGGCAATTTTCTACTTTTTAGATTATTTATCATTTAAAAGTGTGAATTTTTTAAAAAAAATTAAAATCTCACAGACAATTTTACTCGCCAGTGTGAAAGATAAAATTATATCCTCGCCCAGTCCTCCGAATGATTTATTGTTGATACGCCCTATTCAATTGATAAATATTTATTTGCCAATCATTGAAAACAACCACGAATTTGCGCAAATTTTAGACACGAATAACTTGAAATTTAAAAAGACTATATTTGGTATATCTGAGGTATTTGATGTCAAAATCGCTCGAAAGTTGGATATTTTTGAACCATACAACGCTCTCATATCGGATTTAACTAGTATGCACAATATAATTTTTTCTTTGCTGTGATAAATTCTATTTAACTCCACTTTTAGTCTAGATTTCAGTTAAGAGATCAAAATATTACTCTTAAGGGCCTTTTCAACCTTTACTAAAAATAATAAGCTAAAATTAGGTTTATATATTATAGTTTTTATAGTCTTTACCAGATGAAATGAATACACATTAATGTAATCATGGAGATCTGCAAAATCGATATTTTGCATCCTGAACCCTTAGATCTAGACCTGACTCATTGCAGCCCGCAGCTCAATTAAAAAAATATATAGAGGAAAAGTCTCAAATTCGAAACATTATTCACTATTTTAATGTTATGCATTAAATTAAATATTTAGCAATAACTTTAATAATTCCATGATATTTATTTTATTTTTTACAAAATATGATTATGAATAGTAAATATTTCTCACCTTATTTTTTAAAAATTAATTTTTAATTGTGATGATCAAAAAAGATAAAGCAAGTAATATTGTTTGGCAAAGGCCTGGATTATATTTCATTAATTATGCTACCGCCGGCCTTGCAGGGGTCTAACACATTGAAATAATAATGATTATTTATTTTCTCTAAGTCGTTAAATATATACGAAAACCTCTAAAATCATTAACCCTTCAAAAACTACTCTAGTATATCACTGAAATAATTTAATATCACTTATGTAAGGTCATACTCTAATAATCTCCATTAAGGTTCATTTGAACGCCAGGTTCTAACTGACATTGATTATTATTATCCTTCAGCTATCAGCATTACCTATTACCAATCAATGGCAAAAAAATTAATCAGACATACCCCCCCCCCGTCATTTGAAAAAAATACAAATAATTATAAAAATGGCTTTGTTATAATTTTCATGCTTTTGCTGTTCCTTATGACACCTATATGTAAACGTCCATCTTTGGATCCTTTTATTATCGCTTTCACACTTTTATTTTTAATTATCTTTGTAACCCTGTATTCACAGTTAGCGCGAATTCGCCCTGCTAACTATGAATGCAGGGTAACGCACAGTCCTTCACTTGTTAAATATAAGGTTTTACACAATAAACTCATCAGAAACTTTTTGAAATTCCTCCTCTTTTAGAAAAAGCTTTGCTATGACTGGTGCAACTTTTTTAAAATTAGCCAAATATTTTTCCAGTCACCATTTATATTAAGGAATATTAAAAAAAAATTAATACCAACTTTATTCATATTAGTAATAAGATCATCATTTATTAGTAATAATGCACTTTATATTATTTTAACAAAAAAATCAGAAAATGTCAGCGAAGTTAATTATCTAGTCATCCAGTCCAAACGTATTTTCGAAGGAACCAAAGAACTGGCTTTCGATCTGAGGCACAAAAATAAACTCTTAATAGACCTTTACAAATCCTTTTACGCGACCGGCATTTCCTATGCTAAGGGGCTCACTCTTTGCAACAAAAATTCGGCATTATTTCGATATCCTTTCATCGAACTGTTCGTTACCTACGCTATTTTTGAGGATAACGAGAACGTAGAATATGGATTTGTAAAACAGTTGAGAGATGGCTTATCTAGTAGTGACAATATTTTCCATTTAGCTCTCAGAAATGTTTTCAACTTTCACGAACTCATTCTTACGGATAGCGCCAAGGTTAGGATATTTCTTTAAAAAACAGAATTTTTGAATAATTTATTTTAAGTTATTAAGTGGCGCTGTAAAGACAAAAGCAAGAAATATTTTAAATATGTAAAAACAAAGAGTTTGAATTTTTATTATTCTCCAATAATGCCGATGGATTAATATGTGATGTTCATTATAAATTACTTTTAATAAATCTTTTAGGACATTGACAGGATACATATGGTCAGATGTCACGGCATAATGGACTATTTGTTTTTCGCGGTGTCTCGACAAAGACAAAATTTAGACCGTATAATAAATGATATTTTGCGAATGAAAGTTTTACATGACAAAGTTAATGACTGGTTTTATGTTCCCCGATTAGCTTATTGTTACGAACATTTCAGCGAAGATTTTTACAACATATTGGTAAAATTAAAAAAATTTTTAAAACTATTATATTAATTTTTTTTACACTATTTGAATAAAGTGCATGTGTTTTCCTCCTTTCTTCTTGAAAAGAAAAAGTTTATACAAAATACAGCCTTATATTTTTTTCATATAATTCTCCAAATAAATTGTCAAATTTTTATGAGCCAAAATATCAAAAATCTCATAGAGGCATATTCATGGGAGGGTAAGGAATAAAATATTTACATATACTTAAATTTTTCAGAGAACTAATTTGGGTCAAAATATTTCCAAGATATTAATCTGTTTAAATTTATTTTCCCAAACGAAATCTTAGATTTCCTATATGGCTCTTTTTACTATTATGTATATAATTTACTTGTTAAAAAGGTTAATTTTTAAAATTCTAGAATATTTTAACAGAGTATTTCCAGCCCCTTTTTTAAAATTTTATAAAGTGAGTGATAAAAAAAATCTATTTGTAAATTTTAGCATTATAATTATAGAATATATTTATTGTGTGTGCACAGTTGTTAATGTGTAAGTGTAATACAAAGTTCTTTTTATGTTAACAAATAATTTGTTATGCTGAAAAATATTCTCTCGCCTCTTTTAAAAAAATTTAACCAAACCTTGCTCTAATCAGGATAAACTTTTTCTTTTTTTAAAAAAAATGAATGACGAGGGGAAAACCGTAATTTTGATATTACAAATAATGATTTTTAAAAAAAAACAAATAATTAAATGAATATTTAAAGCGGAAATTTAATCAGCTATGCTTAAACGTTTCCAATACCATCGACCGATTATGTATCATTTTATCTGATGCCAAGACGAAATCTGACTTTGAAGTATACGCTTCTGCTATTAAAGGACTAACTCGGCAATCCGCAGCGATGATAAATATCGAACTCGATATTAATCTTCATCCTCTTAAAAATGAGGATAGAATCGATAACAATCTAATCAAAACATCCGCTATCATCACCAAGAACCAAATAAACTTTTTAAAAAATGGTCTCACCTATTTATCCCGAAACTTTAACACATTTTTGTCAAATTTATTGGCCAAGAATAATAACAGCGAAAAAATAGAAAATGGAGGAGTAGATTCAATGATACTTAAAAGCCCGCTTATATCTTGCGATGTTATGGGATCCTATACTCAGCAATTTTTCGCATTGCAAAACGAATTCGAAACATTTAGCTCCACATATTGTATCGAGAATTCACCTAAAATCGAGGAAGAGAATATATTATTAGCCGATGATTTCCTAGAGCCAAATAGTGAAAATGATGACTTGAGCGAAAGATTGATCCGTAACCGATTTTTACAAATCTGGCACCATAAATTGAACAAAATGGCGCTGTTTATGGAAAACTCGGAAGTGGCTAAACATTTAAATATTCTGGATTCAAGTTTTTATTATATTGAAATTATATCACAATTTTTTTTAAAATAAAAGTTAGAACTTATTTACCTTTAAATATGGAATAAGGAGTTTTAGCACACCCGCCCATGTTTCGGTTGGGTGTGGTCGGGTTTTCTAAAATTTTATCCGCAATGAGCGGGTGGCAGGCTGGTTAAAAAATTTTTAAAGTAATCGGCGGGCGTGGGCGGATGAATTTTTAATATTTTTCAGGCGAAGAGAGCAGAGCAGACTTCAATTTATTAAAAATAATAGTTTTATCTCACAATATTGCATATTATATATGTTTAATTACTACATTAAAATAAGAGCCAAACCAGCCATTAAAATAATTTTTAGGCTAGGCGGGCTAGTGAATTAAACAAAATTTATAGATGAATGGACGGGCGGGAATGATACATTTGAGGTATAAAGATCATAGGGTTAAGAAAAATTTAGGTTGGGGAATGATATACTCTATCGAAATAGATAATGACATTGGAACTTATACAAACATTTAAATAATAAAAGATCGTCTTAGGAATTTAGAAAGGATTTTGATAAATTTAATTTAGATTTAAAAAAAATAAAATAGCAATATATTTATAAAGTATTGATGGTATTTATATTTAGATAAGGTCGATAATCAAACCTCAAATTCATCTTCTTGCGCATTGCAAATGATACCGTTTGTCGAAGGCATTTTTAGTCAGCTCTTGGATATATTTGATTTTTCTAAAGTTAATTATTTTGTCATTTAATTTTTTTTATACCTAAAAATTACAAAATATTTAATTTATATAATTATGATTTTTTAAAAAAAGTTATTAACGAATTTAAACACTTCTTATTGGAATTACCACGAAGACAAATTCATTTTATCTTTCACTATCAACGCCATCATAGAAAAATCATATATGGTAGCACAACGTTATTTCAACTTCCACCTCAGTATCTTGAACCTTTTTAATCTATCTTCGGAATTGTTTTATGGCTTCATTCAAAAAGTAAAATAGAACCAAACCTTTATTTAATACCCAGCTCACAATAGAGATCTGCAAAGTTAGGCCCCGGGTCGGGTCGGACCTTGGAAATTTTTTTAAATATATCTAAATTTATCAATTTTATATTGAATTTTTTATGTAAAATAAAAATATTTGATTATATTTATTGAAACTAAACGACATATAACATATGTCTTTTATTTTGAGTAATTATAAAGATTAATTTCTATATTTAAATAAATTCGGGCCGGGCCGGGTCGGCAAATTTTTTTTAAAAAAAATCCGGGCCGGCAAAACTTTTTAAAAAAATTTCAGGCCGGGCCGGGCTTGAAAAATTAGGCCCGATGCAGATCACTAGCTCACAATATTAAAAAAAATTAAGTGCAGAATATGGTGAAAGTGAACTTATATAAATGATTTATTGTCATTGTAAAACTGATCATTATTAATAATAGTAAAGTTAGTAATTGATATCGATTGATTAGAAATCTTATATTATAAAATATCACTTTCTTTCTGTATATATATATATATTATGGTAATTAAAAGGGTTACGGAAGCAAACTCAAACAACCTACCGACAATTCTGATAAATCTGTCGTTAATAACAATCCTAACCCTAAACAACAGGATGGTACTGAAGAAATAGCGGACTCAGAAAATTGTGGTATGGGTGAAGGGCAGGGCCTCAAAAATGTCAGCGACCAAATGGAGAATTTGGATCAAGTTACATTTATTTATTTTATTAGATGATATTTATAAAATGATTTGAAATTAGTAGTATTCTCGCAATTTGTCACATTTTAGTATAAGATTGATTTGGATTTAAAGTCACATCACTGATACGAATCGGCAATGAATTAATTAAGGTATTTAGAGATTTATGAAAATGTATATATAATGAAAGTTATAATGAATTATAAAATAATATATCAAGGAGATATCCTTACAGAATTTTAAATAATAAAAGAAATTTGTTTCTTTTTTTTTATAGATTGAAGGTTCAACTCAGAAAGAAGAATTTATGGATGATAAATATGAAACTAAAGATAAAAGTTCCAAAGATGAAATGGCAGATTTTGACGATGAAGCCATAGAGCTCCCCAATGAAATTGAAGATGACTATAAAGGTCGGCACTTATCAATTTTTTTTTAAAAAAAACTTTTTTTCTTATATAAATTTATGAAATATCATATATTATAATTATAAAATAAGGTCATTAATTCTTTAGGGATTAATTATGATGGTTTTATAAGTTTTTGACAAATTATTTAAAAAAATATGAGCCTTATTTCATATTTCTTACATTTTTATAATTCAATGATAATTTGCCTACCATGCAATATAAATAGATAAAAAGAAAATATTTATGATTAATAAATAGATTTGTTCAATGGCGCCACTGGCTCTGACCATTTAGTGTTGCTTAAAGGCAATATTTAATTTATGTGTTAAGCAACATTTTCTCCCCATCCCCTTCTGTATCTAATGGATTGATTTTTTGTTAGACAAATCCCATTTTTTGATTTCATTGGGGGCATTGTGATCGAACGCGTGCTCAGCATACCTAAATTTAATTTGAACATACAATATTTTTTTAACTTGAGATTTCTTTTGTCACTTTTAAGTTTAGGTTCTAGCGAGCTAGATTTCAATTTATATCATTTTAATATTTGATGGAAAAAAAATTGCTCAATTAAAATACCTCACTAGAACTTAGCCTAATTTTTTTAAAAGAAAAATGACCCTTTAGTAACACTTAAAGCTATCGGGGAAATTAATAAAAAATTATTTTATGAATATAGAAAAATTGATAATATATGCCGTGAAACTATTATTTTTGCAAAATTTATATTAAATCGAAATCCCTATATGCTTAATTTTTAGATGATGATCAATTCGATTATGAAAAGAATTTTGCTAATGACATAGGTTAGATATTTTATATATAATATAGAAAAATATAATATATAAAGCCTCTAAAATTGGCTCTCAAACCTTTTAGATTAATTACAAAGTTCTTCTTTGCGATCACCTCTTTTAAAACGAAAAACCTATTTTTTTAAATTATATTATTATGTAAAAGCAACTTAAGGAACACCGTTAAGAATTTAAATACATTTATACCAGTTTTGAGAAATTTTTTATTTTTAAAATTATAATTATAGTTTGGAAATATAATTTGAATGTATAAAATAAAACTATATTATTAACCTATGCTGCAAGGAAATTGGAAAACTTAAGCAAGCGGTAAAATATATTAAAACACGAGGAAAATAAAATATAAATAAGAAATTTACAAGACAAATTGCAAGGATTGTTTAGGTGAACTAATTAAAGCCCAGATCCAAATTTATACAACACTCGGGCAATTCCTTGCAGGGCTCTGCAAAAATTTGCCTCAGATAAATGAAAAACAACAATTATGTATATTTTTTTGAAAATAGATGACCCGCAAAACGTAGACGATCTTAAAAACGAATGGGATGCCTCTGATCCAAACATTTCTAATCCCGACACCGACCTAATTCCCCCTTCAAATGCTACGAATGAATTTGACGAATCCAGTCTGAAAGAAGCCATAAAAGAACAGCTGAAAAGGAATGATGACCTCGAAAAAAAAAATTCTTCGAATCCCGAAAACTCTAAAGGTAAAAGGACCGAGATAGATCAAAAAATCGGCCAAAAACTTGAAAGTGTAAAAGAATCGGAAGAACACAAAGGAGAAGATTTGGATAATACTGAAACGATGACCGAGGATGATTTGGGTGGAGATACGAATGATGAAGAATTTAATAAAGCTAACGAAGAAAATGGGAATGAGGTTGATAGAGAAACGGGAGCAAAAAATAGCACGCAACTAGAAGCCGCTACTTCAGGTCAGGAAAAAACCTTTGATAATGAGCAGAACAATCTTGAAGAGAATGATGCGAGATTTGAAGCTAAGAAGGAGGGTGAAGAAGCCAACGATATAGATGATGTGAGCATTTAATTTATTCTTTTTTCTATATAATATGGAAATTCATCAATTGGTAATATTTTTAAAAAAGTTTGTGACAAATTGATTGACAAAAATAACTAAATTAAAGTTATTGAAGCATCTCAAAAATAATTTTTAGTCTGACTTATTTTTTAATAAAACAAATTTTTAAAGAGATTATATATAAATAAAAAGATATTTAAACCTTTTTTAGAGATTTGCAAGCCCGTCCCGATTTACAGGACAGGGTTAAATTGTAACCCGGTTATCTCTTGCAGATCTATTTTTTTTCTCCATAAATAAAATTATGAATAATATTTTGACTAAAGTTAAAAGGAAATAATTTTTATTAAATAATATTCCATATTTCTTACCATTTTGTGATATTGAAAACCAAAAAAAAGCTTGATCAAAATTTGGAAAGCAAAAAGTTAAATAACGAAATCTTTGATCTTGATGATGATCTTGATGATGAAGAAGAATCACACTCTCTGGATCCAAATTTAAACCATCTCCTCGAACCTTTATCATTGAACGAAGAAAGTTTAATTAGTGATGCAGATGAGAAAAATATTGATCAAGATGATGGTGGGATCAAAGATGTTGATGGTAAATTAAAAATATTATTTATATATTTTTAAAATGTGTTTATTTTAATTGTTTTTTTAATATAATTATATTAATTTACAAATATTTTTTTAAAATCTATTTTCGATAAAATTTTAACAATCGATATTAATAAAACTATTATATAACAACAATTTATACGAAAAAAAAGATTCGGTTGATTTAGACCATCCTGAAATCCAGAAAATTAATCCTCAAGCCTCAGAATTTGAAGACCTTTACTTGAACGACATGAAGGATGAAGAGATAGAAAAAAATGCTAGTGAAAATGTATCACCTGTAAATGATGATAATAATGCTCAAAATGGTATGGATGGCGGTAGAGTTAGTAAAGATGAAATGCCTGGGCCTAATAGTCATGGCAAAGACAAAAATTCAGCGGATAATATGGTTAATATAGAATTGTTCATTAGAATAATTATTTAAAGATTAAACATTTTAAAATGTTTACAAAATAATATTAGTATATAATCAATTTAATTTATTTTGTTTAAAAAGAATATTGTTGTGTTCATTAGAATAATTATTTAAAGATTAAACATTTTAAAATGTTTACAAAATAATATTAGTATATAATCAATTTAATTTATTTTGTTTAAAAAGTATATTGTTGATGGCTAATTTTTTTAAAGAGACTAATTATGACATTATATTATCAAACTATACACGATGAATCTTGATGTAGTCTAGGAGTAGAATAAAATCACCTAAAGTAAAACGTTACTAAAGCCGTTTTTGACCTCAACGGCCTATAGTTGTTAAATATGTTTCAAATTTCCATGTTGATCTAATTACATTAAAAAAAATTAAGATTGAAGATGGTGGTGACTCTTCTGAAGGAAACGCATCTCTTATCGATGCAACCACTGGAAAAAAAAATAAAACGAGATCCAACAACAGACGCCAAAGAAAGAAGAAAAAAATGAGAAAAGTTTTTTGCACACATTAATCTAATATTTAATTTTAACCGATATTACATTTAAACAAATTATAAAGATAAGACCGGGCTTAAAGGGGTCACTATTTATTTTTTTGTGATATACATTCGAGTTGGAAAGGGCTGATCTTTGGTTTTTTATTATCGTATTTACTGTTTGGTCTTCGATAATTAAGTTGACACGTTCGATTTATATTTTGGTGGTTTTTTTTATTTATACACGCATAATTTTATTTTCCTACAAATATTTTTTGCCACAGCAAAATCTTCCTTTACCTTCTCAAACAGAGAATCGCGAAAATGAACCGAACAAAAAATCCGCAGATGATGATATTATCGAGATTTTAGACGATGATATCCGAGATGGTGCTATCGACGCTGAAAACAAAATTTCCAAGTTTGAAATGGACGAGAAAACAGTCTACCATAAGCCAGAACATAATGATGATTTAGGAGACGAAGATGGTGAGGAAATGACCAACACCTTGGAAAAAAAATTACAAGTTATATTATTTTTTTGATTGAATGTTTTGAGTTGATTTAGGTTTCTATAAAATAATTTGATATATCTATTCCAATCATTCATATTAATTAATTAATGGGCGATGGTATGATGTTTTATATGATATGGCCATATTAATTACAATTGTTTATAAAATTTTTAATAATTATGAATATGATAATATTATATTAATAAAAAATAAAAATTTTGAGCTTAGATTCGAAACAATCTTTAAATCGAATAGATTAATAAACTTAAATAATATATTTTTTTGTATATAGAAAAACAATTCTGATTCCTTTACCCCCGGTGCCAAATCTAAAATTCTTAATCCAAGCCATGATGAAATAATCGATTTAACTCAAGAAGACTCTAACCCTCAAGCAGATATAGAAGAAATCGGAGAAGAGAAAATTATAAAAAATACACCACGATCCCCCAAAGATTATTCCAATGACAAAAATGATGACGTCAATAGGCGAGCTAAGTTTATAGAATCGCTTAGAGAGGAAGAAGACAGGAAAAAATGTAGCGAGAAAAATTTAGGTGATGATCTGGAAAATTTGGAAGAGATGGCCACGAACGTTTTAGTTTCCACGTATTATGATAAAGTAGATTTGTATGATCAACAAATGGAAACGGGGCTCGAAGAGAATAAATCGGTTTTTAAATTTAATTTTTTTGGATACTCTATTAGTTGGTTGCTGATTGATAAAACGCTAACGGGATATATAAATTATTCTTATTTTATAAATCATCAATGATAACATTTTTTTTATACTTTTGACTTAAATTGCCAAATTGTTAATTTTTAGATTTAAACCTGATTGAAACATTACTTATAAAATTGTAACATGTTAATTTTAGAATGAAATGGATTTTGGATTGATGGACTTGAACAAATCTATAGCTCTTGAAGATTCAGATAAAGTAATAATTAAAGTTGAGCTTGATATCTTTTATAAGACAATTATCGCATTATGCCTTTAAATTATTTTATTATTTAAATAAGATTTTAACTATTTATCTTAAAAATATATCAATCATTTATAAATAATATGCAATTGCTTGAATATTTTTTTTAAAAAATGATAATTTCCATTAAAAAAGAACAAAGATATCATTGAGTTATACGATGAAAATTCAAACTTCGAAGCTCAACAATTATGCGAACAACTCAAAATTATTCTTGAGCCAACAACGGCTTCTAGATACAAGTTAACTAACTTACATTTAATTTATAACTTTTTATACATGATATTATAATTATAAATATATAAAACAAATTAAATTTTCTCTCTTATCAAGTTCAATTGACCAATTTATGAGATGAAAGATAGAGATAGCATTATATACAATATTTTGGTAGATAGTTTATTGAGTCATTATTATTACATTTTTTTTTAGAAGAAAGGGGAAGGGAGGGGGGTGGGAGGGATAATGAGAATTTTTTTTTTTCTTTAAGAGATAAAACCTTAAAAAATGCTATTTTTTATGGCTACATTCTTATAATGATCCTAATTATCTCCTATTATGATCAGCTTAGGACTAGGGCCGGACTTGAAAAATTCTAAGAAATAATATAGAATATAATGATTTCTTTAATCAAAATAAAATTAATGTTCAAATTTTTTCTTGGCAAGGAAACGCAATTTGGGATTTTTATTTCATCAAACGCGATTATTCGTTTAATTTATATATTTTCGACTGAATTATTCTAAATCAGACTCGCGCTCTAAAATTAAATTTCAGGCCATGCTAAAAAATTGGGCACGCCTTGAGCCTGAAAAATTTGAATTTATAGAGATTTACCTTATACTTTCCTTATAATCCCTACTTCATATGGCGATAGGGTGAGCATCCTCTTATAGTGATCACCATTGTAGTAAAATGACTTATCTCTTTGTAAATTTTTTTGTAATTATTGAATTGATATGTGAAATAATTTATAAAATACATAATTAATAGTAACCTAGTTGGATAAGCATAAAATAAATTATAGGCAAATTGAAAAAAATTTTTTTTTTTATTGTAAATTTTTATTAGAATACCAAACATCCTAGACCAGATGGCTTAACCGTGCCTTGGTCTTTAGGGAAATCCTTGATTTGGGACTTCACATGTATATCTTCTTTCCCAAAAAATTTAAATTTTAATCCGGTTGATATAGCCGAGAAAAAAAAACAATGAAATATTCCAAATTCACAAATTATAATTTTACACCGATCGTCATCTCTTCCCTTGGACATATGCCAAGCGGAACTTTAAAATTATTAAAAAATATAGGCGATAAGATAAGAGCCCTTACATCAGAACCAAAAGAATGCTATATTTTAAAACAAAACCTACAAATAACTATTTTAAAATATAACTATTCATGTTTTTTGTTAACTTGTAGTCCCACCTCCGTTTTTATAAAATAATGTTTTATTTTATATTTGATATGTTAATTTTAAAATTATAAATTATGTTATTGAAAAAAATTAAGTTTTAGAATTAAAATTCTTCAATTTCAATTTTTCCTGTCTTCCTTAATTTTTATTTAAATTTCGTGCAAAAATATTTTCACTTATATTTCTATCGGTTGCTTCAAAAAAAAACTAATCTCATGATTTACCTAAATTAAGCATATTTATTAAAAAAAATATCCTGATTTTTTTAACTTTGAAATTATATATATACTTTATCAAAGAGTAATTAGAGCTTTTTCCTTTCCCATTTTTAGTTATAGTGGTGCATATTATAAATATAATAATAATAAAATACGTTTACCTTCGACAGCGTTTTTTTTAATAACCTCCTTAGAGGCAAGTAATATCCTGAAAAACACAATATAGATGTGCTCTGTTTCTGCATATTTTAACACCTGCTTAAAACTTTTTCACGATTCTATTTCCGTCGGAAGATGTTGCCATACCAAAAAATCTTATTTCTCTATCTTTTTCTCCCCTATCGAATAAAAAAAATTTCCACCAATATAGTGAATGCTACTGTAATGACCTATCCGCGATTTATTAGCTGCAATGGCCTAACTACTGGGAATGATTAGGGGGCAGGATACCCCCCAATCCAAAAATATTAACATGACCCATATAAAAAAAATTTTTAAAATGGGTTAATTTTTAAATTTGTCAAAAGATATTTTATAATGACATGTATTTTATTTTCCTTGTGAATAATTTTATTTTTTATTTGAAATTGAAGTATCAAAGCGGAATTACCATCTTTTTTGAATTATCGGTATCGAAATACTTTTAAAAGCATATGATTTGAATATTTATAATTTTTAAATGAATAGAGGAGACTACAAAACGGGCAAAAGATTAAACATGAAAAAGATAGTCGATTACATAGCCAGCGATTACAGGAACAACAAGATATGGATGAGGAAAACTAAATTGGCCAAACGAGATTACAATATTATTATAGCGTTAGATGACTCAACCAGCATGAAGGATAATATGTCTCGAGAGGTTTCCATAAAAATAAAACAATCTCTGCCGAAAGTTAAATAAATTTTATGTCCCTCTAGTATAAATTATTGGAATTATAATAAAATTAAAATATAGATAAAATTGAATATTATAGATGATGTTAGAAGTTTATATCATTGAACTACCTATTATTTAATTTGTAATTAAAATATTCTAAATAATTTAGTTATGACACTTATATTAATTAATTATAGGTGCCATAAATTTAAAAGTGTTTAATTTTGGATACACACAAATTTTGGAAATAATTTATTGTTAAAGGCAAATAAAATTTATTAGTCCTAATTTTTATTAATGTATTATATTATGATATATATTATACTGCGATATTTTTTTTCAGTGCTAGTATTATTTTTCAGTTTTTTATATAAATAAATATTATTTTCTTTTAAATTCCTTTGATTAAAATTTGTAAATTGCAATTTTTTTAAAAATATTAAATTTAAAAATAATACTTTATATAAATAATTTATAAAGTATTCCAATGTCTTTTTTACGAATGTAACTTGTAACTGCAACTATTTACTTATTAAAACTAGCTTTAAACAACATTGTAATACATTATCTAAACGTTAAATTATTGATCAGTTTTACACCACAGACACAAATATTTTCAATTAAAATATGCCATTTTTAAATATTTTAAGAATTAGATAGTTAAAATTCATACGATTTTTACTTTGAGTTGAGTTTTAATAATTCTTAGATTAATACAAATATAAAATTATGAATATATTTATATAATTTTACAGATGGCTGTTAAAGCGTTATCCATCATTAATAAAGCCTTTTCCTTGTTGGAAATCGGCAATCTATGCATATGCAAGTAAAAAAATTGATCAATATAATTTTAAAAAAATATATAAAGTCAATTTTAACTATAAAGAATCGCAAATTTTTTCCCCCTTTTGCGAATTTCTTCTATAATATTTTCTTTTCTTTATATTTTTTGTCTTAAAATTGTTCCTTTTTCAAATTTAAATTCAAATAAATATTTTTAGCCGTATATATATTGCCATCCCAATGGAATGATGAGAATGCTAAATATCTTAATTTGGGAATTGACGATTATACAAAAAGACAGTCTAGGCCTTTTTTTAATATGCCTTACATTATAGTTTCTGAGTCTGACTTATCAGAATTTTTAAAAATTTTAATTTACAATGAAAAACAATATCTAATTTTTCCAAGATTCGGCAGAGAGGTTCAAATCATGCAACCCTTTAATCGCAAACTAACCGAACACGAAATGATCCAAGCTTTAAGACAACATTTGACTTTCGATCAAATAAACACAGACTTCCCCGCGCTTTTAGAATTCGTTCAACAATACTTCGATCAAAATAATCGCCTTAAAGGGGTTAACCGAAACGTTAATAATGGTATCCTTTTTAAAAATATATATATTTAATTTTTAAAATAAATGAAGAAGATAATAATAAAAGTTATGATATAATATGAAAATATTTAGCCAAAATTTTAAATTTTAGAATTTAAAAAAAATAAGAAAGATTGTATTCTTAAATAATTGCATTTTAAAATCCTATATCTTATACCCTTTTTTTTAAATTTAGAAAATCTATTATTCGTTATATCCGATGGTAGAGGTGTATTCGGAAATGGGATGGACAATATAAGAAATTCCGTATCTTCCCTCCTCTTTAATAATATATTTTCCGTGTTTATCATTCTCGATAATCCTCGTAACAAGGTTAACCCTTAATTTTTTTCTCTCCATCTTTCTATTTCTAAGTTAATTTCATTCTACATATATTTTTTAATGTTATCCATTTTTATAAAAATAGTACCCCCCCCCCCCCCTTCCCTTCGTTTAATTTAAATGGTTAACTAATATGAAAATATAAACTTTTTTACAAGTACTATATATAATCTTATTTTATAATTATCAGGTGCCTAATCGGTTATCAATTTTATTATGTATCGAATATTTTTGTTTATTTTTTAGAATTCGATTTGCGACATAAAAATTCCATTCTTTTCCAATACATCTGAAGTAAAAAAAAAATTATTTTGAAAATATTATTGATATTTAAGAATAAAAATTTAGATTTAAAATTAGTTTATACTAGTGTTGTTAAAGTTATAAGTTACATCCTTTAAAAAGTGATTAGCCACATCCACTAGTTACGTGTCCTTTATGAAAAATTTTATTTAACTCAGCATTTTTAGTCTAATCTTTTTATTATACAAATAATGCGATTTAAATTTTAATTAGAGGAATTTAAATGAAATAAATTTAATAATGCATTTAAAAAATATTTATTTGCTCAAAAAAAAAGTATAAAAAACGCATTATAAAAAGCTGGGCTTAAGAAATTTTATTTACAATAAAATATTTGCTAGTGTTTAAAAGGCTTGCTGGGGCTTTTTTCAAAAATAATTTCATTAACGAACTTTATACAGGAGAGCTTGATATAAATGAGACATTATATTTAATAAAAATTTGGTAATTATCATATAAAAATAATGAATAATATTAGTGTTGTTAATCGGCTTAGCCGAGTCGGCTCGAATAGAGCTCACCCAAATTTTGGGTCGTTTTTTTCGACTCCAACTCAAAGTTTTGGTCGTTTTTTACGACTTCGACCCGAGTTCAAGCCGAAAAAACGACTTCGACCCAAAATATGGGTCGTTTTTTTCGACTCCGACCCAAGTCCAAGCCCAAAAAAAACGGCCTCGACCCAAAATATGGGTCGTTTTTTACGACTCCGACTCAAAATTTGGGTTGTATTTTTCGACTCAAACTTGAAATTTGGGTCGTATTTTTCGACTCAAACTTGAAGTTTGGGTCATATTTTTCGACTCAAACTTGAAGTTTAGATCGTATTTTTCGACTCCAACTCAAAGTTTGGGTCGTTTTTCTGACTCAGACTCAAACATCTCGGGTCGTTTTATTCAATCCGACCCAAAATATGGATCTTTTTTTATAAAGACGACTTAAAGTTAGGGTTGCTTTTTCACCCCTAACCCAATATCTAGATCATTTTTTTCGACCAAAAGTCAAATAACATTTAGATATTAATATTTTCGGCGGGAAAGTTACTTAAAGCTTCTTTAAATTATAATATTCATCAGTTATATTTTAAAATTTTTAAGTGAAGATGTACCATAGAAAAGTGCCATTTGTCATGATGGTTATTTTTGAACTTTTTTAAATGAAATAGATAAAAATATATATTGTATAGACATGTTAAATCAAAATTTCAGTGATGATGTACCATAGATAAGTGGTAATTGTCATAATCGCTATTTTGGAACTTTTTTGAGTTTTTTTAAAGCAAATTGCTAAAATTATATATTCTAAACATGTTAAATTAAAAATTCAGTGAGGATGTATCATAGATAGGTGACAATTGTCATAATCGCTATTTTTGAACTTTTTCAAAGTTTTTTAAAGGAAATAAATATCTAAAAATATATATTCTAAACATGTTAAATTAAAAATTCAGTGAGGATGTATCATAGATAGGTGACAATTGTCATAATCGCTATTTTTGAACTTTTTCAAATTTTTTTAAAGTAAATAGCTAAAAATATATATTCTAAACATGTTAAATTAAAAATTCAGTGAGGATGTATCATAGATAGGTGACAATTGTCATAATCGCTATTTTTGAACTTTATCAAATTTTTTTAAAGGAAATAGCTAAAAATATATATTCTAAACATGTTAAATTAAAAATTCAGTGAGGATGTATCATAGATAGGTGACAATTGTCATAATCGCTATTTTTGAACTTTTTCAAATTTTTTTAAAGGAAATAGCTAAAAATATGTATTCTAAACATAAATTAAAAATTCAGTGAGGATGTATCATAGATAGGTGACAATTGTCATAATCGCTATTTTTGAACTTTTTCAAATTTTTTTAAAGGAAATATCGAAAAATATATATTCTAAACATGTTAAATTAAAAATTCAGTGAGGAGGATGTATCTTAGATAGGTGACAATTGTCATAATCGCTATTTTTGAATTTTTTCAAATTTTTTTAAAGGAAATATCTAAAAATAAAAATAGCGCATATGACAATTGTCACCTATATATGTAACATCCTCACTGAATTTTTAATTTAACATGTTTAGAATATATATTTTTAGCTATTTCCTTTAAAAAAAAATTGAAAAAGTTCAAAAATAGCGATTATGACAATTGTCACCTATCTATGATACATCCTCACTGAATTTATAATTTAACATGTTTAGAATATATATTTTTAGATATTTCCTTTAAAAAAATTTAAAAAAGTTCAAAAATAGCGATTATGACAATTGTCACCTATCTATGATACATCCTCACTGAATTTTTAATTTAACATGTTTAGAATATATAATTTTAGCAATTTGCTTTAAAAAAAAAGTTCAAAAATAGCGATTATGACAATTACCACTTATCTATGGTACATCATCCCTGAAATTTTGATTTAACATGTCTACAATATATATTTTTATCTATTTCATTTTTAAAAAAGTTCAAAAATAACCATCATGACAAATGGCACTTTTCTATGTTACATCTTCACTTAAAAATTTTAAAATATAACTATGATGAATAGTTAATCAGAGCATTATAATTTAAAGAAGCTTTAAGTAACTTTTCCGCCTATAATATTAATATATACTAAATGTTATTTGACTTTTGGTCGAAAAAAATGATCTAGATATTGGTAGGGGTGAAAAAAAGCAACCCTAACTTTAAGTCGTCTTTTAAAAAAAGATCCATATTTTGGGTCGGATTGAATAAAACGACCCGATGTTTGAGTCTGAGTCAGAAAAACGACCCAAACTTTGAGTTGGAGTCGAAAAATACGATCTAAACTTCAAGTTTAAGTCGAAAAATACGACCCAAATTTCAAGTTTGAGTCGAAAAATACGACCCAAATTTTGAGTCGGAGTCGTAAAAAACGACCCATATTTTGGGTCGAGGTCGTTTTTTTCGGCTTGGACTTGGGTCGGAGTCGAAAAAAACGACCCATATTTTTGGTCTCGAAGTCGTTTTTTTCGGCTTGAACTCGGGTCGAAGTCGAAAAAAACGACCCAAACATTGAGTCGGAGTCGAATAAAACGACCCGAGCTTTGGGTCGGGGTCGCGACTTGCGGCGTTTTAACAACACTAAATAATATATATCAATAATTAACAAATTTTAAAAAATTTAGTTATGTTTTTCATTACATTTTATTAAGTTATAGTTTAACTAGTTACATTTTTTCTAAAGTAACCACTTAATGTTATTTTTTTAGCAAAAATTTATTACAACACTAGTTTGTGCATACCATGGGTAATTGTTATTTTTATTAAAGAAATTCTCGATAGGAATAATACTCGGAAATAGTTTTTTTTAAAGATAAATTAATTTATAAAACTACGTTTAATTAATATTGATTGATATCTGTCAAAATACATATTTAAGTTTTATTTTTTTCCATATATAATAGATTCCTGAGATCAAAAGTTATTTGGAATTTTTTCCTTTCCCATTTTATATAATAGCTAAAGATATTGAAGCATTATTAACTGTTTTTCCCGAAGCCCTTAAACAATGGTTCGAAATGATTGTATCGCGTCGTTCTTAATAAAAAAAATTATGCCATTTTCGATATTATTTTATATGTATAAATATAATATATACGTGTATCATACTCATATTATAAATAAATTTCTTCATATATGACTCCTTGTTTTATGGGTTTTAATTTAATAATTAAGATTTTACATTTTACCCACCTTACACACTAATTTCTAAAAGGAAGTTTTCACAATTATGCACATTTATGGATTCCTTTAAAAAAAATTTAAAAACAATATTAGTTCCCAAAATTAGTCTATTTTTATTACAAGAAGTGTATTCCTTTTAATATAATATATTGCAATTGTATAGAAATATGTTTAAAAAAAAGGATCCTTATAAATTATAACCCATTTCCCTCTCATGGCCTGGTTCTGGCATGAGGGAGTAATTGCTATGAAGTAACAAGATTTTAAAAATTAGCTATGAATTAAAATGGAATCGCAAATGTTAAAATGCTGAGTTTTATATAAAATGCAAAATGTGGTCAGACCTGATTTATAAAAAATGGATATAAAATATTATGTTTAATTAAACAAACCAATAGTTTCTTCATAAGATATAATAAGCCTATAACTTTCTTGTGGATTTATTAATTTGTACAAAATAATGTGTTCTAAATTTTAAAATTAGAAGGAAATTAAATAAATATTATTTAATTCAAACGGATACTAAATTCCTAAATTCTTTTTTCAAATCGAATATCTCATTATTCGAGTCTTTTTTTGGAGGCCTAATTATAAAAAAAATCTTGTTATTTATGGTTTTTTCTATCTCGCTATTTATACATTGAAATGTACTTAATTTGAGGAGGGGGGGGGGGAGACTTTTTATAAAATAATCATATCTGTTTTATACATTGAAATTTATTTTTTAAATTTTATTTTGATTCAAAAAAATATTTATTATAAAATTCAAAAAATATAATATTAATTAATTAAAACTATTTTATATAATCATTATTTGTCAACCAACATTAGTATGCAATAAAAATTGATTTATTCAGCCTCTGCTGATTTATTCATTTCTATATAAATACAAACATTCTTTAAAATCCAAAAGAATTTACTCACTTATAGAAAAGTGTTTACCTTAGCAATTAATCCATATATTCTTGTTTAATGGGAAGACAAGTACTTCAAATTCACCAATTTCAAGTTTTCCGATAGTCATCACAATTATTAGTCTAAATATTTTTAAAGCATGTAAAAACACAGAATGTATTATTACCCGAAATTTTATTATTCGGTTGGTGTCAAATTTTTCGATTTCGTAGACTTCCACATAATATTTTTCAAAATTCGGAAATTTCCGGTTTAGGGAATAATTATTTCCGTAACCTTTAACCAGATTGATTTTTTTCTACCTCGCTTGCATTAACTCTTCGCTAAAATCAAATATATGGTAGTACAGCATAAAGTTATCAAATGAGACATTTTTATATTATTATATTTAATTTTTTTTAAAATAATTATTCATTTTTTTTATTTTATATCCAATGAATAAAAAATTTGTACCCTATAAAGCAAAAATATTATTTTTGCAATGTTGATTTTATTGTATTTTGAAAATTTAACTTATACACACGAGGTTCTCAGGTCTTTCCCTGTAAGCTGGTAACTCACCATCTTTTCCTCCACATCCAAAACTCTACCGCTAATCTCTCAGTTTTTAAATTTCTCCAGCGTTAAAAATTTTAACATTAAATGTTAAATAATAATATTTTTTTATCTATAAAATTAATTTAAAAAGAAATTATCAATAAACATATCTGGTTTGTTTTAATGATGTATCCTAAAATGAATAAATTTCAAAACCTTTTCTATTGGAATTATCTTTTAATTCTTGTATATGTTTTAACAAAAAACACGACACACGAGAACATTTTTTATTTATTTTTGGGTTAAAGCGAATAATTGCTTTGTTTAATTTTAAATTCAAATAAATATCAATATTAGTAAGAGTCTTCAAAGTTCTATTTCCATCTCCCAAATGTTTTTTTAAATTGAGAAAAATATAAGGAAATAAATCTTATTAATTTGCTCTCGCGAAATAATTTCTTTAGAAAAAATAATTAATTAGGCTTCCTAATTCAGCTTAATTTGAAGATGCCAAAAGGTAAAGGGACTGGATACCAGAAGAAATTTAATGATATACCCCCTCTTAATTGTTTTTTTAGTAAAAGCTACGAAGCTTTTGAGCTAGGACACACTATTTTTGTTTGCTTTTAATATTTGGTTATTTTTTTCTTGTTTTTTTGGTTGTTTTTTTCTTTTTATTATAAAGTTGTTTCTTTTGCTTTTTGGCTATTTAATCGATACTAAATAGCCCGCCATTACGTAATAAGTCTACGGACATTGCCATAAATTTCCTATAATAAAAATCGATTACGAAAAAAATATAAATAAAAATAAGAATAAAATATTACTGATTCTGAAAAATATAATAACATAATTATTAGTGCTTCCAAACTGAGAGCCTGTGTTTTGCTTTGCCTTTTATAAAAAAAATAACATACCAAAAATTGAAAGATATTTGTTTTAAAAAATCTTACCAAGAATAAAAACTATATTACTTTATTTTAAATATTATAAAACGCAAAAAAATGCTCCCCACATTTGAATAATACATACAATTATTATATTATTTAAAATAAAAGGCTTAAATTTGGAAGCCACTACAAAAAATAAAATGATACTGATTTCCTAATATTATAATAAACAGTAGTGTAGCAAAGATTTATTCAAGGAGGGGTGGGGAATGTGCGTTACGAAATATTTTTTGGGAGCTTCTCCAAACTCCCATTCCGCCTTCGGCCTGGTAACGCTTCCCGTGCTTATTTTTATTTTGCCTTTTCTCCGATAAAGTTTGATGAAAAATTGAAGGCACTAATTCTTAAATATTATACCAGTTTTTGTTTTCTTTATTAGTGCCTATGACTTCTTTAACCAATATAAAGGAAAAATTTAGAAGCAAAATAATTTTGCTCAGTCTTGCCAACAAAAACGATCTAGAGTATTCTATTTCATCAATATTTAGTGATTAATTCTATATTATTTTCATGACACTATAAATAAAAAAAAATGTTGCCATCATGCCAGAATGGAAAATATAGAAGTAAATATCCCTGCTTAACTAATATACATTTTTAGATTAATGATTCAATCAATAAGTTTGCTAAACAGTATAAATAAAAAGGTTATTATCAAAATAAAAAAATATCTAAAATTGTTATCAAACAGTGGCATAGACAACTACCCCCACCTATGAAAAGCATCAGTAAATTAAATTTTTATAATACTTTCATTTTGATATCTAGACGAAAATTTTTTAATTCCTTTAAATTGGTAAAACCTCCTAATTAATTTTCTTTTTGTATAAAATCATCTCAGAGATTTCATATCCTAAAAAGGTTAACAAATCTACGAATAAATTTTTAAATTAAATTTTCACATGGAAAAATTGAAAAACAAGACGCTTCCCAAACGCTATGATTCATATGGCATCGATGTTTGACCTTTCCTATTTTCAAGTTTAAAAGCACATTTAGTATTAGTACTATTTTACTAAATAATATCTTAACCTTAGTCTTTGACGGTAAAAAATCATCTATTGCTATATTATAAAAGAATGAAAGACATCTAGTCTCATTCAAAATATGACAAAAGATTGATTTTTATAATGATAATAGTATTTATACAATTCGTTTATTAATTTTTAATAAAAAGTAGTTCAAAAGTTAATCACAATATTTTATAAAAATCACTCATTTCAGGTAAAATTAGATTTTTAAAATTTATAAAACGCGCTCAGAAATTAATTTAAAGATGGAAAATTATTTTTTTAAACTCTTTAAATTTAAATAATTCAACAAATTATGTCCATTTCTTTTCCTTCACAACAAAAATAGGAAATATAGATTGGGAGAAGGACTTCAAGATCTAAATACAAGGTTAAAAATTTCTTTTCTTTCTGGGGAGAGTTCAAGTCAGTTAAAAATCTCTTCCGTTTTTGCTAATTGTGAAATTTTTTTAAAAAAATGAGCCCTGCTCTCATTTGAAAAGCTAACAAAAATGTGTTCCCTTTACAAAAATCTTTACCTATGGAATCCCCAAAAATTCAATTTGTAATATAATTAAAATGGATTATAAATTTTTATAATAAAATTTATCTTAATTTGACTACTATTTAATATTATTTTTTATTATTCATATTTTAGCAATTTATTAAAAACAACAAATAATTATAAACGATAAAGTAAAAATTAAATAAAAAATCAACAAAATAAAAAAATCTCATAAATTTGATATTTTCCGATATTAATATAAATACTCCCTTAGTGTAATTCTCTCTAAAGTTAAATAAATTTTACGTGTCCTAAGTCCCTTTTAATTTAATTTTTATATATTTTTTATACATTCTTATTTTTATAAATAAAAATTATAATTTATAATAAAAATAAAAATTACTATTATAGATGGGGTTAATAACTTCTATATTTAAACCTACTCTATCATTTAATTTGTGTTTAAAATAAATATTTTTAAATACTTTAATAATTACTAATATTAATTAATTTTAGGTGCGATTAATTTAAATAATTTTATTGCTTAAAAAAGATTAAAAAACAATTATATTTTACACTTCCAACCATTATGCTAAATTAACTCTGGATATATAAATACCATCGAAATAATTTTATTTAATTAACTTTATAGAGGTGGTCACTTACACTGACTATTAATTTAGTTAGTTATATAGAACTTAATTTTTGAAAACGATTTACAATTCACTTCATTGTAAAAAAAAATATGTAGAAGAAATTAAGAAAAATTATTTGAATCTCAAATGAATAGTAATTTAATTTTTAGTCCAAATAAATTATTTGACTGGGAGGGAGGAGGGTCTCTCTATTTATTTTAATATATTTCCCAACTCGGGTTTAAATTTTATTTTTAATCTTGGCACTAGATTTTTTGGGCCCGATACCTTTTTTTTTTATTTTTTAAAATCATTTTTCGACTCCGGCACCCGAATTTTAAAATTCGTTATTTTGTA